AGTGCGCAGTGGTGGTGCCTCTCCTTCCCGCTGTGTTCCTCGGTCTTGTCTTTGGGACCACGACTGGCCCCCACGCCGACGGCTTTCCCTGCTCACTGCATCTCCCTGTCTTTGTTCACAGCGCCTTTGTGCATCGCTGTGGGCGCACAGCACGGATGGGCCACGCCGGCAGCGCGCTTGTGTTCTTGCTTCCCATGGAAGAGTCCTATGTCAACTTCCTCTCCATCAACCAAAAAGTAAGTCGGTTTCTCTTTTCCTCCAACACCCGGTGACTTGAGAGGTGAGAGGGAGAGAGTTCCGGGTTGGGAGTGTGAGGGCCCTGCCCTGACTAGCTGGGGGTGTCTTTGGCCAAGTCCTTGCGTTAGCCTCTCGAGGACTTCAGTTCTGTGAAATGGGCGAGCTGGACTCAGTGTCTCCGAAGCTCTTTTCTGTCCTGAACTTAGAATCTTGAGAAAATGCAACCTTCAAGTGATTATCGAGACCTCAGGTTGTAGTCTCTTTCATGTCATTGAAATGTACAGCATACAGGAGCCGGTGCTGACCTTGGATTTATACGACCTGGGTTTAGATTCTGCCCTGACCCTTCCTAGCTGTGTGACCAAGGCAGGTTCCATCCCTGCAGCCTTAGTTTCCCCATTTGTAAAGTGAGAGAGTTGAACTTGGGGGATTCTGAGGTGCCCCCAGCTCTCAGTCTATGGTCCTGTCGTGCTGGGACTGTCCTGGCCTCCCCCAAGCAGATGGTCCTTCCACGTGGAGGACAGGACACGTACAGAGATGACAGTCCTTGAAGTAAATAACGAAGCTTATGGTACAAAAAAGCAGAGCCCCAGGTGAGCTCTGGGGCGTGGGGGAAAGGTCATTACTGCCTCAGGGTCAGCACAGGCTTCCTGGAGTTGGAGGGTGACAGGCCACTGTGGACTGGGCTTCAAAGGGTGGGCAGGGATTCAGTAAGGGAGGAGGCGAGTGGGCGCAAGGGGGCATTCCAGATGCAGGAGGAGCAGAGCAGAGAAGGGGAAGAGGGACGCTTCCGGATTGGCGTGGGGGACCGTCACGTGTGGAACACGAACGTGAATTCTGCTGGTGGAGCCAGGGGGCACACACCTTCCGACAGACAGATGAGGGACCAGCTGGGCATAGTCAGCGGAGGGATTTGTTTTGCTTGATTATGCATATTTTACAGGCCTTTGGGTTTTTGGGGTTTTTTTTTTTTGGAGGGTAGTGGGAGGGAGAATAGTTAAAAGGAATGGTTCTATGTATTTAAAAAAATAAATAGAATGAGGGGTTTGGACTAGACCTGTGTCCCTTTCAGCTCTAAAGTCTGTGATTGTGTGGTCTGGGTGTGTCCTCCAAGTTCACTAGTGACAGCTTGGCGGGGGGGGGGGTGTATTAGGGGCCCTGAGGACAGTTTATTGGATTCAGGCCCAGTATTGAAGACTACGAATTTGATAGTGTCCCCTGCAGGAGATGAAGCCACAGAAAAACCCAGCTGACCTTCTCCCCCAGCTAAAGTCAATGGCTCTGGCAGACCGAGCAGTGTTTGAAAAGGGCATGAAAGCTTTTGTGTCTTGTGTCCAGGCCTATGCAAAGCACGAATGTAATCTCATCTTCCGGTTAAAAGGTGAACTTTTGCCATTTGCTTATTTTTGCTCCCACCTCACACATCTTATATTTTCCCAGATATTGCTTTGTGTTAAGTTAGTACTCTGTATGTTGGTATTAATAAGAAAGCATATTCTTGGGTTTCAAGTTTAAATAGGCCACAGTAATAACAGCACTAGCAGCATTTATTCAGCACTTACTATGTTCCAGGCACCGGGCTTGGTGTTTTACAAATATTATCTCATTTGATCCTCACAATAGTCCTGTGAGGTAAGTGCTGTTGTTATCCCATTTTACAGTTGAGGAAATTGAAGCAGAGGTTCAGTGACATGCCCGAGATCACACAGCTAGTCAGTGTCTGAGGCTGCAGTCGAAATCAAGTTTTCCAGACTTGACGCCCAAAACTCTAGCCACTGCTGCACCAGCTTCTTCCCAAAATAGAAGTTACTGACCATTGAATTTTGTTGACAAGCTGATACTCAGATTTTAGTAGTTTGTAAAAAAAGCATAATGTATTTGAACTTCTTCAGAAACACTAAAATCTTTGGTTTTGTTAAAAAAAACAAAACAAACCAAATTCTGTCAAGGTGCAAGACAAATTTTTTTTCTGATTGTGACTAATGCTGATTTTTAAATTATTTAGATCTAGATTTCGCTAGTCTTGCCCAAGGTTTTGCCCTCCTACGGATGCCCAAGATGCCAGAGCTAAGGGGAAAACAGTTTCCGGATTTTGTGCCTGTTACTATTGATACAGACACTATTGCATTTAAAGATAAAAACAGAGAGAAACAGAGACAGAAATTTCTAGAGCAACAAAGAAAAGAAAAAAAAGAGAATGAAGGAAAAAAGAAATTTATCAAGAACAAAGCCTGGTCAAAGCAGAAAGCCAAGAAGGAAAAGAAGAAAAAAATGCTTGAAAAGAGGAAAAGAGAAGAGGTAGTGTATACAACCTTCTTTTGGCTAAGTCACGTGTAAATTCATCTTTGAATCTCTGAGCAAATACAAAGTATGCTTGTGAGTGACCTTAAAAACAGATGAGTCATCTGGACAGATGTAGGCAAGGGCTTAAAACTTTTACCACTTTTTACATTTTGGTGACTGATTTCCAGTAATTTTAATTTTTGTGGTGAGCAAATTGATTATAATTTGATTGAGCAAGTAATTCTAATTTGAGAGGCATGCATGTATAATTTTAAAAAATGAGTCGTTGGGACCGGTGTCAGTTTCAGATGGGTGAGGAAACATACTTCTTTCATCTCAGTAGACAGAAGGGGGGATTCTGGGGTAGAACATTGATCCACTTTGGTCTGTTTTTCTTTGTTAAAAGGAAGGTGTGTCTGGGGAGTATGATGGGTAGTGGGATGGCATGGAAGGTGGCCACGCCATGACAGCAGGAGGCATTCACAAACCTTTAAAAAGTACATAAGCCATTTGCTTCTACCATGCATTTACTTTTCCAGGAGTTTAACGAACAGTCATTGGTTCCTTCTGCTTCCAGGAGTTTGATGTTGAAGATGAAGACATGCAAGAGCTGCTCAATGATACAAGACTCTTGAAAAAGTTAAAAAAGGGCAAAATGAGTGAAGGAGAGTTTGAGAAGAGGCTGTTGGCATGTGGCAAAGGCGAGGCTGAGCTGGCAGGTTTAGGGTCCTCGGATCTGGAAGGGGACGACAGCTGACTCGGGGCCGGCCGTGTGGCAGCTGCGGCATCAGTGGAGGGCACCCTCTAACGAGTTCAGAGAAGGGCATGGTGAAGTGACCCATACTGGGGGAGGGGGTGGTGAGGGGGAATGGGACAAACTGTTCTGTTCCTGCCTCAGGTGGAAGTCTGGGCCAGTAACCTTGCTCAGAAGCTGCTGTCTGCCTGGAAGAGGCCAGCTATGAATCACATCCCAGGGATCTCATTTCTGCCTCCACCTTCTCAGACCGACTGAGGGACACAAACAGTATTTTTGCGTGTAAATAAGTGTGGATATTTATTTTGAAAAGACCATTTTTCTACTGCTTTCTTGGAGTTAGTTTAAGAAATAAAGGTAATAAAATGCTTGATTGTCAGCTTTTGAGTCATATAGTAATCCTGTAACTTTTTTAACTAGGAATTTGGCTTTCTTTGTGGACATTGCCACTAGGTTCATGTGCTGTAGGTGGGACCTACGTGGGATAATGTTTTGAAAGTGAGTTTTTGAAAAATCGACAAGGGTGAACCATTTTCCTAAGGGGCAATTATTCTGGAGTACTTTCTTTTAGGGAAACCATTACCTTGACCTGAATGGTCTCGTGTGCTATTTCTTAACGTAGCAGGATTGTACATTAACAAAGTGAATATTGTAGTGGGCTTTGTGGCTTCCTTTTGGAATTTATTTGCTTGTAACATATTAAAATTTTTCAGTGCTATTTGGGAAGTTGCCAATTTTACCCCAAATAATTTTCCTGAAAGTTTAGGGCTTAAAATTTTGCTTAGTACAGAGATTTACCTGGTGTCTATTTCATTGATTGATTTCCTTTGAAATTTCATGTATTTCAAAACATTCTGAAAGGGGGGCCCTGACACAAAATAGCTTCAGGGCCCTTAATTTAAAGGAAATTTATATCTTCCCCAGCTACAGAACTCAAGTTTTTATTCCTGAAGGCCTCTTTATCCAGAGGTGAAAAATAAGGAAGGTTCAGTTAAAAATCAATCCTTCGTGGAGTTTCCAGCATTCGTGCCTGGGCTCTTAGTGCAGGGTCAGCAACGGCAGCCCAGTGCTTTGTGTCCCAACGGGAGAAAGTCCTGTCTGGTGAGGTGGGCATTCACCAGTCATGGGCACTCGTATGGGGAGACTAAAGGTTACAGAGCTGCGCTGTCCTCTCTTAAGTTACACTTGAGGAATCATAAATATGGTTAACAATAGCCCTGAAGTAGGGCTTTGAGGTTTGCAAACTGTTTTACAAATATGCTATTTGAGCTTCACAACACCGCTGGGAGGTGGGTCTATGTTACTTATATCTATTTATCATTTATTTATATCATATCATATCATATATTTAGGAAACTGAGGTAGACAGGTAAGTGACTTGCCAAGGATCTACTAAAACTGTCTTGAGGCTGGATTTGAACTCTGGTCTTCCGATTCTGGGTCCAACATTCTACTCACTGTGCCCTCTAGTTTGTTGATTCCTACACACAAGTTCCTGAAATTGTGTTGGGGCAGAGTCACGTAGGACGGCATGAGGACATTTGCAAGCTAGTGGTTTGGCTATAGATTAATGTTAAATTAAACTTTCTGGCAGACTGGTCCCCGATTGCAGAGTACAGTATTAGAATTAATCAGATGAGACTGAAAGAGACACATATAAGCACTTTGTAAAACTTACAGCACCATATAAATATTAGCTATTATTAATTCTTAAAGTATAACTTGGTTTGAGAGTGAAGGGAAAGTACAAGTTTAATTTAGATAGGCCTTGAATAAGCAGAAGTAGGTACCTGAGGATTTGCCTATACATATTTAAACTTTTATTAAAAATTGTATTTCTAGGGTATAGACACAGTATAGATTCAGCCCTGAATTTCATAATGATGGTCTTGGTTTAGATAAGACCATGTGCCTTCAGAATCATTATCATAATACAGCTATCCCTTCCACACTGTAGGGGTTAGGGGTGCGGTACCTCAGTGATCTCAAAAAGCCAAGTAAAATTTTTGGCTCTCCCTTCATACCAGAGAAGTCTGAATTCTGTCTTTTTACACTACTTTACAGTACAGTACAGTACCTTACTGTAAAACCTGTGTCGTCTGCAGCTTCCACAAAACTCAAAAATTCCTATTTAATTTCTTACGCCAATCTGCTGTCAAAACCTTGATGGGGAAAGTTTCGATGTGGAAGGGATAGCTGTACACTGTGTGTCTTATGCAGAAAAGCATACAGTACACGGGATGCTTGTTGGATTGAAACAGTCCGTAAACCTTGGAAGTTTTATTTACTCCACTTTGTCCTGGGTCATCACCCTGTGCTTTTGGTAAACTTGATGGTCAAAGAGGGCCGGGAGCTAGAGGTAAAGCTTGATGAGTTCATCGCTGACTGCTGAGGGCGTCAGCACCCCAAGGTCTGTGAACAATAATGTGATTAAGGAAGGTGGGGTGTAGTCAATCCAGGGGTGTTCCTCTTTGAGATCTTGTCCGGTTCCAACAGACTTTAGTGTTGCTGCTTTGTACTGAGGAAGGAAAAAATACACTAATTGGGATGAAGGAAATGGAAACCAATGTTCCGTCCGCTGTTGCTACAAATTAACTCAGTGAGTCTTCATTCAGCAAACATTAAGCCAAAAACTTGGCGTTAGAAGAAATTAGCGGCAGGAGGATTCCTGCTGTGCTATCGTGAGGAGATGCTCCTGTGTCTGCTACTCCCTTTATATCTTATCAGCTGCATGAAGGATCTGACCACTTGGCGAGCCTTTCTCCAGGACAGCTCTCCCATTTGTCCTTCCCTAGCTCAGAATCTTACTGCCACTCGATGCATGCACGGCCTTGTTTTCCTGCCTCTGGCCTCTTTTCTCCAACCCACCCATGCAGCTACTGAATGGATATGCTTAAAACTGCTCACAGAACGTTCTTCCTGCCTCTAGCTGTATACAATACGAACTATTCAGCGTGGCATTTAAAGGCCTCCAGCCCACCTTTCCAGCTGTATTTCACTTTAGGCCCCTTCCCACAGTCTGTCAAAGTCCCCATGGCCTTCATCTCCAGGCACCACACCTTTTTACAAGTAGCCCACTGTGCCTGGAGCTCTCCACCTCTTAACCTCCCCCTCCTCCCATCACTGCATACTGTCCCTCCACACAGGCTTGGTGCTCTATTCCCCAGTAGACAGGAGCTCCTTAGGAGAGGGGCCCTTCAGGTTTTTTGTTGTGCCCGCAAACCAAGGCTTCTTTCACAAATGCTCCCTGAATTGAGTTGATGTGTTTGCTGGCGATTTAAAATATCACACAGATGTAAAATTTTATGGTGATTTTCAATAAAAAAAATGTGAAAAAATTTGACTGTACAGGGTTAAAGGTGGCGCATTGCAGACAAGGCCTAGAATTTCTAACATGTAAATGAATCTCTTACCTTAAACTTATCTGGTACATCTTGCTGATTCAGAGGAAAGAGTCGGACAAACTTGAAACTTTCTGCCACTACATAGAAGGGCTTGTTCTGTGCCTTGGCACACACGGCTGCCTGGTTGGTGCCAATCTGTGGAAGAAGAAGAGGCCTAGAGGTCACTCACAAAGGGATTCTGTCCAACGACAAACTTTCCCTAAACCAGGGGTGGGGAACCTGCAGCCTCAAGGGGTGGCCCTTTAGGTGCTCAAGTGCAGCCCTTTGACTGAATCCAAACTTCGGCCTTGAAGTTCTCCACCCCTGCCCTAAACCCTTCCCTCAGAGATCAAGTGATGGAAAAGAGAACCTACAAGAATGTTCTGTCTGTCCTTTACAAACAGATCAGAAAGGTCCGAGGAAGCAAGTCCAACATAACTCCATGTCACCTGCTTTTTATTTTAATGGTACACTCGGATTAACTGCACCATAAATACAAATCATGAATGCCTTAAATGAATCCAGGAATATTTCTGATGCTAAATGAAATAATCATCTCACCTCAACTTTGTCTTAGTAGAAACCTGTTCCTTTGCCTAATCCATGAAGAATATTCCAAGAAACAGAAAGAAATCTGGACAAAATAAAGTTTCTTCAGGTTGTGTACTAATGGCTTGTGGAAAGAGATGGTAAGGTCCAGGATGGCATGACCTCTGGAGTCATGGCTTCCTAACACTGAGTCAGGAAGGCCCCAACGGGCACCTAGCAGCCCTGCACAAGAGACCTGTCCCTAAGTGTCCCACGGTCTGCAGCTTCCAGCACCACAGAAGTGCCCAAGCAAATCTAAAAGTTTGTTTTTCTTCAGTCGTTTTCAGTTGCGTCCCATTCTTCCTGACCCCATTTGGGGTTTTCTTGGCAAAGATACAGGAGTACTTTGCCCTTTCCTTCTCCAACTCATTTTACAGATGAGAAAACTGAAGCAAACAGGGTTACATGACTTTCCCAAGGTCACACAGCTATTGCGTGTCTGAGGCCAGATTTGAACCCAGGAAGCCGAGTCTTCCTGACTCCAAGCTCGGTGCAGTATGGCACCACCCAACTACACATAATCTACAAATACCTTGTTAATAATGCCGCCATTTTCAACAACTCCTTCTGCACCCACTATCACGAGATCCACTTTCTCCATGATGTAGCTAAGAGGAAAAGAAAGGTCCTCGTGACACAGTGACCACCAATCCCCCTGCCCCTCTTAAGCAATTCCAACATGGGCCAATGCGAATTGTGGGTTTTTTTTGTGACAACAGCCACCTTCCCCTTTCGCTGGATTTGACTTCCTGGAGAATTCAGAGCAAGTAACAAGATTAATCCTTCGACCTGGGCTCTGATATAGAGCTTCGTGACTGGAACTGGGATTTCATTCATAGAGGGAGCTACCAGGTGACGAAATTCCCTCCACCAAAGCAGGTTGGGACTCCTCTGCAATTTAGTGTTAGAGAGTTGCCTAGAGCCCTGAGAGGTCAAGTGACTTGCCTGGGGTCACCTAGCCAGGATAGGTCAGAAGCAGAACTCGAACCCAGGTCTTCCTGGCTCCAAGGTCAGATATCTATCCACTATGTCATGCTGACATAACAACCTAATTAAAAAAACTTCTGATACAATAGCCTCATACTTTCTTTTTTTTTAACATTCTTTAAAAAAAATTTTTAATCCCAAATTCTCTTTCCCACCCCCTCCCCACCCTTTTAGAAGCAAGCAATATTATATCAATTACACATGGAAAGTCATGCAAAACATATTTCCATTATTTTTTTTCAGACTCATACTTTCTGTAATAAGTAACCAGTGCTCTTCACAATGGATGCTTCTGAAAATATTTCTAATTTCCTTACTCATCAGAAAATTTATCTTTCTGTCAGGAAATTAGCAACCATGCTTAGGAGGGAATCTGCTGACAAGCCCAATATTTGGCACCTGATCCAGAGGGAATAACCTACCCAACATGGTAGAAATGACAGACCCAGGTACTAGTGACACCATGTTTTAGAATATGAGAGGCTACCAGTCAGTGCTTAAATCTTAATCCCAAAGGTATTCTCCTCAAGCTCTCTCCCCTCCACCCCCCATTTGTGTACATGACCTTCGTTTCTTGCCCTTAAAATACCTTAGCCCTTTAATGATCCTGTTATTAGCAAATCACTCCTGCTTCCCAAGTATCCCCCAGTCCTAGACCGAGTAAATCACCAGGTCCAAGCTGACGCTAGGCATGATAATTTCACGTAGCTATTAGTCAAGAAATGGCAAGCTACTTATTTGAAGTTCACAAATTTTCCAAGCTTCCATTTACAACAGTGCTTCAGGCCAGCCTCCAAAAGGAGAACAGAAAAGCATGGGTGTAACCCAGGAAATGAGTGAACTCACCCAACAGCAGCATCTAAAATCACAGTGACTGGCACATTCAAACTGCTGAGAGCTCTTGCCATTTTCTTCCTGCAAATAAAATTCCGGGAGTGTTAGGAAATGCCTTTGAAAAGTACTATATGTGATAAATTCAGATTTTAAACAACAATCGGCATATTTAGCATGGGACTCAGTTAACGCTGATGTGTGGGTAAAGGGTAGATCACTAGATTTTTGTCTTTTAACAAAATGACATGTTTAAAATGTTAAAATGTTAGGGTATTATCAGATCACTCACAGGGTTTAAGATCAGCATATGATGATATATCAAAAATGAGCATGATCTTTCAGGGGAGGAGATGGATATTCAACGAAATAGGGGACTTCCAAACCTTCCTTATAAAACGACCAGAGCTAAACAGAAAATCTGATCTTCAAGTACAAGACTCAAGAGAGACATAAAAAAGTAAATGGGACAGAAAGAAACAACATGTTATTAATAAGGGCAAACTGTTTACATCCCTACAAGGGAAGATGACACCTGTAACCCTTGAAAACTATATTATTATTATGAATATATAGAGGAGGTGGGTATAAGTTGACTTTGAAGTAATGATTAAAAAAAATCTAATCAAGTGGGTTAAATGGATCCAAGTAAGTGGATTAATCTGATCTAAGAAAATGAACAGTGAGAAAAGGAAAGGAGGAGGCAGAAAAGGGTAAGTTACATCACAGGAAAAGGCACAAAAACCTATTACAGTAAAAGGAAAGAAGGGAGGGAAATGAGCATTGTTTGAACCTTACTCTCATCAGATTTGGCTCAAGAAGGGAATAACAATCAGTTAGTTACTAATATTGATAGACTTAACCCTTCTTAGCAATACAAGGATCTAAGACATCTCCAAACGCCTCATGATGGAAAATGCTATCCACATCCAAAGAAAGAACTATGGAATTTGAATGCAGATCGAAGCATACTATTTGCTCTTTTTTTTCTTCTGTTGTGTTTTGTTTCCTCTTTCTGGTGGTTCCTCCTATTGGTTCTAATTCTTACTTACAACATCACTAATGTGAAATTGTTTAATAGGAATGTATATGTATAACCTATATCAGATTGCGCGATGTCTTGGGGAGGGAGGTGGGCATGGAGGTGGAGAAAAATTTAAAACTCAAAAGCTTATGGAAGTGATGTTGATAAATGAAAAAAATTAATTAAAAAAAAAGATCAGCATGTATAAAACTAAATTTTCTGTTACCAGAATAGTTTATATCATTGCTCATGGTGAGTTTCAGTAAGAATAATTGCAATAGCAGACTTGTAGGAACTGATGCACCCTGAGAGAGCAGGCCCAAAGCAACAAACTTTACACAATGGCTGCAACAATGTAAACAAAGACAGCACCAAGGGGCAACAACACTCTGGTCAAACACAACAGAGAATGTCGCTTCCAATTATTCCAGTTAAAATGGACGTCCTTTTTTGCTAACAATCAGAAAACCAAAAAAGTGAAAAGTGACACAGATGGTCATTTGCAACTATTCCATTAGGCGGCTGGTGCTGCCTCACCTTTTAATGGGAAAGGGGAGAGGCTGGAAGTTGATATTTGTCATAAAGTGCCTAAGAGATCAAAAGAAAATGTATTGATAAAAAATAAACAGTGACAAAAGACGGTTTTCCCCTCAAAAACGAAGATGGCTTTACTCTCTCAACCACCGCTTGAAAAGCCACGCTGGGTAATTCTTCAGGCCACACCTGGCTGCCCCAGCCCTCTGCTCCTAGGGCATCCTGGGTACTGAGGGGCTCCAGTGGCTAGTCAGGCATGGACGACAGTATGTGGTTCACACATGAAAACGACGGCCGTTAAGACAACAGAGTAGAAAGACACTTGCCCGGATAAGTCAGGCTGGGACTCAGTGATGTACACGCTGAAGCGTTTCTTCGCCGCGGCTGCTTTCTCCAGGACTCTGAGCACCACTCGTGAGTAGGCGTGAGTCAAGATCCTCTATCAAACGAAGAGATTTTTAATGCCTTGTGAGTTTTCATCTTTTAATTTAAGGAGTTAAATAAATCAAGGTGTACAAAGCTGGTCGTGTTGTCTTATGATATTCTGATGTAATCGACATTCCACTTGCCGTCATAGTACAGTAGGTCAGAATTCTGATACTCCCCAATAAATATTCCTTTCCCCAAATCAGTCTTGTGTGTAAAGCATGAAGGTGACAGCCCAGGCTTGAAGGAAAAAAAAAAAAAAGGAAGGGGTTGGCAAAGACCCTACAATCCACAGAATGTTTTATGGGCCTCCTTCCTCCCTGTCCCACCCCTCTTCAGAAGGGGCCGGTAGGTACAGTGAAAAGGACAGTGCATTTGTAGTCTAAGTTCTGGTTTCAAAGCTCTGCCACCTGTGTGACCATGGGCAAGTCACTTGACTTAGTTTCCTCTCTAAAATGAAGGGGCTGATCTAGATCTAAGTGTCACTTGAAAGGAAGCAGGTAAAACGTAACTGGGAAATGTTTAACAAAACCTAGAATACAGCCTAACATAGATAATGTTAATTTGTGGTCTTCTATGTCAGTATGCTTTCTATTTGCATTTGATATCACTGGCCCAGAGGACCACTGATGTCCTTTCTGACTTTATACATGACTCTGGCCCTCACTAGAGCCCATACTCTTCTCTCAGAGCCTAACAAGCTGGACCTGGAGTGGCCCTGGAAGTGAATCCCAAATCTGCATCTTACTCTGTGTGACCTTGGCTAACTCACTTTTCCTCTTGGCATCTCAGTTTCCTTATCTGTAAAATGTGGGAGTTGGTCTAAATGACTACTAAGGTCCCTTCTAACTCTAACCTTGACCCAGTGACCCTAGCTGGAGCCGCCATTGTTCACTGACTCACTTGGATTCTGACCCGCTCTTTGAAAGGCTCCATGGGGTCCCCCTCTGCTAGGTGTCATTGGGCCTCTTAGAAAATGAAGGATGAACAACATGTGCATGTTGAGTTTTCAGGTTTTAATTTAAGGAGTTAAGTGAACAAGGCCACACAAAGCTGGTTAGGCCCACAGGGCCCCAGACCTTTGTACCCCCTAGGATCTAGCGCCATGCTGTACACACAACAGTAACTTACAATGGTCGCTGAATTTAACAACCATTTATTAAGCACCAACTATGTGGAAAATATTGTGTCAGGAGCCAGGGATATAAGGACAAAAATGAAATGCTCCCTACCTTGGGGGAAGAAGGGCTAGGAATCTCACTGGGGGGCATTATTAAACTAGAACACACTAGTATACAGACATATATGAACTATACTGAAACGAATGGTTTACATAATTTAACATGGCTGTGTTTGATGGAATAGATAGATGGTGAGGGAGTTAATGATCTCATTTCTGGTCAGGCAGAAATAATGTACAAGTCGACCCATGGCCCTTAAATTGTTTCAGTAATAACTAGTGTACTTCAAAGGGGATAAACTCAGAGGGCAGTATTTAAGAGACAAAAGGGAATGAATAATCAGATGACTGGGATGTGTACTTATAAGACACGGATGTCCACTGGCCGACAGAGGCACCATTAAAGTTTGGTTCTCCTAGCAAGAGACCAGCTCAAATTGTTACCCATGAGTCCCAGAGCCACAAAGCCCTTCCCAACACCTCATTACATGAATTGTTAGGCCATTTTCTCCCATATAGCACCGATGACTCATGATTCCACTTACAGCTCCATCTTTGATGAAAGTATGGCACAGGTCGGCAATTTTACTTCTGGAAAGTGAGATCCTCCTGAGAAAGAGCTCTCCTCGCTCAATCATGATTGTCTTACATTTTAAGTAATCCTAGAAAAAGTGAAAGCGAATTCTAAGTAGAGACTGTACACCTCCCCATGGAGAAGCACAAAAGTGTCCAGACAGGACACGAACTTACTGAGTACTCCAGGGAGGTGAGACTGATGAATCGAAGGAAGAGTTCTCCACCTGAGGAGACGGCCACTGAAGAATCCACGCTACACAGGATTTGAATGGCATTTTTCAGGTTTGCTCTCAAACCCTGAATTGTCTCCCCTGAAAAGTTCAGTAGAAGAATAAAACTTGGGTTTGGGCAACTGACCCATCCTTCTATCTTACAGGACAATTATGTCCATTTTACAAACAAAGTTCTCTGGAATAGAGAGGAATTTCCTAGTTCACAGCTTTCTCCATACCCTAGGATTTAGGGTTGGAAGGGATCTTAGAAGGCATCTAGTTTCTTACTACACAAACGAGGAAGCTGAGAGCCAGAGAGCAAGCCACATTCCTAACGTACTAAATCCCACTGAGTGTTCTTTCCACTATATAATGTGGCTTTTACTTTGCAAAAGTAATCAAAATGAAATCATTCAAGCCTATGTTATCGGCACATCACAGAGAATTAAGTTGAAGGAGTTACTAAAAATGTGAACCCAGTTTATTTATCTGGGAATAAAAATCCATTCTGCTAGCACAACGATTTGAATGTTCTGGAACAGGAAATGCTCAAACGAATTTAAAGTATATCTCCATTCTGCAAAGGGGCTCTCTGAGCACTATTCTGTAGAAAAGGGTATGCATTTTATCTAAGAAAATAAATACAAAGTCAAGTTCTCTTTTCTTATTAAGAGCCTAGCCTAATGCCTGGTGCATAGGAGGTGTTTAATCAATGAACGTTGGTTGATTATAACCAGAAATTGAGTCAAAATTAAATTAACAACAGTCAGGAGTGAAAGGGCACGTGGCTATGCAGACACGCAGACATATAAAACTTTCCTAGATTTTTTTTCTGGAGAAAGGAGTTTGGGGGACTGCCGACTGAGATCTTACCTTTGTCTCTCTTTAAGAACTCAAGTAAGGTTCGGATGGCAGCTACAGCAGAAGCTACATCAGGGTCTTCTTTCATTTGGGAATTAAAGTACTTGATCAAATCTGGGAAGAAAGGGACATGGGAAGATATTTGTCAGGTTTCATTAGGTAAGTTGTATTTTCTACAGAATAACCTAGGGGAAGTTGTTATCAGCCCCTAGGGTGAGTCATAGGGTTAGAGATGAGAAAATACAAACTCCTCATTTTATAGATGGAAGAATAGTGTCAGAGCCAGGAGAGGATATGAATTCAGATCCTCTGACTCCAAATCCAGTGCTCTTACTATAATACCATGCATTCCTAGAGTGTCTGACATGGCCTGGGACTGGGGGAAAGCAATCACAGGATCATACATCTAGAGTTGTAATGGTCCTTAGAGATCATCTAGTTTTAACATAAATCTTAACATAATAAAATTTTAACATAAATCCTTTTATGTTACAGATAATGAAACTGAGACCCAGAAAAGTAAAGTACATGACTAACACAGTCATGAAGTCAAATTTGAACCTGGGTGCTTTGACTCCAAATCTAGCAGCCTTCCTCAGTCTCTCTGAATCTCACTAAACTTGCTGAATTACAAAGCCTTTCCTGCCTTGCTAATACCTCCCTCCAAAATGATCGTCTGCCTATTCTGGATATGCCTATAAATGCACCTTTTGTCTCGCTCAGCAGGATTCTGAGTACAAGAGAGGTTTCACTTTTGTTCTATCTCCAGCACCCAGGGCGGTGCGCGGCACGTAACAGGTGAGCCAGGCACTGGGCAAGGTGATAGGCATAAAAGACAAAAACTAAACAGTTTCTGCCCTCAAGGAGCTTACACTAAGTGGAAAAACAATTTCTGTACAACAGAATAAATATATAATGTACCACAGGTGCACATATTCCTTTTTTTTCCAGATAAGGAAACAGACTCAGAGAGGTTTATGGGGCCAGGATCAAATGCCTACTATGTGCCAGACACTATGATAAACACTGAGGATACAGAGAAAGGCCAGAAAGAGTCTTTGCCTCTAGGAACCTCCCAGGCTAATGGGGAGACAAAATGCAAATAACTAAGTGCAAGTCAAGTCAAGAAGTTTTAATTAAACATCTATTATGTGCTGGGAAGTGTGCTAGGCTGGGTTTGCAAAGAAGGCAAAAGGAAGTCCCCGTGCTCAAGGAGCTCACGGCCCAACGTGCAAGCAGTTGTATACAAACAAGACAGAGTGGAGATAAACTGGAGATAATCAACCGAGGGCACAGGAAGGCACAGGCATTAGGGGAACGGGAAAGGTTTCTTGTAGAAGGTGCAGAGATGGAAAAAAAATGTATTTTATGTATACATATACATATATATATGCACTGAGAGTGTGTACATGCACATATGCACATACGTATCTGCACATATGTATATATACACACAAACATGTATACAATGCACACATACATGTATACATGCACACGTACACATACACACATAGAGTAGAAGGAAGGAATCTCATGGGAGCGTGGTTTTAAAGCTGGAAAGGACCTCATGGGTCACCCAGTCCAACCCCTTCATTTTACAGGTGGGTAAACTGAGGCCCAGAAAGGCTGTGTTTGAGCCCAGGTCCTCTGACTCCAAATCCAGCGTTTTCTTCTTTCTACGAGCTGGTAAGGGTCCGAGGCGGAATTCGCACCCAGGTCCTCCGAACTCCGGGTCCAGCCGTCTCCCCGCCCACCCTCCTTTGCTCTGGGGATCCCGGGTCCCGCGAGCCCGCCCCACATTACCCTCGTCGTCCATGGTGCCTCGGCGACAGCAAGAAGCACGACGCGGCCCGGGTGCCGTCCGCGCCTCTACCCACCTCTGCAGGGACGAGCGGCCGCCGACACTGACAGCCCAACCCGAGGCACGCGCGACCGGCCCACTGCCGGGCCCGGACCAATTTCCCAGCAGCCCCGCGCGTACGGCGGCCGGCCGAGGCCAAACCTCCTCCGTCGGTTCGCGCCTGCGCAGAAGCCCAAGGCAGGTACGGTGGCCGCGGGGGTACCGTTGCTCTCCGCTGAAGCGCCGGCGGTTCGCCATGATCTCCGAAGGTGAGCGCGCCCTGGAGCAAACAGGGCCATCGATCTCCCGGGCTGGGAAGCCCCGGGCCGGGGGCGGACAGGGGGCTGCGGCGGGGAGAGCGGCCCCAGGTCTGGGCCCCGGGCGGCCGCGAGAGGCGCCTGGCGGGTCTCAGAGCCGTGGAGGGGAAGGAGCGAGCGTCACCCCGGGGTCGAGACCTGGGTGCAAATCCCGCCCTTGATGCTTAGCTACCTAGGCACCCTTGGCAAGGCCCTTCGCCTCCCTCCTGGGCCTCAGTCTCCTCCTCTGTAAGGTGAGGGAAGGAGCCCCGGCCTGGATTCAAACCCTCCATCTGACGCTTCCTAGACCCTTACCCTCTCGGAGCCTCAGTTTCCTCCTTTGTTAAAAAAAAAAAAAGGGGCCGAACTAGACCACAGACCCCCCACGTTTCTTGTATCCCCTTGGTCAGCCAGGACCCCATCTCAGAATCATGTTGTAAATGCATAAAGTAAAAACCCAGGACGACGACAAAGGAAACCTCATCAAACCATTTTAAAAGCAAGGTCGAGAACCTTTGACCCAGAGGACCCCGGACCAGGTGATCTCAGAGGTCCCTTCCAGCCCTTTGACCTCTCTGGGCGTCCTGATCTTCACTGAGGGGGTGGGGGCTTCTCACCACATCCCCCATACAGCCTGTTTGTGGGCTGTCTCCCCGTTAGACTGGAAGCCCCAGGAGGGCAGGCACTGGTTTTTTGTTTTGCTTTGTATCCTCAGTGCTTTGCACAGTGTGTGGCACCTAGCGGTTTAATAAATGTTTATTGACTCTATGAGTTGGAATAATGACTTCCAAGGTCCTTTCCAGCATAGGCTCTAGGATGACGAATGGACGAATGAATGAAAAAAAGCGTTTATCGAACATTTACCGTGTTGCCCGGCGTTGTACCAAGCACTAGGAATAAAAAGATAAGCAAAGAGGACAGTAGGAGCACAGTCAGTAGGGCTGGACCTGGAGTCAGGAAGACCTGAGTTGAAATACCTCCTCACACCCTCACTAGCTGTGTGACCCTGGGCAAACCACTTTACCTCTCAACCTCATGTTCCTCATTTGTAAAATGGGGATAATAATAGCACTATTTCCCAGGGTTGTTCTGAAGAATCAAATGAGATGATATTTATAAAGCAAAATGGGGATAATAATAGCACCTAATAGTAGGCAGCAAGATGGCACAGTGGATAGAGCACCGAGCCTGGAGTCAGGAGAACCTGAATTCAAATCCAGCCTCACACGCTCACTTAACCCTGCTTGCCTCAGTTCTGGAGTCATAGGACCTGGGTTCAGATCCCACCTCTGAAACTTAGTTTAACTAGGTGACCTTGGGCAAATCACTTAAAGTAGGCAGGACCCAGAGTCTCAGCTTCTTTATCAATAAAATAAAGAGGAAGGCATTGGACTGGATAATCTCTAGGGTCCCTTTCAGCGCCAGGTCTTTTATGTATCGATGGGGGAGGGGCGGTGGCACTTGGCTAGTCTGCAGCTCATCTGAAAAAGAGCTGAGGGTCTCAGCACGGTTGGTGCTGGTTACTTTTGAGCGTTGAATCGAGGTGACTGCTGGTGTTGTGTGGAGGCCACGACACAGCTTAGGGGCCCCTGGTGTTCAGGCCTGCCAGAGTGACACCCTCAGGGGACTCAGCTGGAATCAGGCCACATCTGGAGCACTGAGCACCCCAGTTTAGGAAGGGACCTCGGAAGCTGCAGGCGGCCCCTTCTGTGAAATCATTCAAGTGGCAGCTACCTTCAGGCATGCAGAACACTTGATGTTAGCTCCCGTGAGACTCAGAAGAGCCCTGGGAGGCAGCTTCTTTGGGCATCATTCCCCTGTTAAAGTGACTTGCCTATGGTCTTATAGGCAGTAAGTGGTAGAGGCAGGATTCAAACTCAGGCCTCCTCAGCTCCTAGCCCAGCACTCCCTCTGTTATACCACCTTGGCCACTGTGTGAAATACACTGCGCTGGGTGCCAGCCATGCCAAGGTCAGTAGTCTCTCTGCACATGTATAACCCGTATCAAATCGCTTGCCATCTCAGAGATCGGGGAGGGGAAGGAAGGAGGGAGAGAATTTGGAACTCAAAATTTAGAAAAAGAATGTTAAAAATTGGAATTGGAAAAACATTTTTTTAAATTAAAAAGGAAGATCAACGGTTCTTACCCTCAAGAAATATACATTCAGCTGTGAAGAATGTGACGTGTAATGTTTTGCACGACTTCACATGTACAATGGGAATTATGTTGCTTGCTTTCTCAACAGGTGGGGGAAGGGCTAGAGGGAAGAAGAATTAGATCAAAATTAAAATTTGGATCAAAATGAAAAATGAATGTTAGAGAATAAGATAACGTAGGTCAATTAGGGTGTTTGGTGGCTACTGAGCATGTACAGAGCTCTAGGAATCATTGAGGATAGTGAGAATGCTCCTTTTTCCTATTGTCCTCAGTTTCCCTATCTGTAAAATGAAGTGCTTGGATCTGTAGGAGACCCTAGAGATCATTTAGTCCTCTCTGGCACTTAAAACCCTTTATGATCTGGCTCCAACCTACCTTTTTTTGGTATTTTTGTTTTTTTTTTTTTTTGGTGAGGCAGTCGGGGTTAAGTGACTTGCCCAGGGTCACACAGTTAGTGTCAAGTATCTGAGGCTGGATTTGAACTCAGGTCCTCCTGATTCCAAAGCTGGTGCTCTATCTACTGCACCTCCTAGCTGCCCCAAAATAGCAGTCCTCTCATCCATTTATCCTGTGTTACACTCCAGCACCAGGATGGGTCAGGGGCTCTGTGGTCTTTTTTTTTTTTTTAATGGCTAGGCAATGGGGTTAAGTGACTTGCCCAGGGTCACACAGCTAGTAAGTGTCAAGTATTTGGTCTGAGGCTGGATTTGAACTCAGGTCCTCCTGACTCCAAGGCTGGTGCTCTATCCACTGTACCTCCTAGTTACCCCTGCTCCAACCTCTCTTTACAAAGTCATGGAATACTGCTTCCTGTCAGACGTTCTGCATTGTCACCAGCTGGATTCTTGCTCAGTCACTGTGCATCACCTGCCATCTCCTGCCTGTGTGGGCTGCTGAATGTTTTTCCTCTTCATTTCTACCTGGTAGAATCCCTACCTTCAAGGGCCAACGTGGATGCCACCATCACTCGGAGGTCTTTCCTGATCTCCCTACTTGTTAGTACTGTTGCCTCCTACCCTGACCAAAAAAAAAATATTTTACATTTCTTGCTTCTCTGTTTTGTACATCTGTGTGGCTTTCTCCCAGTAGATTGTAAGCAGCTTGAGAGTTGCTCTCATTTCCTTTTGTCCTCGTCTCCCCAGTGCCTCGCACCGTCGCTGGCACATTGCGGGAGCCCACGGAATGCTTGTGGAATTTTGTATGACAGCTTTATTTTACAGAAGAGCAGTTTGAGACCCTGAGAGGTTAAACAGTAGGAGTTCCCCTCCCCAACTACTGAGAGTCAGAGCCAGGACTCTGAAGCAGGTTTTCCTAGGGATTCCTGGTTCATCGCTCCACACGCTGGACCGCACTGCCTCAGGTGGTCACCAAGCCCTTTCTCAATTCTGACAGTTTTTGATTCTCTGAGAAAAAAACAAAAAACAAAACTACCTATGAAATCACCCCTTAGTACCCTTTATTTTGAGTGATCAACCTAATCACTTTTTATAGTAGAATATTGGAATAAGTTTTGTCTCCTTTGATTTTTAACCCAGCTTCCTTGGGTAAATGTGTATCCAGAATATAAAATAAATATAAAACCCTTCCAGTGGGGCAAGAACGCTAACAACTGGGGGAGTCAGGAAAGGCCTTTCTGTAGGAAGGGAGGGATTCTACAAGGTAGCACTGATAGCAGGATTTCCACCTTGAGTGATTTGTTTTTGAGATGACCCAAAGCGTTGGCCTCTCCAGCTATCCTTTTAAACTCTGAAGATGGCTTGGGTGACCCAGTAAGTTGCTAACACTTTAGGGTGAATGAGTTTTCCCGGCTTTTAACTTTCATGACAGAAGCAATTCCAGGAGTCAGTGCATTGGACGGTTGCGTGTACAAAGAGAGAAGAGACGGTGTTTTCTGTAGGCTGACCTCGTCCTGGTCTTTGGAAGATCTTGACCTCTCCTCTTTCTAGACCCTCTTAACTCTCATTTCTGTAGAACAGTAGATATTTACAAGCAGGTTGGTTGTAATTGAGGTATAGATTAAATTTGTGAAATAGGAAATGTTAGTTAAGTTTTTTGTTTGAGGATGTTACTGACCTTTCTCATGTTTCTTGTGATTTCAGATGATGAATTAAACCTTCTAGTTATCATAGTTGATACGAACCCAATTTGGTGGGGAAAACAAGCTTTGAAAGAATCTCAGGTAAAGTTCATCAGGCTGAGGATGGCTTTTTCAAATTTTAATACTAATTTAATTGAGTATCTGATAAGATAGGGAATTTTAGCTCTTGAAATGTCATTTAACTTAATATCAAGTGGATATTTATACTAGTTTGAATTTGCTTATGGGAAAAGAGATACAGAATTCAAGTTGTGCATGTTATAATTTATAATATTTAAAATCAGTTAATTAGCAAGCATGTAGTACACATATACCAGTAAATTAAACTAGGAACACCCAAGATATACTGTATTTCTTTTCCAAATGTGATGCTGTATGCTTTTTTGGAATCTAGTGTTTATTCAGTGTAATGGGTAGAAATAGTCACATTCAACAGAAAGAAGAAAAATATAATTTTCAGAAATTTCCAAATATTTTTACTTGAGCCCGCTTGTAAAAACTTACATACAAAAAGCCCCATATGTACAAGTTGAAATACTAAATATGTTCCTCAATTATTCGATTATAGATTTGATTATATTTAATTATAGATTTTAGATAGAATTTGTCTAAATTCCACTGTTAGAATTTGGAGCCATCATCTTTACTAATTTGTTCCTTTTCAACAGTTCACATTATCAAAATGCCTGGATGCTGTCATGGTGATGGGAAATTCTCACTTATTTATGAATCGTTCCAACAAACTTGCTGTGATAGCAAGTCATATTCAAGAGAGGTATGATTATTATGATTAATACTTTAATGTTTCCGAACCTTTTTGAGGCTTGTGTGCTTTCTAAACAAATATTCTTTTGCCATTCTGTGGTGCATAAAAAGATGCCCTCCATCAATGAATAGTATCCACAATATTAATAGGAAAGAAAAGATATTATTTCTTACATTATGGTATAGTAAAATCTCATTAGGTGATATCAGCTAATTAAAATAGTACCCAAATAAAGCAAGTCTTATTTCTCAGCCTATTATTTGTTTCTCCCATTACATTTTTGCAAACCCTCCGGAGCTAAAGAAATGACAGACATCGTCATTGTCATCATCATCCAGAGCCCAGCTGTGGCCCTCTGCACTGGGCTGGGTACTAGGCTTTGGCTGCCCCGGTATAAATCACATACCGAGGAGGAAAAGTTAGTTTTTGTGTGCTGTGCTGTAAGTTAAAGTATGAAGCCCTCTCTTTGTAAGCTGAGGAATGAAAAGAATGGGACTCAAGAGGCAATGTTGAGAGAGAGCAGCATTGGGGAGTGGGTGGAGAGCTCACCTTCAAGGTCTGCTCCCACCTCGTGACCCATCCTACCTGTGGCACCCTGGACAGGTTGCTTACCGACTCAGTACTCCAGACAGCCCTCTAAGGCCCTCAGATGCAGAGTGATTGGCGACTGGAATTGGTAGAGGGAATCACCTCACTGGGAGCCCCTAAGCTAATGGGATCACAGGTCAGAACCCCTGTGCTGTGCTTCAGAAGAAAAACACTGCCTGTACCCCAAATAACCTTCCCCTTGTTCTTCTAGAAGAATCCTATTTTCAAAGTTCTCTTCATTTTCTTTAATGAAATGATATTTTATAATTTGGATTCTTTTTTATTCAAAATGTCTTAACTTTTACTGCAGAATTTAAAATGAAAAGGCTTTATTTAATACATTTAATTGTTTGTTTATTTGTTTTTCTTTTCTTTTTTTTTTAAGTCGATTCTTGTATCCTGGAAAGAACTGGAAATTTGGAGACTTATTTGGTGATCCTGGCAACAGCTCTGCTGAGTATAATCCTTCAGGTAGTAAGGATGGAAAATATGAGTTATTAACTGCAGCAAATGAAGCAATTACTGAAGAGATTAAAGATCTCATGACCAAAAGTAAGTGGAGTTTAGGGGCTTTTTGTTTTGTTTTGGAGGGGGAGAGAGTATTATTTAAAGGAGTTAGAGGTTAGAAAGCTTGGGGGAATTAGTTTCCTCGTGTATTTCTTAGTACTTTCTACTTCGGTAATCTTTTTAAAATTGCTGTTATTAAAATTTTTTATTAAGCACCTTTGTGTTACTTGGTCCTTTGGGCTTTAAACTGATTAACTCAAAGGAAAGACAACATGTACTAAGACCTTGAAAAAGTACAAGATGGCAGCATCCTAGGGTTCACACTTTAGTTTCTGCCTAATTCTTGTTGGATTAAAGCTCTTTTCAAAGCCCTGTTTACTTTAATTCATCGACTCTACTAAATGGCCCCTGTGTGCAAGCTAGTGTGCTCTGAGGAACACAGTGAGGCAGTCCCCAGCTTCCAGGAACTCCCGGTCTAGACACAAGGGTAAGATGGAGACTCAGGAAAGTAGAAAAAACCACCCAGAGCAGTCCGCCGCAGAATCACGAGCTTGGCAGAAACCTCCGAGGCCATCTTGACCAAACTGAATCCGATGCTGGGGATTCTTGAGCCTGGTATTGCCCAGGACCCTCAGATCTTTTGCACCTGAACTGATGGCTAGCCGCGCCTCCTCCAGTTTGGATGTGTGAAGTTGATTTGTTTTTAACGTGTGTAAGATGATTACCTTTATCTTTCAGATTTTATCTTTTTAGATTCATCCCAGGGTTTTAGGCTGTCAAGAGCTTTTTGAATCCTGATTGTCTAATCTGATATGTTAGTTATCCTTCCCAGCTTTGTGTTGTTTGCAGGTATGATAATAATAATGCCATTCAGACTTTCACCTGAGTCATAAAAGATGCCAAACAACACAGATTCCTTCAGCACTTCATTGGAGGCCTTCCACGTTGACATCAAATTATTAATGACAACTTTTGGGGTCCAACCATTCCCTATTTCACGTCTCTACCTCTTTTCCACAAAAACAGCGATTTTTGTCACAAGTAAAATGGAAGTAAACTCTAGCTGGGGCCTTCCTTGATCTACCAATATAGGAACCCTGTGGAAAGGAAATGAGCTTAGTCTGTAATGCCTGATCTTGCTGAAGTCAGGCTGGCTTGTGGCGAGCACCACTTCAGGAGATGTTTGCCAGCTCGCTCTCTCTAATTCCTTACAGCATTGTGCCAATCTGTGATCAAGTAAATAAAAAAAAAAGCTGCAGCCATAGTCAGTGCTGTGAGCTCCAGAGAAGAAATATCCTTGGGTTTGATCAAGTGCCTTTGTGTTTTAAAATCTTTGATCCAAGGGCCAGCTCACTAGGTTGAGGTATAGGGTGCCAAAGAAGAGATCATGATGTAAAAACAGAAGACATCAATTTAAAAAGAAAAAGGAAAGAGACTGAACATTTAAAAATATACCAACGAATGTCTTTTAGACCATCCAAAAGCTATTGGACAATGGTCGTTTGTAGCTAATTCCATCCTTTTTGGAGCTTTTTCTGTTCCAGTTGGGAGGCATGTCAACAGGCAATTTATTAAGCACCTACTATGTGTGAGACACTGTAATAAGTGCTGGGGATACAAATTGAGGCAAAACCAATGCCTTCCTTAAAGGAACTCACACTCTCATGGGGGAGACAGTGGTCAAATGACTGTGAACAAGCGAGATATAGATGGAAGTGGTTCACGTGGAGTGCCTTACAGGGGTGCTCTATTTCAGAGGGAACTAAACACATTGGGGTGGAGAAGAAATGGTTGTTTGTCCTATTCTATTTTGTCCTATTGTTTAAAAAGTATATTTTTAAATTTAAGAACATTTTTATTTTCTCTTTCTATACAATTGTATTTTGTCTCTTAAAGGCTCCAGTTTTAATTGTTGGATTTTGTCTATGGCAAGGATGCTTGGTTTCAAAATTAAGTGGGTAATATAGATTACATACTTAAACTCAGGAAAGAACGGAAAAAATGTTTATTTACAGGTGGCATGGAAGGGCAACGAACAGAAACACTGTTGGCAGGATCTCTAGCAAAAGCACTTTGTTGTATCCTTTATTATTAGAATTCTTGAATCTTTTCTGTGATTAAAAGTATTTTAAATTGTAATTTTTAGAGTACCTTGGATATCCATAATAATAGTGGCATGATCCCTAAATGCTGAATAATTAAAACATTATTTCTTTGGCTTTGGAAGGTTTTCATGTTCATGTTTAAGTACATGTACGTGAGATAGACTCAGAATTCTCCACGAGAATTTTTTTTTTTTGGCAATTGGGGTTAAGTGACTTGCCCAGGGTCACACAGCTAGTAAGTTAGACTCAGAATTCTCAAAAATTCCAAGACAATAATAGAGAAAACTAAAGATTTGGGTTATGAAAAGTATGAAAGTTTCTTACTTTCATCATCTTACTCAGTTTCCATATTATTCAGAACTAATTTCTTTTCAAAATTCTTCCTTATTTCTTATTATGTTGGTTAAACTTGCTGTATTTCTAGGTCACAGCTTACTTAGGTTCTGAATGTGTTTTAATTTAAAAGGTTCTCTGTTGGGCTTCAGGAGAAATACATGGGCACCTATTGAAAATTGGTTTATTTCGTGTTTTAATCAATAAGCTTGTATTTGGTGCTTACCATGATGGACCACCATATGCTATGCTAAGGCTCTAAGTGAGTGTCTTCTGAAGTTTTTCCTCTGAGGGTCCAGACTTCAGAAATTTAGAACCTTTTGGGATAATCATAGTTCATTTGAAAAAATTTCCCTTTTCAGGGAGGGAGGTACTATTTAATAGTGTTACAAATCCTGAGTGATGACACAGAAGTTGTTAGTTTGATTTTAGAGACTGCTAAGCATTCAGGATTTTTGTGTGTTGAACAGAAAACTAAAGCATTTTAGCCAGGTGGTGTGTAGTGGGCTTGTTTAAATGAATTTTAGATGTTTCTGGAACTGTGTACTATGAATTACTATGGAATTAAATGGGCTTTTTTATTCCTTAATTCTAAAAAATTAAGATATTCACAGAATGAGCAAGGAAGTAAAAGGTACAAGCCTTTGTTTTTCTACTAATGAATACTAATGTCATTTATTTTACTGCCAGTTTCATCTCATTTCCATGTGGGAAGGATGGGCTAATTAGAAATTAGTATGCCCTGAAAAATGAAAAAGGCTGGATTTGAACTCAGGGCCTCCTGACTCCACGACCAGTGCTCTATCCACTGTGCCACCTAGCTGCCCAAAATGTAGTATTTTTATAAGACTAAACCAGTGTTAAATTTCTTTCTGTTGCTTATCTTTTGTAGATAACCAAGAAATGAAGTCGAGAATATTGGTAAGAATTTCCATAGGTAATTTTGCTGGTATGTGATTTTTAAGTATATGAAATTTTAATATGCATTGACTCTTCATTTTTTAGGTCATTAAGGCTGCAGAAGACAGTGCATTGCAATATATGAACTTCATGAATGTCATCTTTGCAGCACAGAAACAGGTCTGTATTTTTAATTAGAGGATGTCTATTGTCGTAATGAAACAATGAGCGTCTAACTTTAATCAGGTTACCTCCTTGGAGAGATAAACTTAGGAGTTTGAGAAGCTGCCATTCTAGGTGTTTGCTGGGCAGGTTGCTTTATTTATCCCATTTTCTCCAGTTCTAGATTACTCATCATCTTATTAGCTCTGTAGAGATCATTTGAAGACTAAGCTTTTTATTTTGAAAATAATTGTTACATTCCAATCACAGATCATTAAAAAACATTGGAAGGAGTTTCGCAGCTAGTCTGCCCTCCTCCAAATTATTTACACAACATTTTTTTCTTGTCAGTGTCTAAAACTATATTTGCTTAGTTTGTATGAGTTTTCTTTTTCCTGCGTATTTTTGCTTGTAATGGTATTATAGATGCTTTGATCGTTTTTACTTGCAGTCTTACATAATTTTTAAATTTTGGTTTCAGAATATTGTGATTGATGCTTGTGTCTTAGATACTGATTCAGGGCTCCTCCAACAGGTATGTTTTTTTTTTTTAATCATTGAATCGTTTTTGAACACATAATGTATACAAAACACCTTGCAGATAGTGAGAGACAAAAATAAAACACACACACACACACATATGGCATCTGCTCTGGAGGAATAGAGAAAACTTGTAAACAAATAACTGATAGAAATTAGAAGATGATAAATGCATGAGTTACAGCATAAATTATGAAAATTCGGAAGAGGAAAGAATCACCAAAGGAGGTGGCATTGAAAACAGGTCCTTCCATCAGCAGATGGAGAGAAGGAGTGGGATATGCCAGAGGATCATGAGATCAGAGACTCGAAGCCTAGCGAATGTTGGGTTTGTTTAGGAGACAGCGAGTAGTGATTCAGTTTGGGGAGGTTTAGCGGACAGTCATATGAAATAAGGCTGGAAAGGTAGGTGGTTTGAACAAAGGCAGAGCAGTCATGAGGAAAGGAATGGTCTCAATTCTCACTAACAATGTTGACTTAATTTTAAAAAGCAGCCACAACTGAACAAAGTAAGGTAGAAGGCAAAGCCGTTGGTGAATAGGGTTGGAGTTGTGGGCTTTGGGAGAATAGAAAAGTTTTGGAAGCTTTCTATTGGAGAAATTCAGTAAAAATGAAGGAAACGATTGCTAGATGTCAGTGTGGGCCTACAGGAGGTTAAATAGTTAGAATCTGGCGGTTAGACTAAAACTCTAATGTTCAATATTTTATGTGGGTTCTCAGGATGCCAAGCATGACTTTTTTGAAAATAAGACTTTCTGTAGAGGTTTTGTGATGCACTGGAGAGAGAGGCAGTGTTGGGATGAGGAAGTCATGGGTTCACGTCTTACCTCTGATTCCTTTCACCTGTGTGACCCTCTCGGCACCCCAGGCAGCTCTCTGAGACTCCAAGTTAAATTGATGTCCCATCACATTGTCCATTAGACCCTCCAGGCTAGATGTCCTGGAAGCATCTCATACTTGGCGTGTCCAAAACAGACTTCCCCCAGTTCCGGATGTCCCAATTTCTATTGAAGTTACCTTAATCTTTCCAAGTCGCTCAGGTCGTAACCTTGGCTTTATCCTCCCTCACCCACATAGCCAGCCAGTTGTCAAATCTGGCTGCTTTTCCACAGCCTCTCTCACATATGACTCGCCCTCTCTCTCTTCAGATCTCACCGTAGTTCATGCCCTCATCACCTAGCCTTGATTATTACAACAGCCTCCTTTTTTTCTTTCTTTCTACCTTTCTTTTTCAATATATTTTTATTTGTTTTCTTTTCCAAACCCTTCTTGATTAGGTGGCAGTGCCCCAAATCTATCTTCAACACCTTTTTCTGAAAATCACAGAAAAGGGCTCTAATATGTCAGTTCTTTGTTGTTGTTATTATTCAGTCATTTCAGTCATATCCGACTCTTTGTGGTCCCATCTGGGGTTTTCTTGGCAAAGATACTGGAGTGGTTTGCCATTTCCTTCTCCAGCTCATTTTACAGATGAGGAAACTGAGGCAACCAGGTTGAAGTGACTTGCCCAGGGTCACACAGCTAGGAAGTATCTGAGGCCAGATTTGAACTCTGGGCTTCTTTAGTCCAGGCCCAATGCTCTATCCGCTGAGCCATCTTGCTGCTGTTCGTTAGTTTGTACCGAAACATTCAGTTCTAGTCCTGGAAGTCTGAAGGCCCTTTTGTGTGAAGTCTACCTCAGTTGGTTTTCTAAATTGTTGGTTACCTTGTTTAGTAGCAGAGTTGGTGACTAAACGTATCTGAGGCTCACTGGAATCAAAAACAATTCCCATTTCATTTGCGGACACACATTCACCCTCATGCTTGTGGTAGGTATTACTGTTCAGACTTGCATCGTTGTGAGAAAGGATCAGTTGTGCCCATGGTGTATATTTACTTACAGGCCTGTGACATTACAGGGGGCGTATACTTGAAGGTGCCCCAGATGCCGTCGCTGCTTCAGTATTTATTGGTAAGAAAATACTTCTGTGGAATCTTGTAAATGAGCTGGGCACATTTATCCCTCTTTTAAAACATTTTGCTGAGACCCTACAGACATTGTTACAAACGCTCAGGACCTGAATGTTGTAAGAACACTGTAAATTAACTATAGTAATGATTGCTATACTGGAATGCCCCAAATATCTTCAGTACGTGAGATCCTTGGTTTCGTTGATGTGGGCACTCCCTCCGTGTCTCAGGTCATGGCCTGTCTACACCTTAGCAGATGGTGTCTGTGACTGGTGGCCAGAAATTTTCATCTGCTCTTGGTCAGCCTTCTGGGGCAGAACGTCTTCCAAGTTAGCTCAGCTTCTTGGATGAGAGTTCACACGTAGGCCCCTGCCTGTCCTCGAAGCCTTTCCAGCTTGGTGTAGGACCTGGGGGACGTGACCTTCCAGAACCAGGTGTTAGCCCTGCGCCGCAGCAAGGCATCAGGCCAGGACTTGAGTCCTACTAATAGAACATACCATAAACACCGATCAGGTGCTATTGTCAATTTTCCTTTTCCCAAGTAAGCAACAAAAAAGAAAAAGGTTTTATACAGTTTATTACTAAAGTAAATGGAAGACCAAATTCATAACATAGTCATATCTCAAAGGAAATGAAGAATTGTGTCTTTAAGTAACTTATTTCTGTGGTAAGTGTTTGCTATTTGTACTTCATCCCCTAGTAAATTCTTCCCTGGTATTAATAAGAATTCTTTGATTTTTGTAAACAGTGGGTATTTCTTCCGGATCAAGACCAAAGGTCTCAGTTAAATCTCCCACCTCCTATTCACGTTGACTACAGAGCTGCTTGCTTCTGCCATAGAAATCTCATTGAAATTGGTTACGTCTGCTCTGTATGTCTGTCAAGTAAGTTTATATACATATATATATGTACGTTTATATAATAATTATATAATTTTTAAGAACAATTTGGGGGGGGGGAACATTTTAATTATCCTCATCTGAAATCCTCCTGTTCTTTTCATTTGCAGTATTCTGCAATTTCAGCCCTATTTGCACTACATGCGAGTAAGTATCTGTGACATGTGTAAGTGACACACATAATAGAAATAGAAATTATTAAAAACGTTTTTCTGATTGTGTCATTTCAGGACAGCTTTTAAGATTTCACTGCCTCCTGTTCTGAAAGCCAAGAAGAAGAAATTAAAAGCATCTTCCTAGTGACCAAAAAAACCCCCCAAACACTTAATCCTTGTTTCTCCAACCTTTTTCCTGCAGTAGAGATTTTAACTGAGAAATCTGTGCTGAAGATGTTGTTAAAAGAAATGAGAACAGTACACATATAGCTGTATTTATGTGGCTAGTCCTTTAAGGGCATTTTTTCAAGAACAAATTTCTCTTGTGTCTCCAGGGGGAGAGAGGCGGTTGGGGAGGTAGTGCTCCTGGGTAACATGACGGAGGAACACTTAACTCACCTCTGAATTTTTAAAACACTTATTTTCAGTTGAGTTCAATAAGTATTAAGCTGTTTACAACGTACATGGGTGCTATGTATGATCATTTCTAGGGTAATCATTTATTAAAGTAGCTGCTGTGTTGATTACCAATGTTAGCACACGAATGTCTTATCTCAGTCTGGTTCTCTTTTGTGAAAAGCAGCATGTGTGGAATTTTCACCTAATTATGACAATTTAAACACATTTTTTACTCCCCCTGGCTCTTGTGGCTTTCATCAAGAGAGAGCCTCTTCCTTATTAAGTAGCCAGCTATTAGCTTTTGCTGTAGAAATGTAAATAAAGTTCACCATTCTTTAATTTGCTACTCATTCTCCCTCTCCGACATTAGCAAGTGTTTGGTACTTAACCTTGAAAAAGTCTTGACTAAGTATAGCTATTTTTACCCAAATAATAATCATCGAGTGATTACATAACCTTTATTTTTTAATAAATTAGGAAAGTGAACATTGTGTGGCAGGTGCACAAATGCTTTCTTTGTATACGGTTGCCTGAGAAGGGTGTTGCTGAAAGCTACCTGGGGGCATTAAAGGCAGTTTCCAGGCAAATGGGAAGGCTCTCCCAGGCCCCAGAGTTTTCCCTTGACATGACTCTTTCGTCATTTTAATCATTTACTAGAAAAATCTGTGAGCGTCTTCACCCTTCTATTGCAGTCTTTCTTAAATTCAAAAGAAAATGATTTTTAAATTCCATTTTAGAGAAATGACTTTTCCATAAACACCTGAAGTTATTGAAAGTTCTTTTGTCTTCCAGTTTATCGAAGAAGGATTAGGGGAAAGGAAAATTATGGAACCAAATAAGAAAATTTTCTTAGCATAAGACTTTTCTTGTTTCCCAGAGACACCAGACTAGTAATTAAATTCTATTTGCGGCAGGGACTCAGACCGACTTTTCTGGTTTTGTTAAAGACGGTAGTAAAAATGTTTGTGATAATTTTTGTAAGCGTTTATTCTTTTAAAAGCCCTTGATCTTTCTACTGTGTTAGAATGTGGTTGTTTTAAAACTGTTGTTAAATCTGGTGGGAAGAGGCGCTGAGCAGGACTGCGGTGCAGTGGGGGGAAGAGTCCTAGAGTTGGAGTCAAAGGACCTGTGTTCAAATCCTGACTACCACTGGACCTTGAGTTTCCTTATATAATAAGGGAGTTAGCCATCACCTCTTAGATTCTTTCCAGCTCTAAATCTTTGATCCTGTAAGTTGTGACCATGGAGGAATCATTTCATTTCCCCGAGCCTTAGTGCTCTCATCTGTAAAATGGGAATTATAAATCTGTCTACTTCACAAGGCTGTTGTGAGGACAGTGTTCTGTAAAAACTGTAAAGTGCTATGTAAATATGAGCTGCTGTTATTCTCATACTGCGCATTTGGATGTAATGGGGGTCATTGTTTTAAGTCTAGCAAACAGTTGGTGCCTATAAGAGCTTCAGATGTTCAAAGGATCAGAAAAATTTCATAACACTTGAATCAGGATTTTCTTTTCCCTTGTCTCATTCAAAAACTTACTAATTCAATTCAGTTACATTTTATTTTCATTGTATTTATAGTTAATTTTAATATGAAATTTTTTCAATAAAATAATTTGTATTTTTTCAATACAAATTACTTCCTCTTATATTTTCTTGTGTTAATTTCTACTTATTTTAGAAACTTAAAACCAAAACTATAAAGTTTTAATGTGATATGCTTCTGTACCATTAAAGATTTTGTTTGAAGAAATTCAGTCTCAAAATGCAAAGAATGTATATAAAAATCCTCTCCTAAGTATTCTAAAATTACAGATCAGTTTGAAACAAATCATTGTGTAGGTAAGCATAATTTGAATGTAATCAAAACCTATTTAAATACCATTAAAATACCATATTGATAACAAAGTATGCTTGGTTACAGTTACGTGGAATTTTGTGTTTTTAAAATTCTGTTTCTGTTACTGCTTACTTTAAAAGAATTAACAATTATAATCAATAGTATCATTCAGATATATTGTTACGATTCTTCACTCTGCATCACTTAATAATGTGTTTATTCTATTTCTTTGAATCCTTCATATTTGTAATTTCTTATTATATACAGCAACAATAGTCTATCATATTTTCCTACCACAATTTGTTCAGCCATTCAGCAGTCTCAAACACGTGGATTTTTTTTCCCGGGCTTTTACTATTACAGTATGATCTTTCTGTGAATGTCTTTATACAGATAGATCTTTCCTGTTAATGCCATTCTTAAGGTGTCGTCTTAGTAGTTTTATTGCTTGTCTTGTGTATTACCACATTGCTTTCCAAGAAGATTGTGCTTATTCACAGCTCCGCCACTAGAGTGATGGTATGCCTATTTATCCACAGCCCTGCCAGCATTCAATTGTTTTTAAACCAAATTTCCCAATTTAATAGGATGCTTCAAATTGCATCTTTCTTGTTATTAGAGAATTAGAACAAATTTCAGGTGGTTATCAATACTTTGTGTTTTCTTTTGATGGTTGTTTGCCACCTACATCATTGTATTTTTAAAATGCATTCTTTTTTTTTTTTTTTTTCTCAGAATTGCTTATTAACTGCCATTTGCTAGACACACTAGTTCCTTAAACCTTTCGGTTAAATATTTTGACCCTTAAATATACAGTAGTATAGAAAGAATCTAATTCAAACCATCACCTTTTAAAATTGCCTTCGTGAAGCCGGAGTCCTGTCATAGTTTGTGGATAGCTGATTGTAATCAAGGAATTTGTGAGTCACTTGCACTTCTCATCAACAGTTTCTGGTTGTGCACATGTTTACACGTGTGTCTTGGACCTGGAGTTCTTAAGGGTGACAGTGGTACCTATATTTAAAAAGTCTGTGTTGAGAATTTTCATCCCTTGAGTGTGTTTATCAGCTGCTATCAGTTGACTGTATATTTAGACAAACTACAAAATATTTATTCCTGTTACTTAAAATTCAAATCTGTATAGCATCTGTGCTCATTCTTCAGCATCTATACTCATTCCTTTCTTCATCAACCTAGTCCCTCACTATCTTTGCAGTTTCCTTTAAACTTGTTCTCCTCTACACATTGTCTAATTCCGCTCTGCAGGCCGTCTTGCCGTTCTGCACACAATTCTCCATCCTGTAACGTGTTGCCTTAGTTCTGGCTGTCTCCCATGTCCAGAATGCCCTCCCTCCTCACTTTTGCCTTCTGCCTATGCTAGTTTCTTTCAAGATTCTTTTTTTTTTTTTTTTTTTTTGGCAATTGGGGTTAAGTGACTTGTCCAGGGTCACACAGCTAGTAAGTGTAAAGTATTTGGTCTGAGGTCAAATTTGAACTCAGGTCCTCTTCAGGGCCAGTGCTTTATCTACTATGCCACCTAGCTGCACCTTTCAAGATGCAATACAAATTTCACCTTCCTTTGGAATTACGCTCCATTTACACCGAACGTGTCTTATAAGGTTTGCCCTATGAGCAAAGCAGAATTTTGCAGCAGCTCAAAATAGAGAGGGGCAGATTTACAGAATCTGCCCCAAACGTTCACATGGACTATTTGTGCCTGACCTGTGGTAGAGCCTTCTGGGCTCATATTGGTCTGATTAGGCACAGACACGTTGTAACTTGACCCCAGCACGGTGATGTCATTTTGGTCCTCTTGGAGAATGAAGAACACCAACCGATCTTATATGTACATGGTTATTATGTTGTCTCCTCCACTGGAACGTGAGCTTCTTGAGGACAGGGACCCTGTTTGAGCCTTTCTTTGTATTCCTTGTGCTGAGCACAGTGCCTGGCCGACTGCCTCACCAAAAAGCAAAAAAAAAAAAAAGAATAGAATTATGCAAATAAAGTGACTAAAATGTCCATATTCCTTGACCCAGAGATTCCACTGCTAGTCACAGACCCAAGGAAGTCATTGATGAAAAGAAAGGGTCCATCATAGCAAAATATTTCTAGCATCCCTTTTTGTGTTAGCATAGACTAGAAATAAAATAGACCGCCATTGGTGGGGGCCTGGCTAAACTACCCAGTACATGAATATAACATGATAATTACTGTGCTGGAAGAAATGACACGGTGAATACAGAGAAGCATACATGTGATGAAACAAACAACATGAAATGCTGTAAAGCAGAGCCAGAAAACTACATTGTAAATGGAAAGGATAATATCCAGAAAACAATTGAAACTGAATATTGCAAAATTATAAAGAATTTTGTAATTCTTGGCTCCAAAGAGGAGAGAAGAGATGATCTTTCCTTCCACCACAACAGAGGTGGGGGTCCATATGTGTGGAATATTGCATATAACATCACATTTTTTTTTTCAGTTTGTCAGTTTTGCTGATTTTTCTTTTCCTTTTCTTGTCTTAAAAATTCTCTAAGGGATGGCTCTTTGGGAAAGACAAGGGGCAGGAATACAGTAGGATTCCTGGATACATGTATAAGCAAAAGACATTATTAAACATCTATTTTTTTTAAACTGCATTAGAGGGGCAGCTAGGTGGCCTAGTGGATACAGCACCTGTCCTGAAGTCAGGATGACTTGAGTTCAAATGTGGCCTCAGACAGAACACTTGATACTTACTAGCTGTGTGACCCTAGGCAAGTTACTTAACCCCAATTGCCTAAAAAAAACAAACAAACAAAAAAAGCTTGAGGACAAGGATTTTCCTTTGCCTCTTTGTGTCCTCAGTGCTTAGCACAGCCCCTGGCACATAGTAGGTGCTTAGTAGATGTTTCTTTATCGATTGATTATTCAAGGAGTTTTGAGGGCCAGCACAGAGATGGTTGAGAGAGTCAGCCTTGGAGGAAGAAAGACTACTGGCTCCGTGACTCCTGGCAAGTCACTTCAGCACCATACGGCAGTGTAGTCTAAGACTCCAAGCAAACATATAGGGTGTATGACCCCGGCCAAGTCATTTAACTAATCAGTATTCTAGGCAACTTTCCAAGACTATATGGGAGAGGGAATTTCCTCCTGGGAGTTCCAATATCAATGACATCACAGTTCCAGTCCTCTAAAAGAGTTTTTTAAGACTTTGCCTCCTCCTCTGGAGAATTTCCAAGATTTGCACCATAGACTATATTGGACCTCACGGGTCATTCTGTCTCTTAGTACCCCAGTCTCTGTATCAAGATACAACCAAGGGGCAGCTAGGTGGTGCAGTGGATAGAGCACTGGCCCTGAAGTCAGGAGGACCTGAGTTCAAATCTGCCCTCAGACCAAACACTTGACACTTACTAGCTGTGTGACCCTGGGCAAGTCACTTCACCCCAATTGCCTAAAAAAAAAAAAAACAAAAACAAGATACAGCCAAGATTCTGACTTACCCAGGGAATGTTTTCTATTCCTTGAGACAAGTGTTGGCTATTGCCTTCAATGCTTCCATCAGGTCAGGAAGACAAAGGGAGTAAAAAGGGTCGTTTCTGTATAAAAAGAGGCAGAGATCCCTGGCTTGGCACCTGTTGTTGATTCTGGGCTTGTTCCTAGGGTTCCAGTCTTCCTTGATGTGACCAGGGCTCTCCTACTTCACGAGGCATGTGCCTTGGAGTCAGGCTGTCACAGCCAGCTGAGTGAACGATGAGCATTCAGAGGGTCCCCAGGTCCTGCTTGATTGACTTTGGTTGGAGAATGCTCCCCATTGGAGCTAAACATTGCCTCGATCATAAGACGCCAAGCCAGTCATCATAATCCTAAAGCAATCGCAGACCAAATTCCCCTTACCAACCAATGTGTTTAGAGGAAAAATCTACTCTGGGAGGGTGTCAGTGACTTGTGGGAATGCCTTCTTTTGTTAGGTTTTCCTCGTAACTAAGCTCTCTGGTTTTGGCCATGCCTAGGAATGAGGGGCTCTTTATGTGAGAGAAAAGAGAGTGGTGGGGATGGGTGGAGCCAAGTATGGCTACCCATAGTTTGTCTTAAAGACTGTATTTCCTGATGTCTCCTCAAACCAGATGAAGCAGCTCTCTAGTTACCCACCTAAATGACAGCTGGGCAAGGAGGAGTTGTATTTTTGGTTTTTTTGGTGAGGCAATTGGGGTTAAGTGACTTGCCCAAGGTCACACAGCTAGGAAGTGTCAAGTAGCTGAGGCCGAATTTGAACTTGGGTCCTCCTGACTCTAGGGCCAGTGCTCTATCCATTGAGCCATCTAGCTGTCCCAAGGAGTTGTATTCTAATGTAATGACCTTTGCCTAATATTGAAAGAAATGTTCAACTCCCAACCCAAGGCTTTGTAGAGTCACAATTTACAGCTCATAGGGGTTTGTTGATCAGTTGTTATTATCTCAGACAAGAAGAGTTTTTCCCTTTTTTGTTTTTCTTTGTATCCACAGCACTTAGCACAATTAAGCACATAGTAGGTACTTAACAAAGGCATATTGACTTGCTTAAATCCAAGGCATTATTAGGCTCTCTATTGTAATAAGTGACATAGAGGAAAGAGAACTGGTCTTAGAGCTAGAAAGACCTGAGTTCAAGACCTGCCAATGACACAGGCTGTATGACCCTAGCCAAGTCATTTAATGTCTGTACTCGAGGCAACTCTCTTAAGACTATGTTGTGGAGACATAGAGAGGAATCCCCTCACCTGGGACTTCCCTATATCAACAAAATCACAGGTTCATTATCCTTTATTAGAATAAAAAGTCAACAGAATTGTTGACTATGGATACAAGCACCTATTAAGCACCTACTAGATACTAGTGCTGGGGATGCAAAAAAAAGCAGAAACGTTCTCTGCTCTGAAAGAGCTTACAGTCAAACTGGGGAAGAGAACACATACAAGCATAAATACGTGGTGACTGGGAGGGACGGAGTTCAGGAAAGGCCTCGTGTACAACAAAGTGTTGCAGGAGTTGAGTCTTTGAAAAAATAGGGGAATCTGAGAGAGGGAATCAGCATTTATGCAGCTTTTTCTTTTTTTTTTTTTTACAGTTTTTTTCAAATGCTATGCACTTTTTGGAAATGTTATTTCGTTTTTTATGTTATTTTTACAAATATTATCTGAGACCAGAGGCAAGCCCACGGATCTGCCCATCACGCCACGCAACCACTCAGGGCGTCCCAGGAGGAGGTGGGCGGGGCCACGACGCGCCGCTAACGGGCGCGGGGCGAAGGCGGGTTCTCTCTGTCGCTTTAGACCAATCGTGGGGCGCGCCCTCGCTTCACCTGCAGTCGATTGGTGGTTGCCATAGTCTGGGCATTCCGTTGACAAGATGGCGGCGGCGGCGGCTGTTCGGGCGCCGCTGACGCCTTTTCCTTTCTGCTCCTAGCTCGTGCCGCCTGCCGGGGATCGCAGAGCCGGCGCCCGGCCGCGGTGGGGCAGCGCGGGGAGGCGAGCCCGGAGCCATGGGCCGGGCCAGGCCCTGCTCGCCACCCGCCCCGCAGCTCCTGCTGCTGCTCCTGTTTCTGCTGTGCTTCCCAAGGGCCCTGTGGGGAGACGTTGGTGGGTAGGGGCGGGGCTTCGAGCGGGGACGGGGGGCCTGGGTCTGGGGGCGGGGCCTGGGGAGAGGAGGCGCGTGAAACCCGGCCTGGCAAGCTCTGTGCTGTGTGACCCTCTGTAGGTTGCTCTGAGCCTCTGGTCCTTAATCTGCAAAATGGGAACCAGGATATCTGAAACACCTATTGTTACCCAATAAATGTGGGAGCAGCGACGGGGCGCCGTGGTGCATAGAAATCTTGCCTTAGACATTTACTAGCTGTGTGACCCTGGGTAAATCACTTAACCTTTATGCCTCAATTTCCTCATTTGTAAAATGAAAATAATAGGTGCACCTACTTCTCAGGGTTGTTGTATGGATAAGATAATATTTGTAATGCGCGTTGCAAACCTCAAAGCGCTCTAGAAATGCTAGCTGCTATTATAGTTACTATTATTAGGGGCAGCTAAGTGCCGCTGTGGATGGGGCACCAGGCCACAAGTCAGGAAGACCTGAGTTCAAATTCTGCCTTGGACACTTACTAGCTATGTGATCCTGGGCAAGTCACTTCACCCTGTTTGCCTCAGTTTCCTCACTGGTAAAAATGAGGTGGAGAAGGAAATGGCAAATTACTCCAGTATCTTTGCCAAGAAAACCCCAAATGGGGTCACAAAGAGTCAGAAATGACTGAAAATGACTGAACAACAGTTTTTTTGATTAGGAGATATTTGTAAAGCTCTTTGCATACCTTAAAGTTGTATACAAATATTAGCTATCGTTAAAATGAGATATTTTAAAATGTTTTATAAACCTTAAGGTGTTACATAAATGCTAGCTGTTATTATTATTTAGAAGAGATAATATCTGTAGAGCATTTTGCAAACATATAACACTATATACTAACTCTTATTAATGACAATAATTATTAACCTTGAGAGATGAGATTATTTGTGTTATTCAGATGTTTTCAGTCATGACCCCATTTGGGGTTTTCTTGGCAAAGATACTAGAGTGGTTTGCCATTTCTTTCTCCAGCTCATTTTACAGATGAGGAAACTGAGGGAAACAGGGTTAAGTGACTTGCCCAGGGTCACAGCTCTGAAAATGTCTGAGGTCAGATTTGCACTCAGGAAGATGAGTGGTCCTGAAGATAGGTCCAGTGCTCTGTGCACTGTGGCGCCCCCTAGTGGCCCAAATGAGGTGTAATGAAACCTCTGTAAAGCACTTTTAAACCTTATAGCATTATATAAATGCTAGTTTTTATTAACATTCTGAAGATTCAATGAGATAATGACCACAAAACACTTTGTAAACCCTGGCGCCCCGTGTTGTCGTTACCGTCTCTCGTGAGGCAGTGGGTGCCGAGGGGTCCCAGGTCTTTGTAGCAGCAACAGCAGCTGCAACTGCTGAAGTCTTTTCTAGTTTTGGAATAAGAGCGTCTTGGTGCAGATCCCAGGTCTGTCACCTGGGTGACCTTGGGCAGCCAGTCATCAAGGACGAGGTGGCCACTCTGTACCAGGCAGCCTTGTTTCCGGAGAATGAGCGGCCCTTGGCAGCCAGAGTGTAGAGGAAAGAATGCTGGCTCCACGTGGGAGGTTTGACCTCTTTGCCTGGGACTCCTTTGGCAAAATCACATTTTTAAATGCATGGAATAAGATACTTGGGATTGCAAAGGAAACTAGTTATATTGAAATAGTTACCAGCATATTAAAAAGGCGACTTCACAGAGCCCATGTTAAGAATCCCTGCCCTAGCAGCTCACCGACTCAGGTTCACATCCCACCTGTGATCCTTGTTCCCTCTGTGCGTCTGGGCAGATTGTTTAACTTCCCTGGGCCTCACTTTCCTCAACTCTCAATTGAGGACGCTGGACTGAATGGCTCCTAAGTCCCTTCCAGCTCCAAACCTAGAATTCTTTGAAGACCTGTGTTCCATTCCAGTGCAGACATTTCCTGGCTGTGGGACCCTGAGATTATCCTTCTAGCCTGAAGAGACTAGACATGGGAAAGGGAGTTTCCTGTACCAGTAAAATCCCAGGGCCAGGCTGTTTCCAGCAAGGGGCAGTTTTATTACTGGTAGAGCTGCCCCACCTCTCCTGCCAGCATTGGAGCAAAGGAAAATGGCAGCCATAACTGACAGTGACCGTTCCCCAGGACTGTCCCTCTGAGATTCACTCTGTATCTCACATGTCAGAGTAGTCTGCTTGCAGTTTTCCCTGTTAGACTGTGAGCTCCTTGAGGGCAGGTGCTGTGTTTTGCCTTTCTTTGTATTCCTTCCCCCCTCTTAGTCCAGTGCCTGACACTCAGTAGGCGCTTAATAAATGTTTCTTATTGTTGTTATTGACCCTAACCCTGCAACCCTCCATGCACACACTTAGGAGGGGGTTGCTTGATTCTGACGCTCCTTAAAGCTCTATGTCTCATCTTCTGGGGCTCCTCATGGTCCTTACTGTGTGTGGTATTAATGCCCGACTCTTCTCTTTGCCAGTTTTCCTCCCTCCTTTCATTCGAATGCTTGACACTTCGGTTACTGCAGCCTTGGTTGGAGATACGGAGGATGTCAGTGTGAGCCTCACCGTGTGGGATGATGAGCTGGGTAAGGAGGTTAAGCAGCTGGTTTTGAAAAACTCACTGAAAACACAGAGGGCTGCTTTCTGCTTCTGAGACAGTTGCAAGGCAAGATTATGCTCTTTGAAAAGGAGAACTTTCTTAAACCTTCTGTGGGCATAAAGGTAGGAAGAAACCCTTGAAAACCTCTGTTCTTACCTCCTTTCACTTAGGGATTTTGCCCATTCCCGATTGTGGATTGCAGAATAATGGAACCGGCATTTGGAGTCTGACTGTGACTTCTGATGTGGTATGTTCAACATTAAATCTCTTCATTTTCCATTTGTTGTTCCATTGTTTCAGTCATGTCCAACTCTTTGTGACCCCATATGGGGTTTTCTTGGCAAAGATACTGGAGTGGTTTGCCATTTTCTTCTCCAGCTCATTTTACAGATGAGGATACTGAGGCAGACAGGGTTAAGTGACTTGCCCAGTGTCACACAGCTAGGGAGTGTCTGAGTCCGGATTTGAACTCAGGTCTTCTTGACTCCAGGCCCAGCACTACACAACCCAGCTGCTCTTAATTTTCCATTTAGTGTCATATTGATATTCCTAAAGCATCTGTATTCCCCTGCTCAAGATGCTCCTGAGGCTCCCTATTGCCTCTAGGATAAACTCCAGACTCCTCTGTTTGCCACTTAAAGCCCTTCCTATTCTGGCTCCAGCCTCTTTCCATGCCCGTGACTTCTCTTTACACGTTCTGTGTTCCAGCCAGCCTGGCCTCCTGTGATGTGAGTCACCTCCCTCTTCCAGGATCCTCAGCTTCCTTTAAGGCCCAGACCATTTTCCACCTCCTCCATGGGGCCCTTCCAGGTCTGGTCCCCTCCTGCCCATTCCTACTGTCTTCCTCCCAAATCACTCTGCATTGACTTTGACTGTGCTTGGCATTCACTTTGTAATTCCAACCCCTCCCCCCTCACCCCCAATAGATTGTAGCCTCCCGCTTTGTTGTTAGTTAATAAGTAGAATGTTAGAACACTGACCCAGAGAGGGAGGGCACCTTATGACACAGGATGCTAGAATTGGGAAAGACCTCTGAAAAGACCTCTTTCCTCCCTTTGAAAATGGGGATAATCTTGGTGCTTCCTCCTCTTGCTAGAATTACCTGTATGACCTTGGGCAAGTCACGTCACTGCTTGGGGTTTCAGCTTTCTTACCTGTAAAATGGGGGGGTTGAGTTAGATGATCCATCCCTAGAGTCCCTTCCAGAATAAATGCCTGTGCTGTCAGTTATAGAATTTTAAAGCTGAAAAAGAGAATTTGAGATCCTTAGCTTTTCCCACCTCATTTCTGGCCTAAGCCCCAGACAAATGAAGGTATTGAGTTGACAGCTAGAAAGATGTGGAGTGCAGGAAGAAATGGCGGGCAGATGGTCTGAATGGTTTGGGTAGGGATTGTCCCAGGCTGGCTTCATCTTAAGGATTTCTCTTCTGGGGGCAGCTTGGCCAAGTGTAGGAGATGGTTGGGCATGGAGTTAGGGAGGTCCTAAGGTCATGTGGACCGTCAGATTGAGGGCTGGAAGGGACCCCTGAGACCAGTGAGTCCCACCCTCCGATTTTTCAGATGAAGAAACTGAAGCCCCGGGAAGTCACCAGGGGTCAGGACTTGGGTCTTCGCTCTGGTGCTTAGTGTCTGGGGGATTTGGAGTCTCTTTCTTCATGTGTAAAAATGAGGATAGTTATGTGTAGGCTAAGATTGCCCGGGGGACCTTGGGCAAGTCACTGGCCAGAGCATATGAGGCCAGTCTTGCCCTGGGCAAGTCATTTAGGTCTCTGAGCCTCGAGCAGCTTCCTAGGACTTTGCTATTAGATCCAGGTTGTCATCTGTATTGGTGGAGGGCATTACCTTCAGTGATGAAATGAACGTGTCAGTAACATCAGCTGGGGTATCTAGAGATTTCCTTGTCCCTTAGTGCGTTGGGTGTTTGTGATTATAAATGTATTTTCACAGTCCGATGAGAACTAAGGCAAGGATTTTTTCCCCCAGATGGGCTCCGAAGTGACTGTAAGATTGAATGGCGATTTACAGCCCTGTGTCTCTGAGACAGACTTCTTCTCTGACTATCCCTGTGTTGTTGAAACTCTTCTGGTTTCTGCGTCTCGAAACTCATCCTGTTTGGCGCACTTAGTCATTCAGGTCGAAATCTACCCTAATGCTTCCTTTGCCCAGAATGTATCAGGTGAGTATTGCAATCACGTGCCCAGAGCAGCAGAGAAAGCTTTCTCAGCATCATATCTTGTTGGTCATTTGCTTTGTGAATTAAAAAAAAAAAGTTTGCAAGACTCACACAAGATCTCATCAGAAAATCAGCCAATTTTTCATGTGCACCTGAGGACAGAGCCCAGGCTAGGAGCTGGTGGTACCAGTCAGAATTAATAGTGATTTAAGACCCCTTTCTAATAAGCATGGGGGCGATTTTAGAGACACCATTGTTGTCTTTAATTTCTTAGGTGAAGGAGGTAAAAATATGTTACTCTTGGGGAGCAGCGTGGCATTTGTGACATCAGCAGGACCCAGGTTCCAATGCTGTCTTCGCCATCTGACCTCTAGCTATATCATTTCCTCAGTGCCCATCCTCAGTGGCCCAGACAACTGTGTAAGCCTCTGAGCTGTCACACACTTATCAATCTGCATTGCTTCTCCTCAGGTGCTCAGTACATGGATGAAATCACTGGGCTGGACCAAAAATCTTTATTACTCCGATGTCCTCCTTCCTATTTTGTGACTTCCCAATATGAATGTGCCTGACACATAGTAAGCTCTTAATAAATGCTTTTGATTGATTTATAAATATTTTAATTTGGCTGAGAGGTTCATTGTAGCCAGTGATGGGCTGGAGCCAGCTTATACCAGCCAGAAAGCTGATTGTTAAATTGTCAATGTGAACATTTTTACCTTGGAAATCAGTAAATGCTACAAATCAGGGTTTGATCTGTTGTTTTATTGATTGACTTGACTTAAGAAAATGATGTAGAAAATGTTAATAATGTAGATTAAACTTAAACAGGCTGGGTAAATCCCACTTTGGGCTCTGCCACTGCCCCCTACCCCCACCCCCTCTTCCCCAATCCGGTTGTTAAACATTTACCAGCACACCCCTGGTGAAATAACTGGGCCTGTTTTTATTTTTTTATTTTGTATCCCCAGAATTTAGTACAGTGCCTGGTACATAGTAGGTGCTTAATAAATGTTTGTTGTTTGGAGAAGAAAACGTTCCTTTTTTAATTGGCTCTGAACTATATGGATACCTGGAGCTCATGTAAGGAACAGGACTCTTTTTATAGGCTCAGGGTGTTTTAAGCACCTGGTGCCTGGCGTGTAGTGAGCCCATAACAAGTGTTTATGGAACTCAATTGAGATACAGAATTTTAAACGTCTGTTCGCTTCTGAGCATCTCCAGCTCTCACACACATCCTGGTGAGGGTAAGCCCGGCAGGCCACGAAGGCCGAGTGCAGCTGTTCCTGCTGTCTCAGGAGACAAGCACCGGCCCTCTAGAGCTCCGGAATGACCCGCCTCCCCACCCCCCAGCCTCTCACTGCGTCCCCAAACTCTGGCCCAGGTCAGCATGAGGGAGCACCATGGGAAGTGCCCCCAAACAAGAATGGTGCCCCTTAAGGTGTTCGGAGTAGTAATTGTGAGCTGTCCGCTCTGGCCCGTGAAGGTGTGAACAGTTTTGGCAACCAGTGAGAAAGGGAGCAGAACAGAGGGAGTGATGGGAAGAAGGTCAGGAGGTATGTAGTGCAGCCAAGGGCATTGTAGCTTCTGAGAAGTAAGTTACTGTAGGAGACGTGTGGGGAGGGAGCCCTCTGTCTGTCTCCATGACATTCCCAAAGAGCCTGCGTAGCTGCAGGTGGCTCAGGCTGAAAGGGCAGCGTCCGGGCCCGATGCTGACCTCCAGGTCTCTCTCCCGCCTCTCTCCCCCCGTGTCATTGATATAATCAGCTTCTACTCTATCGTGTCATGTATGTTACAGACTAAAAGTCGCTGCTGTTTTTATGGTGAGTTTTAAATGCTGTGGTGTTGAAAGCAGTTCAGAGAATGCAAGCATTTAGCTCATAGTGTCCCACCCATCAGGAGCTGGCAGAGACCTCCCAGGCCTCCCTCATTTCATAGAGGCAGAAGCTGAGGCCCAGCAAGGTAGAGTGACCTGCCTAGGATCCCAGGTACAATAAAGGACAGGAACAGGATTTGAACCCAGGCCCTCAAGTGTCAAATGTTCTGCTCCATGGTGCTGACAGTTCCTGCATTTGGGCATGAAGTCCTGGAAGGTTGGACAGAAGTCCTAGAAAACTGGTAGGAACCTTCCAAAACAGAGGCAGCCAAAGCTTGAGAAGCCCCCTGCTTTCTTAGGTTGGGCTGCCCCGTCTCACCTTCCCTCAAATCAGAAGTTTGGTCCTCAGGAGCTGGGGGAGCCCATGCTCAGGAAATCTGCCTCAGTTCCTCCCTAGGGAGGAGCTCAGATGTGGTCAGTCCCACAATTAAGTTAGTCCACAGGCTCCACCATTTTCAGCCTGCTGTCTTCCCCATCATAAAGCTTGTTAGGAAATGAGAAATTCCTTGAGACATACTTTTGTCTCCTTGACACCACGCTTGGTGGCTTGTGCACAGTAGGTGCCAGCGCCTCTGCCTGGGGGAGTAGTGACGTTCTGGCTCTGCCCCGAAAGTGGGACCTTTGGAACTGGGGTCAAGAACACGATTGAGCCTTGAACAGTGTGCACTCCTGGGTTTTGAACCCCAGTGGTCCAAGCTGAGACCATGTGGCTACACATCCTGGGCCTAAAAATTCCATTCCCTCGTGTCAGAAAATTGTGCCTTCTGGGAGGTCATTGTCTGCAGGAAGCTTTGACTCTTCCTACACATTACAGAGAATGAGATTGCCTGGCATCCGAAAAAATGTGCATGAAACAGTCACGTTGAAAAGCATCTCTTGTGGCTCGGCCCCCTCCAGCTTGGGGATATTGTGCCCTGGGCAGCTGCCCACTCTGTACAGATCTCTAAACCTGGCTTTGTCAACAAGGCCCACACGAGGGTGATTTACACAATGCCTGCCGACAGATTCACAATCCTCACTACGTGGGACATGCTGTCTGAATTCCTTAGGAAGAAAGAGCTTTCAATTTAAAGGATTCAGAAACTGATCCCTGGGAGTTATGGGAGGTGGGGTGGGAAAAGGATAGTTAGGAGGAAAACCACTTCCTAAGAAGATTGCATGCCTCTCCCAAAGGGAGAAAAAGACCCGGAATACGTGTGAAGTACTTGGAATCCTGTTGTCTCCTCCCTTCTTTTCTTTTCTCTGTGAAGTTTGGATTCAAAGCGCAGCCTTTTGACTGAATCCAAACTTCACAGAACAAATCCCCTTAATAAAAGGATTTGTTCTGTAAAACTTGGACTCAGTCAAAAGTCTGCACCTCAGGACCTAGAAGGCCACATGTGGCCTTAAGGCTGCAGGTTCCTCACCCCTGCCCTAGAGTCTAGGTGCACTCTCCTTAGCACCCAGGGGTTTGACTATTAGTGCTAAGCAGATGGCTCCCAAATCTATCTCACCAGCCCTCTCCCTTCTCCTGAGGTCCACTCCCATATTTCTACCTGTGTCTGCAGGACAGCTCCACCTGCTTGCCCCATAGGCATCTCAAACTCAATGCGTCTAAAACAAAACTCTTGATCTTTCCCATCAAAACTCTCCTTTCTTTCTACCTCCCCTGTTTCAGTCCAGAGTACTGCTGTTCCTGCAGTTACCAGATCTGCCAACGTGGAGTCATTCTTCACTTCTTATTCTTATCCTCACCTCGTATACCGTCAGTTACCAAGTCTTATGGATCATACCTTTCAAAAACCTCTTGAATCTGTCCCCTTCTTTCCACTCACACCACAGTCACACAAGCTCAGGGGCCCGTCACTTCTCACCTGGCTTTTGGAGTAGCCCACCGATTGGTCTCCTTGTCCCCAGACTGCCCCTTCTCTAATCTGTCCTCTGCACAGCTGCCCAATTGATGTTTCTAAAGCATAGGACTGACCACATTCCTCCCCTTCCCAAGAAAAAAGCAGCTTTCCATTGCCATCTAAAACCTTTCTTCCAGGCTTCTGCCCTACCTTTCCAGGCTTCTATCCCCTACTTCTTTCCTTTACTCACTCTATTTCTGCTAAACTGTCCAACTCACTATTCCATGTGTATGACATTGCATTTCTCAGTTCCTCATGCCTGGAGTGCCTTCTTTTACCTTGGTCTCTTGGAATTCCTAGCTCCCTTTGAGGCTTAGCCCAAATGCTGCCTTCTCCAAGAAACCTTTTCTGATTGACCCAGTTATTAGTACACCTTTCCTCCACACCCCAAATCACTTTGTATTTGTTTGGCATACAGCTTGTATTTACTTATCTGTGAATGTGTTGTGTCCCTCAGGAGATTGTAAGCTCCTTAAAGGCAGGGACAGCCTCCATTGTTTGAACCCCTTGTGCCTGATATAGTGCCTGGTACATGGTGGGAATTTAATAGGTATTTGACTGACCTCTAGAAGATCACAACATTTAGTAATTTCTCAGTGGTTCCTGAGGAGATTGGATTGATCATAGACCAAATTTTAACCCCTTATCTCATTAATGACCCAAATATTTGTCAGACCATCAACCACTGAATTTAACAGCTTACGTTATCAAGACTTGGAATTTCTGGGTGGTAGGGATTAGACGTTGGAATATAGCATTATTAATTATGAACCATAGTAGAATGAATTCTAAATAACCCACCTGAAATTTTACAACATTTACACTTTTGTCTGATTCAGCAGAAAAGTAATTATCTTGAAGGAATAAAATGAACCATTTTTGTTGCAGATGGCCCAGCATTTTTGGTTTGGGGGAATAAAAAGGCCTGGGAAGTTTGAAGAGATAGCATCTAATTTGCTGGAAAAATGATGGCTATACATACATTAGAATTTCCTCCCCTGGGAAGTGGAGCCAAATGTTTCTTTCTTGAAAGTGAATTGTGAGGGGGCAGCTAGGTGGCGCACAGGATAGAGCACCAGTCCTAAAGTCAGGAGGACCTGAGTTCAAATTCGGCCTCAGACCAAACACTTGACACTAGCTGTGTGGCCCTGGGCAAGTCACTTAACCCCAGTTGCCTTTAAAAAAAAAAAAAAGTGAATTGTATTTTCCTGGTGGCCAGATGGGCCTTGCTGACCCGTGTTTGTATCACCTCTGCCCATGGGATCCACGACATGTTTGTAACAGACACGGGTGGGTGCCAGCCTGCTTGGAGATTCATTCCTAGGCAGCCTTTGGGAATGGTGACTCATCATGCCTTTGGGCCCCTAAGATGAGGCAACATCTGTTTCTCTGCCTGTCCTTTAAAAGCTTCACTTTTCTTTCTTCATGCCTTTTCAGAGAACAGCATCGTCTTCGTTAACCAGATGTATCAGCCCTTTGGCCCCTGTCCCTGTGACTTGGTCGCTGGGATGTGTGACGTCCGGTGCTGCTGTGACAAGGTATAGACTCCGCTCATCAGGTGTGGGTGCAGCCGCTGGTCTGCCAGGGCCTCACCTGAGTCCAGGGCATTGTACCAACAAGCACAACAGTACAACTGCATGTATTATTTCAAACAAAAATCTCTTCCTTTCTGGAGCTCTCAGGGTAGTTTTACTGAAGGAGAGAAACGGGCTAGGCTGGACAGTACTAGGCTGGACGATACTGGGTCCGCTTCTAGCCCCAGACCCACGAGGAGCCCTGAGAAGGACCTTCCATTCACATTCTGCCTTGATGGTGATGGCTGCTACTGTGGCCATGGTTTTTTTATGTTTTTCTGAAATCCTTTTGATTGAATTCGATCCAGCAGAGATTTACTAAGCACTTAGTGTGTGCAAGGAGAGACTGTTATAGTGGAAAGAGTTCTGGCCTTGGGCTCAGAAGACCTGGTTTCAAATCCCATCTCTGCCACTGACTAGCTGTGTTACTCTGGGTTAGTCATCTCCCCTCTCCAAGCCTCGGTTTCTAAAATGGGGATAATAATACCTGTCGTCCTTACCTCACCAGGCTGTAGGGAGGCCCCAGTGAGATAGAACCCATGGGAATGGATGACATCACCCAGTGAGGAGAGGAAGAGTGGCCTGAGCCTGGGGGGAGGCGGTCACTGTGAGTGTCAGTAATTATCATGGCTGTCCCTCCCCAGAGAATGGAGGCGCCGTGAGGGCAGGGTTCTTTTCATGGTTTCCCCTGCATCTTGCCTGCACCTCATTGGGACTGCACCTGTGATTTAATTGGTAGAGAGTGCTCCCTAGAGAGGAAATTCTCTACTAAAGTGAGTAAAGTATCTTACAGTCTGAGAGAGTTGCCTTGGGCTCTAGGAGACTTGCCCGGGTCACACAACTAGATTTGAACCTAGGTCTTTGGGTTCTAAGGCCAGCTGTCAATTTGCTATTCCACCCAGCCTAGCACATAATGTTATCAGTCATGTCTGACTTTTTGTGACCCTATTTGAGGTTTTCCTGGTGAAGAAACTGGACTTGGTTTGCCATCTCTTTCTCCAGCTCATTTTTACAGATGAGGAAACTGAGGTAAACAGGGTGCAGTGATTTGCCCAGGGTCACCCAACTAGGAAGTGTCTGAGGCCAGATTTGAATTCAGGTCTTCCTGACTCCAGGCCCAGCTCTCCATCCACTGTGTCACTAAATTGCCCAGAACATAATAGGAGCTTGACAATTGAATTTCAAGGCCCTGGGCTAGGAGCTAAAAAGAAAGCAGGCCCTACTCTCCTTGGCAGGATCTGGAATGGTAAGGCAGGAGATGAATTTTTCATGTGCTTTGTTTCTTTTTCTTTCTTTTTACACTTACCACCACCAGGGCTGGGGGGGAAGGGTTGAGGGGAAGAAAGGTGATGGGGAGGAAGCCAGGAGGCCAGAGGAGGAGGAGGGTGACCAGCCCCAGTGAGAATGAGCTGCATTTCAGTAAAAAGGGCCACAAGTGACATGGTAAGGCCCATCTGTAGCATGCCTGAAAGCTTTGACGGTTTTTGAAGTCATCAGTGAACCAAGGTTGATCCAATTCCAATCTAGAATTCATTAGAAAAAGGATGGGGCAGTCTAGAGAGGCAGGCTGACTGGTGTCCCCCTAGGCCTGGCCCGGCCTTCTGTTGATTGACACAGCTGTGTCTGTTTCTGACTATGGAATTTCACAGCTACAACAGATAGCTTCTCTGCCCTTTATACTGGCCCATTTTCAGAAGAGCTACTTGTACGTCCCTGTTAGCTTCCACAGTGTGTGGTGTAAGGTCTGGGCACATGGTTTTGTTGTAATGTTCAAAGAAGCCTATTTTTATTTTCTTTTCAGAATTGGGCCTCTTGTTGCAAAAGCAACCTAGAATCAGAGTCTGGGCTGCCCTCCTGGGGCTGCTGATCCATCCATCCCCTCTCTGAACACTTAAGGGACTAACTGTGTGAGCCAGGGATGGAGAACGTGCAGCCTCAAGGCCACATATGGCCTTCTAGGTCCTCGGGTACGGCCTTCTGACTGAGTCCAAGTTTTACAGAACAAATCCTTTTATGAAGGGGATTTATTCAAAGGGCGGCACTTGACACGGAGGGCCGCTGTGGCCTTGAGGCTGCAGGTTCCCCACTGTGGGCCATACAGTGTAGAACTTTCTTACTAAAATGTTGCTGCAAATACCACTGATATATGACATCCTTGGTAATGGAAATATTTTGGATAAATGACTTTGTTAGGAGGCTGAAGCTTATGTCTTAAAGCCGAGGCACCATGGGTAGAGAGTACCGAGCTTGGAGCTGGGAAACCAAGCCTCCTCATAATATTTACTGGCTGTGTGACCCTGGGAAAATAACTGAAATTCTCTTAACCACTAGTCCATCAATTCCATCAATCAACAAAAGTTTATTAAGGGCTTACTATGTGCCATGCACTGGGCCAGGTGCCGAGGACAAAAGAACAAATAAGTGTGTCTTTTAAGAGGGGAGATAACAAGGACTCGTGTCTAGGTACAGAGCCCATAAACACGCACATACATGCACATGTGATTATACATGGGCATAAATACACACGGGTATAAGTATATGTCTATACTCACAACACAAGTGATTTCAGTACAAGGCAGGATGGGAGGACTGGAGGGAGGGCCTTCCCTGGGATGTGCCCAGCCACAGCCCGGGAGGAACCTCCTCTTCTTTCACTCGCTTCTGAGTGCACTGTCGCAATGCAGCTGCATTCTCCAGAGGGACCAGTGGTTTCCTCCTTGCCAGATGAAATGGTCTTTTCTCATTCCTCGTCCTTTTGGGCTGTGGTGGATAAGCTTCTCCTCCTGGATCTTCCCCTCTCTAGGTTTTCGTGACCCTCTTCTCTCCTGGAGACTCCCTCTTCTGCCTATCTGATCACTGCTGCCCAGTCTCCCACTGGGTCCTTTATCCAGGCTGTGCGCACTAACTGTAGGCCTGGGCCTTCTTCTCTTCTACGGCCTCGCTTGGGGACCTCCTCAGTTCCCATGGGCTTCTAATGACCGGTTATCTCCATGCAGATGATTCCACAGCTGTGGATCTCTCTGCTGAGCCAGACATGCACCCCCATCTGCCCTGCTCTTTGGGTATCTCAGATTGGATGTTCAGATCTCTCCTTCAACAGCCCAAACCCTCCCTTCTTCCCAACTTTTCTGTTACTGTCCAAGGTACTACCCCCTCCCAGTTGCCTCGGCTTGGTCGTTGGGGGTCATGCCCAGGTCCAGTTGGCATGCCCTGCACATATTCCACTCTTCCTGTACCTCTCATCCTCTCTGCTCACACAGGCTGGGTTCAGGTCCTCATCCCCTCTCCCTGGACTCTCGCCCTCTACCTCATAGCTCTCCTCACTCAACTGCTGATCGGATTTCCCTAAAGCTCAGGTCTGATCATGTCAGTGGCTCCTTATTGCCCCCAGGAGCAAGTACAGAGTTCTTTGTTTGGCTTTTAAAGCCCTTGGTAGCCCAGGCCCCTGAGATCTTTCTTGTCCTTTTGCACTCCCCACTCTTCACCACCCTATCCTGTCTGGCCACACTGGTCCACTTGTAGTTTCTTACACACAGACCTGATGCCTGGGCTACTCTTCCTTCTCCCCTCAGCCTTCCAGCTTCCCTCGGCCCCTTCCGGACTCAGCTCAGCTCAGAAGCCTTCCCTCCATCCCCCTCTCAGGCCTGCCTTCCCCCACACCATCTCCCTCCCTCCTCCCATGGTGCCTTTCTCCTTGAGATTACCTCCAGTTTACCTGGCATACATCATGTTTGTGCATCACTCATTGCATGCTGTATCTTTGATTATGATGAGGTCTAGAAGTTTAGGGGTGCTGGGACCTTAACATCACGACACATGGGTCCTGCCCAAAAGAATTCGACCCAAGCCTCCTTTTAGCCAAAGACAAGGTTTATTAAAGATCAAACATATTAGCAGACTCTTAAGGAGTCTGAGTACCTGTGAGCTATTGACTAGATTGTAGAAATCTGAGCAGTGACTCGATTCTAAGAATCTGAGCCCCTTAATGGAGACAAGATGGACTTTACATACAGAAAGACTGTGGGAGGGATCTAGGAGTGGCCAAGTAGTTTGGGGTGACTGGAGGATCTGGATGGGAGTGGCCAGTAAGCTGGGGTGAACAGACCCCCAGGGACCTGGACCACTGGGGGCAATTGGGAGGTAAGACAACGGAGGGCTAGGCTAGGCTAAGGGTAACAGAGAATTGGGAGATTGGGCGGAGCCACAATGAAAGGCCGGTTGATGGGATTATAGTCTCAGGCTAAAGCCAGAGATTTGGCCCTGTGGGAAAATCCAGGGTTTTTTCTTTGTGGGGTCTAGATCCCATCCTTATCAATTAGACTAGGAACTTGTTGAGAGCAGAGACTGGCTTTTGCCTTTTTATCCCCAGCTCTTAGCACACTGCTTTGCAGTAGCTGCTTAGTAAATGCTTGTTGGCTGACTGACTAGCAGAGAAAATTCCCACACAAGGCATTCCCCTGGGGTCCCAGGTCAACAAAATCACAAATTATAGATCCTTGAAACACGGAGAGTTAACTTTAAGAAAAAATTAACTCCTCATGATCAGAACATTTCTTTACCTTGGTAAAGAGAGTCTCTGAAACAATTGAATTTTTCTTGATTTCTTGAGGTCATCATAGTGAATATCAGTTAGTCTCCTTGGCTGTAAGACAGTGCTGCATCTCAGGGTTCCTGCAACATTTGGGGTCCTTTGCCCTTGTGTTCTTTGTGTCAAGGCTTTGTGTCAGGGGCTGTGTCTGTGTCTAATTGACTTGACACATATTGTTTGATCGCAGGAGTCCCCTCAGTGGCCCCAGGTCTTCACGGGCCCCTTTACCTTTGCTGGCCCCTATAATGTGTTCAGTATGGATCGTACTCATCTCTGCTCTCTCCCTGTCTTAGCACAGACACCATCTGGCTTGCAGGGTTGATCCTCTCTCCCACTCTGTGGTTGTAGCAGTCATATCTGGCCCTGATGAAGGGATTGTAAAAATGTCCCTTTTTTTTGGAAAGACCATGGCAGATGGGAGTAGTGGAGGCCCTGGCACGTGTACTGACTGCACTTTTGTGTCTTCTTCCCAGGAATGCACGCCCCATTTGATAGAGCTGTTTAAAGAATACTGTTTCACAGGAATTTTTGGTGGTGATGTAAATCCACCTTTCAGCCACCTGTGCTCTAACCCAGCAAGAGAAGAGGCGTCGGATTGGTTCCCCTTCTTATGTGTTCAGTCCTCCCTGGACAACACTCCTTTCCTTGGTTATTTCTTCCATGGCTTAACGTAAGTAGAAACACAATGGACCATGAATGATTCTTGTGCCTGAATGCCAATGAAGCTACTTTTCTGATTGCTCACAGACTATGTAGGATTTCTGTGAGGCACATTTCCTTTCTGAAATTCACCGACTTAAAAACGTTTTGTTCTATGTTTTAGTTTTTCTGAGTTTGTCTTGTGCTGTGTATTTGAAAGAATGATGTCAAACTAATTTGTCAAACATTTGGCTGAACAGCTAATAGTTAAAACTGTGAACAATAATTATTTTTCTTTCGCTTGTAGTTCTCCTAGAGAAGAGCTCAGCTTCAGATTACCTGTATATGTCGAAGTAGAAGACTGGTCGGATTTTGGCTACCAGCAAGACAGTCCCCTTATGACAGTGGAAAAAGAACTTTTCACCATCCCCCAGGTCAGGACTTCAGTTTCAGAATGTGGCCATCCATAGTCTTCTTGCCAATCAGTCAGTCTCATTGGTTAAACTCATTTTGTGTGAGATGCTGGGCTAGGCCCTGAGAAGCTGACAAACATAGAACAGTCCCCAGCCATGAGGAGCTGCCATTTTCATCATTTCTCCTTCTTGTTTTTATTTTCTCACAAACACTCAAATGAAAGGATGTGCGATTTCAGTGACGTCAGTGTGTCCTTCAGCGCAGCCTGGAGGACTTTTGGCCGTCACCTCCCTTAATTTTTTCCCCAAGGGGTCCTCCAGATGTTCTGGAAGCCTTTCTTACTTTCTGCTTAATCTGTCTTCCATGGATATTGTCCTTTTTCTTTTTTTTCTCCATTTATTTCCTGTTCTTGAGTGAGACTTGTCACGACAACTACACCTAGAGACAGCATGCAGTAGCTAGAGTCCTTGGCCTAGAGTCAGGAATTTGTTGTTATTTTCCAATCGTGTCTGACTCTTTGTGACTCCATGCACTCATCTATGGGGTTTTCTTGGTAGAGATATTGGAGTGGATTGCCATGTCCTTCTCCAGTGTGTCCCCATTTTACAGATGAGGAACTGAGGCAAATAGGGGTTAGTGACTTGCCCAGGGTCACCCAGCTAGGAAGTGTCTGAGGCCAGATTTGAACTCAGACCATAAGTCTATGGGCACAATCTGCTGAGCCATCCTCTGTTAGGCTGGCCCTACACTAAACTTCTCTTGACATCTCTTCATGTGTCTGAAGGATCAGACCAACAGTCTCACAGCTCCTGCTTGCTCTTGGTCTGGCAAAGAGCTGTTGAATTGAAATCCTGACACACCTTTGTGTGAGCTATCGCTCTGCCAGCCCTGTTACTCTTAGAAACAAAGTCCATTCCTGGTGTCTTACTTTAGTAGAATGTTTCTGAGTTCATGTGATCCAAATTCTTAAACAGCTCAAATGATGTGAGGTTTTTTGCCCAAGCCAATCCTCGAAGTTCTTTCTGATGCCTTTCCTGTGTTAATTTTAAGACTTCTCCTGTGGTAGGAAAGAGTCATTGAGGGTGAATGCAGTCAGCATGTGGGTCTTAGTGAGATGGCTGGATTGGAGGGGACAGCGTGGTATAGTGGGAAGCAGAAAGAAGATCCTGGTGTGAATTCTACCTCGGGTACTTGTTTTCTGGGTTATCCTGGGCAAGTCACCAAATCTTTCTGAGTCCCAGTTGGCTCATTTTTAACATGGAGAGAATGGCACCTGCCTTTGCGTGGCCCTGAATGAAATGTAGAAGTGCTTTGTAGAGCTGACAGAGCATCGGGAATGTTTGCTGTTATTATGTGGAGCACCATGGGCTTGAAAATGAGGCCTCTTCCTAAGCCATTTCCTCACATTGATTAGTAAAGAAATCATGGGAAAAAGTCACTGCCCAGGTCTACCAGCCGGCCTTTGGGCAACCTCTACTAACAGAGGAAGCAGGCCACAGAGAGATGCTTAGGAGGCTGGCGACCGTGGTTTTGTGGTGGCAGGAAGAGCGAGCATTAATCTTGTGTCTGTCTTGTTCCCAGATGTCCTTGGTGGGGCAGTGTATTTCAGGGGCCCCCGTGGCCTTCCTTCAGAATTTTGATGTCATCTGTGTTACTAACTTGGCAATACGTCCAGAGCGGGAAGATATTAGTAAAGTGAGGATAAAAAATGGTACCATTGGAGGTATGTTGCATTGGTTGTCGGGGGAGGAACCAAAAAAGCCGCCGTTCCATCGTGACCCCGGGATATTAGGAAATATTACCCCCTGGGACCATTTCGGTCAGAACATATTCATGATCTGTTGGAGAAGCATTTTATTTTTAGAAATACTTAAAAGGGACTTTGCTCTTTAATAATTTTAATTAACTTAATTTTTATTAGCATTTATGTAGTGCTTAAGACTTGCAAAGTGCTTTCCAAATATTATCTTAATTGATTTTAACAACAACTCTCTGAGACAGATGCTGTTATTAGCCCCATTTTACATTTATTTTATTTTATTTTATTTTTTGGCAAGGCAATTGGGGTTAAGTGACTTGCCCAGGGTCACACAGTTAGTAAGTGTTAAATGTCTGGTCTGAGACTGGATTTAAACTCAGGTCCTCTTGACTCCAGAGCCAGCACTCTATCCATTGCGCCACCTAGCCATTTTATTGGTGAGGCAACAAAGGCAGACAGAGGTTAAGTAACTTGCTCACACAGCTAGTAATTGCCTGAGGCTGGAGTCAGGTCTTCCTGACTCCAACACACTCAGTCAAAGGAGATAACCATTGTAAAGTGCATTTCAAGGTGAGCTGTTGTCATCATCTTCATCACCTTCCTCCTCCTGGTGCAGCCCAACAGTAGCACTCTGACCTGGGAGGGCTGAGAAGAGGGTCATATGAGAGGATTGACCTGGAAGAGAGTTGCCAGTTGCCAAGGGTTCTACCAGTATAAACGAATAACAGTGTAATAAGCATAGGATGAAGAAGGAAATGTGTGGAGATAGGTTCTTTCTCACAACCAACCAGCGTCGGTTGCAGCTCTTCCTTGGAAGCTCACTGTCTTTTGCCGTCATAACTGGTGTCTGTTTTGTATGGGTGTGGATGAGTGCCAATCTCCCAGAATGCCCACGTGCTCGTGTCTGATGGGCTCAGGTGGGCAGAGAGGAAAGGATGGCCTAGAGAGCTGCCTCAGGTGCCACAGTTTGTAAAACAGAGACGGGCTTTCTCTTGGAAGAGAGAAAACATGATTCTGCAATGCAGTGTAGACCCACCAAGGTGACTGTTTTTGTCTTCCCAGGCTTTGTCGTACCCCGAGTGACCTATGAGGAGTCAACTGCCTTAGACAAGTTCATCCATGGCACAGGTACTTTATCGTGATGCTTTCTGTATGCTCATAGAAACACATTGGTTCCATCCAACTGAAAGTTCTGCCGGAAGCTGAAAAGAAAGTGATTCTCGATGGGAGACTTGGAAACGTCTCTTTCCAGATAGAATATAAACTCCTTGAGGGCAAGAACATTTTCATGTTGCCTGTCTCCTCAGCACCTAACCCAGTGCCTGGCACGTAGTAGGTATTTAATAAATGCTCGTTGATGCATTGATGGGTAAAAATATAACTTTAGAACTTTATTGAATATGTTGGTTTGGTGAAAAGCTATAAGCTACTCTTGCCCCATGAAAGAGATGTGGGAATATGAGGGTAGAATGTGGCCTACCCCTTCTGATGTAAGTTTGACTTAACTAGTTTTCTCTATCATAAGGAAAGGTTTATTTGGAAGGCTTTCCTGGGGAGTGACTTGTGGAAAAAACAGAAGGTGTCAGTTACACATGAAATAAACAGAAGGATGCAGATTGAGGGTTAGAGGGCCTGGGTACAAATACGGGCAGTGATTTGCTACTTGGGTAACTTTTGGCCAATCCCTTCCCTTCCCTGTTCCCTCCTCTGTAAAGCTGCACCTGAGAGCTCCAGGGGCCCTCCAGGTCCATGACGTGTGTGGCTCTGACCTCTGTGGGCCTTGTTTCCATATCTGTAACATGATGACCGGGGAGGGCCCCTCAACTCTCCCTCTCTGCTCCTCTGAAGTCAACCCCCACATTCTTCAGAGAAGATCACCATCCCTTAGGGCTGGCTGCAGTTCTTTTCACTGACCTTTTTTGCTTTTTATTTTCACCATTTAAAATAGTGACTTAACGTGGTGATAGCTAAGTCACTTAGACTTTCAGTGACATTATTGGATTTGATGAGAGAGGCTCTTTCTGTTTCTCTTGGATCTAACTGTGCTCAGAGGAGAGTCTGCAGCTCAGAGGACTGACTGTGGGTTTGTTTACAGACATACTTCTTCATCCCGGGCCATCATTCAAATATGTGAACTTGGAAGAGCATTATACTTTCAGGTGGAATGAGAGAACAATCACTGCATTCAATGTCAAAGTCATCCGGGCAAAAATTCATGCACACCAGCAAGGTAGTACATGGCGAGGCAGAGAATTTGGTTTTTCATTTGGAGTCTTTTTTCCCTTGTCTTTGGGATACCTCTCATTAAAACAGGCCAGATGTGTTTCCTGCATGTACTTATGACTTCATCCAAGATAGAGAGGTATGAAATCTATTTTGGAGATTTCAAATATAATTATAAATGATTGACCTTGGTCCCAAAGAAGAGAGGAGAAAATCTGTTATTTCTCAGCCTTCTTTGTGGAGGTGAAGACTTTGGGTGTGGAATGTCATATATACTCCTAGATTCGGTTTGTGTGTTGGTTAGTTTTTTGTTTTGTTTTGTTTTGTTTTTGGGGATGAGGCAGTTAGGGTTAAGTGACTTGCCCAGAGTCACACAGCTAGTGAGTGTTATGTATCTGAGGTCGCATTTGAACTCAGGTACTCCTGACTCCAGGGCTGGTGCTCTGTGCACTGTACCACCTAGCTGCCCCATCTGTGTTGGTTAGTTTTGCAGACTGCTTCCCTCCCCCTTTCTTTTTCATTCTTTGTTCCAAGGGATGCCTCTGGGGAAGGTCAGGATGCATTTGGGGGAAGGAGAAAGATGTATTTGGAAATTGAGGTGATAGAAAAGCAGAAATCAACAAAAATGTTTAAGATAAAATACATTTCTAAGAAGTCCATTGTTTCCCATGGGGGAATTAACAGTACTTGTTATATTTGTTGTTGTTGCTGTTTTATTTCTAGGATTATTGACACAGAGATTTAAAGTAACATTTTTAAGCTTTAATGCTAAAGACAGCCCAGAACGATCTGGAAACCCAGGTAAGGTGGTTATACTTGAATTCCTCTGGTGAAAAAAATGAAGAATTGATGTTTTAAAAAAATTCCTATCCCTCTTCCCCACAAGCCTGCAAATCAGCCAGCCCTTTCATTTCTCTGTAGTTTGTAAAGTTGGCCTGGGAGGGGTAGCTTGGCAGTGCATAGCAGCTACATTCTGGTTCAGTAACCCTGGGCAAGTCACATGAGGGCTCAGAGCCCTAGGGGATTCCTCTGTGGTAGAGGGAGCAGAGAAAGCGCAATCTGCCCAGGGAGAGACCAACGAGTTTAACCTCTCTATTTCAATACAGACGAGAACTTGAGACCCAGAAGGGACAAGTAACTTGCTCAAGGTCACACAGGTGACATGTGGCAGAGCCAAGCCCCTGACTATAAGTCCAACGGTCTTCCCACGGCTTTCGGAGTGAACATTAAACCCCTCTCCCAGCTCTCAAAAAACCCCGCCATCGTGAGGATTGCGGAAGTGGATTTGAAAATAGTCAAGCAAGAGACGTTGGTCTCTTACAACACTGCGGAAGCCACGGGTCCCTCCAATCCATATGACAAATATGGTTATCATTTTGTTTTGTATTTAAATTATTTTTTAAATTTTAAATTTTTTAAATTTAAATTTGTATTTAAAGTATTTAAATTAAAAAAAATTCTCCATTGAGATAATATATGCTTTATATATCATATCTATTATATCTACTTTATTGGAGTACTAGCAATGAATTCAAGTCTTTCTTCTTTATTTAATGATCAATGTTTTAACAGAAATTGTGGTTCTTACCTGTTAGGAAATATAAGCTTTTCAAGAAGTGGAACAAGCTATAGATGGATTTTTTTTTATGAGCTAATAAAATTATATACCGTCTGTTGCTTGACTATTTTCAAATCCACTTCCGCAATCCTCACAATGGTGGGGTTTTTTGAGAGCTGGGAGAGGGGTTTAATGTTCACTCCGAAAGCCGTGGGAAGACCGTTGGACTTATAGTCAGGGGGTCCCTTGGCTCTGCCACATGTCACCTGTGTGACCTTGAGCAAGTTACTTGTCCCTTCTGGGTCTCAAGTTCTCGTCTGTATTGAAATAGAGAGGTTAAACTCGTTGGTCTCTCAGACCCTTTCCAGCCCTAACCTTTGACTCTATCTATGGCCCTCTGTCTAGTTCACTAAGAGGTTTATTTTGCATTACAGAGAATAATAATCCCAAATGGGGGCAGGTGCCGCCAGGCTGGAGAGCCTGAAAGTGGGGCTTGGGAGGGATTGTGTCTCTGATCCAAGGATTGACCTCCCTAAGCAGGTGATGACAACAGCGTTGTCACGTTCATGAATGTCAGGCCGGGGAGGGCAGGGTGCTGAATACACCAAGATCACGGGCTCTCTCCTTATACAAGCCACGTGTGGAGAGGCGCTGTGAAGGGGAAAAGGCACTGACCTGAGTCAGGAAGACCTGGGTTCAGATTCCTCCTCTGCATGACCCTGGGCAGTGTACTTCACCTCTCTGGGTCTCAGTTTCCACTGGACTCAATGACTTCTAAGATCTATGCTCCCATGAACCGACCAAGTGATGGAGGGATTGTGTTTTGCAGTGGGGGCGCAAGTCCCAGCCCGGATGAAATGAGAGATCCTTGAATAATAACCATGTCTCTAGTGTACTTCCCCAACATTATCTCACTGGATCCTTGCAACAACCCTGGCAGGAAAGTGTGGTTATGATCTCCATTTTACAATTGAGGAAACTGAGGCAGGCAGAAGTGAAGTAACTTGTGCAAGGTCACACAGCTAGTAAGGGTCTGAGGCTGGATTTGAATTCAGGAAGATGAGTTTTCATGGCCCCAGGCCTGTGCCACCTAGCTAACTCAAGTATAATGATAACAACCCACATTTCCATAGCCCTTTCCTTACAACATCCCTGCCAGGTAGGTGCTATCATGGTCTCCATTTTACAAATGAGGAAACTGAGGCAAACAAAGGTTAAGTGGCTTGCCCAGGGTCACACAGCTAGTAAGGGTTTGAGGCTGGATTTGAACTCAGGTCGTCCTGACCCCAGATCCAGTGGTCTCTCCCCCTTGTCTATCACATGGGTACCTCTGATGCAGGCTGTCCCCTTCGAAGCCTTAGAAGAGAGATCCATGAGTTGCTGAGGTTGAAAAAGTTCCTCACTGGTTGGCCAGCCTCCCAGCAGGTATCCAGCCCATTCATTGGATGCCTGTCTCACTGCTCTGTTCAGCTCATGCCTCCGACCCTTGAACATCCGTGGCTGGCTCTTTCCTTTTGGCTTCACGTGCTCCCTTTGTGTTGTTGCTTGAGGCAGCACTCTGTGTCATGGAAGTGCAAGGATGGCTTGGTGCCGATGCCCCCAGAAGGCCCTTCTAAATCCATGGCTCTAGAATAATCTTACCAGAAGAAAAGCCTGTTAAGCCTCCCTCGTTGTGTGTGTGCCTGTGTCTAGGTCACCTTCCTGGCAAGCCTGTGAGAGCCCTAAATCTCAGAAGTGTTAACAATATCACCACTTTAAACCTTTGGCGGCCAGGTAAGCGTGACTTGTTTGTTATCATTAATTCAGTTCTAGGTTATAATTAGAGGCAGCTTTGTTCTCTGATTCAGACAGATCAATAAAACCCATCGCCCTTTTACTTTGGCTTGTGCAGTTTATTCCCTAGGGTCTTCGATGGTGTTTGGAGTCATTGGGATGGTTCCTCCTGCCAAGCTGGCCTGCTCAGTGTTCCCGATTTCATTTCCTACCTCCCTGCTTTTGCACAGGCAGTCCCTCATGCCTGGAGTGCTCTCTTTCCTCACCAGCACCTTGTAGGACTCCTATCTCTTCTTAGTGTTAAGCTCAACTACCACTTCCTTCATTTCTCTACCTGTTAGGTCCTTCTCCCCTCGACTCAGTGTACTGATTTTGTATTCATCCTGAATTTACTTTTCTGTAAATACCAAGATAGAGAGATGTGAGCATCTATTTTGGATATTTGAAATATAATTATAAATGGTTGACCTTGGTCCCAGAAAAGAGAGGAGAAAATCTATCTGCCTGCCTTCTTTGCGGAGGTAGGGGTCTATGTGTGTGGACCATCGCATATACTCCAGACTCCATTTGTCTGGTGGTTACTTGGTTAGTTGGAGGAGAGGATTGGTCAATGAATAAATCAACTCTTTAGCATTTATTAAATGCCTACTATTTATTAAATGCCAGGCACCGTGTTGGTGCTGGGGATGTACAAAGACAAAATTGAGATAGTCTCTGCCCTCAGGGAGCCTTCATTCTAGTGAAAGATACAAATATATAAGCAGATAATAAAAGTGATACATGGACCTGCCTTTAGAGTAGGAATTGTTTTGTTTTTTGTATTTGTATCCCCCATGCTTAGCACATAGTAAGTATTTAATAAATGCTTGTTAATTGAGTGACTGATTATCTGTATACATGTTTTCATCCTTCAATAGAATGCAAACTCCTTCGGGCAGGGGTTATTTGAATTTTATCTTTGTATCCCCAGCACTGAACACAGTGCTTGGCACATAGTGGCAGGCACTTAATTGGTGCTTATTGATCGATTGATTATCAAGATTTGGTTCAGAAGGGGGCAGAAGGAGGCCTCCTGGATTCTGACACCATGTCTGTCATGTGGGTGCCGCCTGCACTGGGGCCATCCCTTATTGGGAAGAGGGGCCCGGCCCTGTCTGTCCTGGTTACTGCCCTCTGCTGGCAGAGCCCGCGTCCTTGGAGAAGGCCCAATGTGGCATCCCAGCTGATATGCCCAGGCACAAGTTCTTTGGATTCGTGGGGGAGGCACCATATTTGGAAAAATCTGGAACCTTGTTTCTCCTTAAGAGAAATGCCAATGAAAGCTTGTGCGGAATAAAGTCTCTCTGTCTTACCGGTGCCTTTGTTTTGTAGTTGGCAGGGGTCTGTGCACGGGAGTAGAAACCACCCCGGTCTTATTTGGAGAAGATGCTGTAACTGGATGCCTCTTGGAGCTTGGCATTGATGAAAACTGTACCCAGCTCAGGTGAGCAGGGACGTCAGCGCATTTTGGGCGGCTGGCTGAGGAGTCATTCAGAAGTGTTGATGTGAAACAAGGCTGGATTTGGAGGCTGAGGGGCTCAGTCCTAGTTCAGTCCTAGTTCTACTTGGGTGCCTTTCTGGGCCTCAGTTTCCTCATCTGTAAAATGAAGAGATTGTACTAGATGACCCCAAGGTCCCTTCTGGCTCCAGGTCTGTAAGCCTCTGTCACAAAACCAAAGTCCGTCTGAAACATAACCAAGCTGAAAGCAATCATGGCCTCCGAGGCAGACACACATTGGTAGAGCAGTTTGTTGGTGCTTCTGGCTTCAGATAAATCAGATCTGTTTGCTGGGAATAAAGCCAGCCATTGTAGCCATCTTCAGACAAAGCCTCCTTTTGGTAATGGTCACATCGGTGGCGCCGACCTTCCTGCTGGGCTTGCCAGGGCCCTCCTGGGGGCATGGCTGGTGTCTGTGCAGAGAATCATAGCCATGTGCCATGTCTAATGGAGACTGTCCACATGCCTTTATCTGTGAGTACCTTTCCCAGAGGCTGGCACTGAGGCTACAGGGAGTTTCCCCAAAGACGAGGGTGGGGAAGGAAAAGATTGGCTTTGAATGGAAGGAGAGCTGGGGCACAGGCGGCTGTATGCTGGGTCCAGAGTCCAAGTCATGTCACTGTGAATAATGCAGAGGTCTACCCACCCACTCACTCACTAGGCCTGGGTGTACTGAAGGAAGGGAGGAGCACATTAAGAGGTCTCTATCACCATTTGGGGCAGCTAGGTGGCGCCATAGTGCACAGAGCACCCGGCCTGGAGTCAGGAGGACCTGAGTTCAAACATGGTTTCAGATACTTCGTAGCTGTGTGACCCTGGGCAAATCACTGAACCCTGTTTGCCTCAGTTTCCTCATCTGTAAAATGGTCTGGAGAAGGAAATGGCAAAGCACTCCGGTATCTTTGCCAAGAAAACCCCAAATGGGGCCACAAAGAGTCGGAAATGACATAACAACAACAACAACATACTTTTGGAGCTCCAAGCTCACCTGGAATGGCCCATCTCTGCCTGCTGGCTCATTCTGGTTCGTTTGCCAATGACGTGTCTTTTGCTTATATGCCAGAAAGCATAAAGGCCTTCTAAAGACATATTGTCCAACACTATTCATTCTCTTTCTCGCCAGATCTGCCCCTCTTCCCAGTTTCTCCGTTTCTCTTGATAGCCTCAGTTTCCTCCTTTGTAAAACGTGAAGAGTAGATCAAGTAACCTGTGAGCTCCCTTCAAGTGCTAACGTTCCGTGCTCTGTTTTCGAGGTCTTTTCCAGTTCTAGCATCCTGTGTCATAAGGTGCCCTGCCTCTCTGGGTCAGTGTTCTAACATTCTCCATTTGCAATCACTCCACGTTTACCTTTGACTCCTCCCTCACCCTCACTCCCTATGTCCAAGCATGTTCTACTACAAGTATCTATCCCCTCCCCTCCTAGTGGACCATCCCTTGTAATAAAAACAAAAGTGAAAGAACATTCACAAGCAGTTTCACAAAACTGAATCAGCTGAATCTGACGGTGCCCGATGCCCTCTGCAAAAAAGGTGCCCATGTGCATTTTCTCATGTCTGCTTTGGGGCCTAACTTGACCATTGTACCCAGCTCAAGAATATTTTTTCTACCCATTCCTTCCTTTCTTTTTTGTTTTTTTGGCTAGGCAATGGGGTTAAGTGACTTGCCGGGGGTCACACAGATAGTAAGTGTCAAATGTCTGAGGCCAGATTTGAACTCAGGTCCTCCTGACTCCAGGGCTGGCACTCTATCCACTGTGCCACCTAGCTGCCCCCTATTCCTTCCTTTCTACTCACAATGCTAACACTTCCTTTCCTTCTCTTATGCTCTCTCCCTTGGACTCTTTCCAAGAGTTAGTTATAGCTTCTTAAAAATTAGTCTCCTGTCTTGCAGGCTTTCTGCTTTCTGATTAATCCATTCATCATTCACCCTGATGCTCAAGTTATCTTCTGGATGCCTGAGTCTAGTCATGCTACTTTTTAACTCAAGCGCCGTCAGTAACTCCCTATTGTCTCTATGACAAAATTCCAACTCCTCAGACTGGCATTTAAGATACTCCACAGTCTGACTTCTAATTACTCCTCTTGGCTCATTTCATGACCCTGTGCTAAAGCCAAACTGGATTAGCCATTGTCCCCCAGTCCCAGCTCTGGTGCCCTCCCCTATCTCTGCCCAGCTCCAGGGCCCCTGGCTTTGGAATGCCTGCCCTGAACACTCTCAGCCAGGTCTCAGCTGAAAGTTAACCCTCTCTCTGTAAATCTTTCATTGATTTTTTCCTTTCTTCTTAATGATATAAAATATCAGTATTTATATGTATAAAAGTATGTATTTTATTGATGTCACAATCACATTCTAACTTGTATTACAGTTCTTTGTATAGCCTCATTTCCGTTTCTAGAGTATAAAATAAGGAAGGGCAGAGACACTGTTGGTAGCTCTGGGGCCTAGTGGGAGCCTCCACACAACTGGCACTCAGAGAGGCAGCTTGGTATAGTGGAAAGAGCAGGAGGCCTGGGATCACTAAGCCCCGAGTTTGAATCCTGCCTCAGACGTTTACTTGCTGTGTGACTCTGGGCTCCCTACCTTAGTTTTCTTCTGTAAAGTGGAGAAAATAATACCTACTTCACCAGGTTGTTTTAAAGAAAGTACTTTACAAAGCACTTGAGGAATGTGAGTGATTTTCATGAATACATATTTTCTCCAGGTCTGTCAATAGGGAAACCCAGCCAACTCCTAATGCCATCATCATCCCCATCATCATTATCATAATAACTGACATTGATATGGTGCTTTCAGTTTTGCAGATCACTTTACATACATTGTTTCATTCGAACCTCACAATAACCTTGTGAGATACAGTGCTTCAGGTGTTACTATATCCTTTTGACACACACAGATGTGAGGCTAGCAAGTATTAGAGGCAGAATCTGAACCCATGTCTTCCAGGCTTCAGAAGTTCAGCACTCCATCCACTGTACCAGAGTTTCTCAACTTAGTTATGAGAAGCTTGTCAAGGAGCTTCAGGAAAAATTTGGTAAATAACATTATCTTATTGAAATTAATTAGTCTATTTTACTCCTTATGTGCATATGCAAGGTAAACTTGAAAATCCTTTTCCATTCAGATTGACTAAGGGGTATGTGGAAGGCTTACCGAAAACCTCAGGGTACGTGAACTGGCGAAGTTTGGGACTTTCTGGGGAACCCCACCCAAGTTGTTGCTCCCCAAGAAAAATAGTTAAGATACTTAAGCAATTAGTGATTAAATCCAGTACTTAAACTGATCAAATAAGACTGGAGTCTAGGGTCCTTTGGCTCCGAGATAATAAATGCTTTAATCTCTTTTGCAGGGAAGAGGTTACTAACAGACTTAATTCATTAGTACAAGCTACTCATGTGGCCAAGAGAGGCAACTCAGACTATCAGAACCTTCTTGATGGCTGGCTGGAAATAATATGTAAGTTAAAGACCTCCTGGCTGTTTCTAGCATAAGACACTCCATGTGCAGACTGTATACTTTCCCTCTGGCTGTCCCTGTACCTGGAATGTTCTCCCTCTCATCTCCGCCTCCTGGTTTCCCTGGCCTCCTTCAAGTCTCAGCTAAAATCCCACCTTCTGCAAGAAGCCTGTCCCAATCCCCCCAGTGCCTTCCCTCTGCTAATTATCTCCAGTTTATCCTGTCTATAATACTTTGTTGTTTGCATGTTGTTTCTCTCCCTGAAAGCAGTGACTAGTTTTTACCTTCTTTTGTATCCTCAGCACTTAGCATAGTACCTGGCACATAGTAAGTGCTTAATAAATACACGTCAGACTGTGAAATAGCATAAATATGTGAACTGCCATTTGTAGCTTTTGAATCATGCTTCCTTTATACTTTGTGTAGCCAATTGGTTGAGATGGACAAGATGGCTACAAGCCAAGACTAAAGTGAAAGAAGCGTTGGTATAAGATTTTGTTCATGGATGATTATGTACTCAGTGCAGCCTCTGAGGCTAAGATGCAACAGAGTATGGATGGATTCTTGTGCTAATTTTAGCCTGATAATTAACACCAAGAAAACAGGTTCTCCACCATCCATACATGGAACCATTGGTTACAGCAAATGGAGAAATTTTGAATGCTGTGGATAAGTTCACTTACTTTCCAAGGTTATCCACATAGATGATGAGGTTGATGCACACATTGCTGGAGCTAGTTAAGTACTTGGGAAGCTCTGAAGGAAAGTATGGGAGAGAAGAGGTGTTAGACTGTCTACCAAACTGAAGGTCTACAGAGGTGCTGTGCTGACCTCATTGTTGTATGCCTATGAAACCTCCATTTGAATCATCTAAGGAAGACCCTGGAGATCACCTGGCAAGATAAGGTACCAGACACAGAGGTCTTTTCTTGAGCTGAGCTGCCGAGCATTCAAACTCTACTGCAGAGAGTGCAACTCCAATGGGCTGGCCATGTAGCCCAAATGCCAAATGCACATTTGCCTACAAGACCATTTTGTAGAGAACTTGCACAAGGCAAGCAGTCATACAGAGGTCAGAAGAAGCAATACAAGGACACTCTCAAGGTCTGTCTGAAGAATTTTAGTATTGATTGTGTGACATAGGAGATTCTGTTAAAAGACTGTTCAGCATGGCGTTCCCTCGTCCAAGAAGGTGCCATGCTTTATGAGCAAAGCAGAATTGCGGCAGCTCAAAAGAAATGTGAGATGTGCAAATTTAGAGCCATCTCCACTCCAAATGTCCCTGTGCCCGACCTGTGGTAGAGCCTTCTGAGCTCGTATCGGTCTGATCAGCCACAATCGGACACATTGTACAGTGACCTCGGCATAGTAATATCCCACTCTTGTGTCACAGATCTAGGGCAGAGTGAGAAGGAAACCTGCTCTTAGGAGTGATCCCAGGTAGGGAGGCCGTGGGTGATGTACAGAGAAAAGAGGAAGTTCAGAAGCCACCAGCAGCAGGGCCGCAGTTCAGCCCCAAAGCTCAGAGCTTCCAGCATCTAGTCAAGCATATAGAAGAACAGCCAAGGCAGGAATGCTAGACCCAAGGGAAGCCTAGAACTTTGCTGCTCAGAGCCAGCAGAGCTTTCCAACTGGCTGAGAGGGGTGGAGTCCAGCAACATCCACTACTACTCAGATCCAAACCCAGGTCAGAAGCTTGCAGAGCTCAGACCACAGGGTAGCAATCAGATTTTGTTTTGGGCCAACCACTTGGAGAATACTGAAAGCTTGCAGCTCTCCAGCCTGAGATATCCCTGAGATCCTAGGATAACACAATACTCAGTACCTCAAGAAAGCAGCAACAGAACTACCCCAGACCTTCCCTCCAGAAATGCACAGAACCCAGCCCTGACATCAAGTCTACAGTCAGGAAGTAGGCTGAAGAATGAGCAAACAAGAGACAAACTCCACCATAACGAGCTATTATGGTGGCAGAGATGCTCAAGAAATAGATGCAGAAGAGAATGACTCCACAACATATGTAACAGAACATCAGAAAAAACACGGGTTAGTCATAAAAGTGACTAGAATTTCTAGAAGAGATGGAGCAAGAGTTTTAAAAAAAAAGATTTAAAAAAAATTTTAATAAATGGAATGAGAACACTTGAGGGAAAAAAGAAAAAGAAATGAGAGTTTATGGAAGAAAGAATTGGAAAGGGAATTTATGGCTCAACACACAAGGTTTAGCAGCTACTTTCTTAAAGGAGCAGAGATCTTGGAATATGTTAGAAGGTCAAACGGTCAAGGATCTGGGCTTACAGCCAAGAACAACTTTCTGATCAAAACTGAGTATAATCCTACAGGGCAAAAAAAATCCCCCCAAATCCAAAAGGATCTTTAATGAAGTAGAGGACTTCCAAGCATTCCAGATGAAAAGACCAGAGCTACAGAGAAACTTTGAACTACCAACACAGGAGTGAAAAGAAACCTAGAAAGGTAAACACAAATGAATAATGACAAGCAACTAAACAAACTGCTTACATTCAGATTTGGGGAAATGATACACGTGTCCTCTCTGGTCCCTGTTATCATCAGGGTTCACAGAGGGAGTTCTGTTTGACACGGCCAGGGAGCGGTTCTGTTATATGTTGATCTTAAGAATGGAGAGGGGAAGAGGAGCACAAGGGGACGTGGGAGGCGAGGAAGGAAAGGAAGATTGGGAAAATTATCTTACATAATGAGGGTGCACAAGTAGACATCTGTACAAATGAGGAGAGGGTGGGAGGAAGCAGCTGATAGCCTGAACCTCTCTCTCTTCTGCACTGGTCAAAGAAGGAAGAGTATACACATAGAAAGCTGGGTACAATTTCACTCAATAGTAATATAAGAAGGAAAGGGAAAAGGGGGAAGGGAAATTAGAGGGAGAGTAGATTAAGAGAGTGATTCATCTGGTCCTAAGCAAAATTAATTCTAAGGACGTACAAAAATATTTATAGCTCTTTTTGAGGTGGCAAAGAATGGGAACCTGAGGGGGGTGCCCATAAATTGGGGAATGAATGAATAATTTATGGTTTATAAATGTGATGGAATACTATTATGCCAGGCAGCTGGTGGCACAGTGGAGAGAGTGCTGAGCCGGAGTCAGGAAATCCTGAGTTCAAATCTAGCCTCAGACACATTCTAGCTCTGTGACCCTGGGCAAGTCACTTCACCTCTGTTTGCCTCAGTTTTCTCAACTATAAAATGGGCATAATAATAGCACCTATATTCCAGGGTGGTTGTGAGAATAAAATGAGATAATATTTGTAAAAAAGTGCTTAGCATAGTCCCTGGCACATGGTAGGCATTATATAAATGCTTAATCCTTTCCCCTTCCTTCTGAATGTAATGACCAACCAGGATTCCAGAGGAGTGGTGATGAAATGTGAAGGACTCAGAATGAGACATGTATTTTTTTTGGATATGCCGATGTGGAAATTTGTTTTGATTCGCTATACACGTTTGGAGTGGGTTTTGTTTTTCTTGTGTTCTCAGCAGAGGGACATGGGGAGTAGTTGGGATGGAATGATGAGAAAGTAGATCTTGGCTGATTAAAACAAGTAAAATATTTTTAAAAAATAGCACATAGCTCACGGGGTTGTTGAGAGGATTACATGTAATAATGCACATTAAATACTTTTCAAATCTTTAAAGAAAAAAAAAAAGAAAAGACAAACGTGATCCTATGGTTTTCTACTCTTTTCTATGAGATGTGTATCAGCCCTGATACACATCTGGCAGCCCTGGGGATGGTTAGTTACTGTTATCTTTTTTTTAATGGATTAGTCTTGGTTTTAGTCAGTCTTTGTACATGGGAATTTTGCTATCTCATGATTCTGAATTTTTAATATTATCAGGTTCAAGCTGCATTGTAGGGAGAATGTTTTGCATCATTTCCCCCAAAGGCATAACTTGTCATTGTTCTTACAGGGAGAGATGGACCTTCTCCCGGGGACAGTCTCCATCTTGGAGACATAAAAGGCATCTGCCCGGATGTGCCTGCCATGATGACTATTCACTTCCTTATTTCTAACGGCGGTAATTTGGAAGGGATTCCTCAGGATATGATGCTTGGCACAGAGGTCAGGTGAGCTACTTGGCGTTGCGTTAATGGGAGCAGGGGAAGCCTCAGGTCCCCTGGCAGTGACAGTGGCAAAGGCTGCCCCTTATGAAGACAAAGACTTAGCAGTGTGATGGATGGACCTCTTTATTGCAATGATGGGTCATCCTGAGTGGACTTGGTCCGTTCGGTTTGTATTTAACTCTAGGTTGGTGCAGATGCATGATCCACATGGGATTCCTAGATCCAGATGAACTGAATGCTCCTTCTGACCAGGGCCCAGCTTGGTTTGAGATAGACGAGTAAGAAACTGAATGAAAAGGCCCCCAGCCATCTGTGAAAGTTTACCTGCTGTTCTCACCAGGAGTGGATTATAGTCTCATGCCTGGAATCTCTTTTTTCAGCTTTTCTTCTGTCACATGGCAATTTCAGTGCGGGATGACCTGTGAAGATAAGCCTAGTCTTTTCCCTATCAGTGTCTCAGTCCAGTTTATTAAAATACCTCCTCAACCACCTCAGCCACCGACAAGGTAACAGCCACTTTAGTGTCTGAAAATATTAGGAAGTGAGATCATACACAGTTTTAAAAAGAAGAGAGATCTGGTGGTATAAGCAGGGTTACTTGAACTTTTTCCACTCGAGACATCTTTTCGAGTTTGGGCACCGTTTCATTGGTGTCGTGTGGCCTGAGGGCATGTGTCTCGCACGTGCATATGCTTTGTGTTCAGAGCCAAGGCCGCAGTAGAGCTGCATGATGCAACACTGGCAAGTGCGCCAGAAACGCCTTGGATTCATTACGTGTTTGATTTTTAATTAATTTTTGGCGGTCACGCATTCAGAAACCTTTTGCTGTTGCCAAATTTTCTGCCACCCCATGTGGGGTTGCAACCCACAGTTTAGGAGGTGCTGGATAGTGGATGGATGGTGGCATCAGAGTCACCAAAATCCCGATGCCACTCCTGCTTCTGACACTTATGGCTCTGGAACCCTGGGGATGAGTCATCTTGCCTTTCTGACCTCATTTTCCTCCTCTGCCTGCAGGAAAGGTGGGGGAGGGGCCAGCAGTGGACTAGGAACTCTGGGCCTGCTACCTTTTCAACTCCCTCTAGTTCTGGGATCCTCCGACCTTTTGGTGCCCTTTCCTCTGTTGATGGCCGACTTTCTGTCTTGGCATCGTCCTGGCTTTGCCACTTACCAGTGTGTCTTGTAGTTTCCAGATCAGTCTCGCGAGCCATGATTGCACCAACAATGAAGTCTGCTGGCCAGAGCTCATTTTCCCCTTGACCAGGAATTATCAAGGTAGGGGAGAGTGCTAGGCCGCCACGCGGTCTTATCTTCCTGTCTGTGAGTGGCTGAGTGATTCCATATCGGGGAGGGAAGTCATCAGCAATCCTCAGGATATTCAGAAGACCACTGTGGTTTGGGATCCACGGGGCACTTTTTTAGGGGCGGCAAAGGCAGATATTTGGTTAAAATAAAAAGATGAGGTTTTCATTTTAATTTGCGTTTGAAGTTTTCTCATTTAACACTAGATAATAAGGCAAAGGAGTAAACAAACACACAACTAGCCCCTTGCAGTCTGGGCACTTAGTACCTGTGATGGGCCAGGTGGCAGGGGAGGCTCTGAAGACAACATGGAGCTGACATTCTATGGGGGAAGTGAACTGCCCACAGAAATTAAATTGTGTGTGTGTATGTATGATGCATACATATATGGGAATATGTTTGATTCAGAGTATCATGTATGTCATACATACAATGTAAAATGGTCTTTTTTTGGGGGGGGGTGGATCGGTGTCCAATTGGAAGGACATCTGAGCCCAGGCTTAAAGGTGAAGGGGGGGGAGCAGCCTGGGTAAAGGTGTAGAGATGGGATGGAGTGTTTGACTGGAAATTTTAAGGGATGAATGAATAACTGGAGCTAGATTGCAGAGGGATTTGAAAGCCAAATGGAGGATTGGCATTTTAATCTAGAAGTAATAGGGAGCCACAAGGGTGTCTTGAGCAAGGGAGGGACATGGTTAGCTCCGTGCTTTAGCAAGCTTTCCTGGGCAGCTGTGTAAAGGATGGATTCCCGAGAGCAGAGCCTTGAGACATGGAGACAGCCAAGGAAAGCCAGGCGGGTGGGCAGGGGCAGAGAGGAGGCGGCCTGACCAGCTATTGCCTGTGTGCAGTGAACAAGAGGGCAGAGCCAGGAATGCCTGGGAGGCTGCTTGAGGAGCCTCCATAGGAGAGAGGCCTGGGCCTCGGGGGAAAGGCCACCATGACTTTGTTGGGGGGTGTTTGAGATGCCTCCAGGACATCCATTTTGGTGCTTGGGGGGATGAGGGCCAGATTGACAGATCTGGAAATTGTCTGCGCAGAGAAGAGACTGAGTACAGATGGTGACTAGAAAGCCCAGGATAGAGCCCATAGGCATACCCTTAAATAGGGGGTGGGATGGGACTAATGGTCCAGCAGAGGAGACCAAGTGGCAGTGGCCTGTCAGGGAGAAGGGCAACTAGGAGAGAATGCTGTCCCCAAGATCCTGGGAGGAGAGACAGTCCAGGAGGAGGGGTTGGGCAACAATGTCAAATGCCGTGAAGTCAAGAAGGATGGGGTGGCTGGGTGGTTCCACAGTGCAGAGAGTGACAAGCTTGGAATGAGGAAGACTCATCTTCCTGAGTTCAAACTCTGCTTGTGATACTGACTAGCTGGGTGACCCTGGGCAAGTCACTTCAGCCTGGTTGCCTCAGTTTCCTCATCTGTAAAATGAGCTGGAGAAGGAAATGGCAAACCACTCCAGTATCTTTGCCATGAAAATGTTAAAAATGGGGTCACAAAAAGTCAGACATGACTGAAAAATGACTAAACAGCAGAACAAGAAGGATGAGGACTTAAAAAAGAAGCCAGTGATTTATCAGTCAAGAGATCATTGCAGGGGCTCATAAACAATAGTTTTAGAAATATGTATCCCCTTGGAGACCCAACCTGCTAGTAAGAGGAGGGGTATAACACGCCTGGGGCTGAGGCTGTGCAGGGAGATGTGTGCTCCAGAGATGTTGGTGCTGGTGTTCACTTATTTCACTCATGTCCGACCCCATTTGGGGTTTTCTTGGCAAAGATCCTGGAGTGGTTGGCCGTTTCCTTTTTCAGCTCATTTTACAGATGAGGAAACTGAGGCAAACAGGGTGAAGTGACTTGCCCAGGGTCACCCAGCTCGTAAGTGTCTGAGTCTGTATTTGAACTCAGGGAGAGGAGTCTTCCTGACTCTAAGACCTAAGATTTCAGGGCTAACAAAAATCTTGCTGTAGTGCTCACCCAGAATGAAAGGGGTTAATTAGGACAATGATCTCTGTAAGCACAATGGAAACTGACTTCTGTTTGTGCCTTTGGTCTTTTTGTGCTTGTGTTAACTCTCATCCTGCTGCCCATTCGAAGACGTCCCTTACCTTGGAGACAGTGAGGGAGGTGCGGGGCAATGCCGGATGGCAAGGGCTTGGCTGAGTGTCTGCTCCTTTGCCTTGTCACCTTTGGCTTTGTCATTGAGGGTTTCTTTTCTTTTTCCTCGTTACCCAGAGCTGCTGCTTCTTCTTTTCGATTCAGCTGCCCGTCACGAGCCCTGGGAGTTGCCGCTCGAACGTGGCTAATGTTTGTTGTCTTCCAGGAGAGGCTTACGACTCCTCTGTTGCCAAAATCTTGGTGCTGGCCTTCGTCTTCACAGTGATGATCTTGTTCAACAGCATCTGGATGAAAATCATCAGGGTGTGGGACCTCATCTCCATCTGACTTCCGAGAGTCTTCAGAGGCAGCAGCGACACTGTGGTTGAGACCTGCGGCCGTCATGGAAAACTCCACTTAGGGACACTTCTATTAGTTTCTATAAACAGGTGGTATTCAGTGATCAGTCAGTTTGCTTCTTAAGGTCACTTGCTCCAAGGGCTGGCCACTAACCAGTTAGTGGATTTTATTTTCAGCTGCGGCAGCTCCTGGAGATTGTCTTTGAAGAGGGGCCTGCCTTGGAGAGGGGACTTGATCTGCCCCGGTGGTGGTGATACTCCCACCAGGGTAATCACAGATCCTGGAAGGGCCGAAGTCAGTAGAGCAGTCATTGGTGCAAACCTTGGCATCCTCAAAGTGGCTTACCAAGGCCACACAGTTGGTCATTAGCAGAGTTGAGACTAGAACCCCTAAAATAAAATGTAAAAAAGTATCAGTTTTTTAAAGAGTTAAATATGTATTCATAAACTGTAAACTTATGCTTTTGACCAATCTCCTTAAAGGACCTCTTTTTTTTCGGTCAATAAGAACTGATTTTTTTTTTTTAAAAATGCACTTAGATTTATATCACTTTACTAGATGACCTTTGGTTTAAATAGATTTTGCATACTATGAATAAAATTTTTTCTTTTAAGTAATTTTTTTCTTCTTATTTGATGTCCTGTTTGTCCTGCAAAAATAGCTGACATTTATTCAGCGTTCTAAGGTTTGCCAGATGCTTTCGTTTTATTGATCCTATGAGGCAGGCAGTACAAATGTTATTTTATTCTATTTTATATCACATTATATTATTTTATGATATCGTATATCATATCATATTATAGGTTCGAGGTGTTGCCTTTCCTGTTTCCACAACATTTTTCCTCCCTGACAGCTTCTCTTTACTCACACAGACTCCTCAGTTCAGGCCCTCCTCTCCTCTCATCTGGACTACTGCAGTAGCCTCCGCCCACCCACCCCTGCCACTGCCCAAGTCCTGTTCTCAGGACCTCACAGGCCTCACCAAGTCACTGCCTTAACAAGCTCTGGGGGCTCCCTCTGGCCCCAACACCATTTAGCCTTTAAAGGCCTTCCCACCTGGCCCCCGCCATCGCTCTCCTCCTTTCCCTCTACCATCTAGCTACACTGGCTTTCTTTCTGCTCCATCTCCGCCTGGCCTTTGCCCTGGCTTCCCCCGAGCCTCCTTTCTGTCCTGTGGCGTCCCCTTCCTCCTCAGATCCCCATCCCTTCCCTGCTCTGCTGCCCTGTCTCCTTAGCCACCTGGTTCTCTACCTGGTAGCTATTTATGCTCGTCCTTTCTGCTTATTCTCTCTATACGCATCTTGTCTCTCCCGTCCAGAGGGTAGCTCTTTGGCGGTAGTGATTGTTTCCTTCCTTGTCCTGGTGTCCCCAGCATCTAGCCCTGTGCCTGGCACACAGTAAGGGCTTAATAAATGCTTGTTGCTTGAAGTGATCATCTCTGTAGGGCCATGTGTCTCCTGCCTTAAAATAAAGGGCATATGCAGAACAAGGGCCTGCCACTGGACTGAGCTCACAGAGCAGGCAAGCCAGCCTTACTGAAGTAGCAAGATGCCCTGAGGGAGAGACCGGAAGCAGCATGGACCAGGCAAGTCAAAGCACCACCAGGACCATCGTCTCCCTTCAGATTCTGGTGGAGACAGCCCAGTACTCGCAGTCGTCATCCTGGGAAGCACATAGTGGGTGCTTACAGTAGGTACATAGTAGGTGCTATGGAGATGCAGATTCACAAATACTTCATGTCTTCTCTCCCCTCCTCCCTCCCTATCTTTCTCACTACCTTTCTTTCTTCCTTGTTCCCTCCCTTGTTTTCTCCCTTTCTTTCCTTCCTTTTCTTCCTCCTTCTGTTTTCTTTTCTTCCCTCCTTTCCTCCCTTCCTTCTTTCTCTCTTCTTCCCTCTTTCCTTTTCTTCTTCCCTCCATTTCTTCTTTTCTGCTTCCCTTCCTCACTCCTTTTCCTTCCTTCCTGCCTCCCTTATTTCTTTCCTTTCTCCCCCCTTCTTCTTCTCTCCCTCCCTTAATAACCTTTTCCTTGTTGTGATCTTAATTAACCTTTCCTTCCTTTCCTTCCTACCTTCCTCCCTCCATCCTTCCCCTCCTTCCATCCTTCCTTTCATCCTTTCTTTCTCCCTCCTTTCTTTTCCTTCTCCCTTCCTCCCTCTCTTCTTTCATTCTTCCCTCCCTTTCTTCCTCCTCCCTTCTTTTTTTCCTATTTCTTTTCTCCCTTACTCTCTTCCCTCCCTTCTTTCTTTTCTCCTTTTCTTCTTCCCTCCTTCCCTTTCTTCCTCCCTCCCTCCCTTCCTTCTTTCTTTCCTTCCTTCTTTCCTTCCCTCCCTCCTAGCAGGGGACAGGTTTTGCTTTTCTTTGTTCTCTTCTTTGTATTCCCTAATGCTTACTTAGCACAGTGGCTGACATATATAAGGCACTTAATAAATGCTTATTGACTAGACCAAAGGAATTTCCAGTGTCCATTCTAATCACAGAGAAATTTATAGGAGATTAATTTAAAAATCATTGCTTTCGAATTTGTCATTTCCAGCAACATTAACTCTCAGTTTATCCTAAAAGGGACTGTAGGGCTAGGGTGGTGCCTCTCTGGGTCCTTTTGTGTCCTGGTTGAATTAGAAGATCGGAGCATGGTAGGCAGTGGAAGTAAAGGTATTTGTGTCAGTGCATTCTAGTGCTAAGTATGAACTTTGTAGACACCACATTTAAAAATCATTGTCTACATCTCATTTATCAGTTTGGACAATGGAGACTTGAATTGATTGTAGTACATGAAATGAGCAAAAGAAATCACTTCTCATAGAAAGTCTTTGTCGGACAATGGCATCAAAGAGTGGAGATTTCTTTTGAATTCCGCACAGAGTTCTGATAAGAATAAGGCTTATCAACCGCCCAGTTCTACTTGGGTAGTCTATGTGGTTACCTATATCTGCAGGGATAACCAATATTTCTGTTATTCCTGGCAAAATCGTAGGACCATAAGATTTAAAACTCTAAGGGACCATAAAGACTGTAGATTCCAGCCCTATCATTCCCACCTACCTACCCACCCCCCCCTTTTTTGTTGAAATTAACATCACTTTCACTGTCAAATATATTTCTTCTTCACTTACTCAGAGATTCTTGTAACAAAATAATAATAATAATAATAAAAGCAAAATTAACACAGCTGGGTCTAACAGTGTAATGCAATGTTCTATGATCCAGGCAGGGATGGGGAAACTGCTTTACCCATAGCCCTGGGCAAAGAACTGAAAGCACATTGAGATCAATATTACCTGCCCTGGGAACTCCTCTTTGAACACCACTTCCTCATGTGTTGTTTTCTATTCAAATGTGAGATCATTAAGGGCAGGGACTATCCTTCCTGTTTGTGTTTGCGTCTCTACTGCTTGGCACAGTGCCTGGAACACGGTGAAGGCTTAATGAATACTTTTTTCATTCATTCATTCATTCATTTATTCATTCATTCATTCTTGGTTGGTTAGGTCTCTCTTGGACCAAGCTTGGTTGTTATGATTACACAATTAAGTTTCTTTTTTTTTGTGCTTGCTTTTTACAATTGTTGTGATCTTCCCGCTTACTGCACTCTGCCAAAGACCAACTCTTAATTAACTGAATTAATTTTCATCATGTCTAAGCACATTGTAATATTTTATTACATTCATATATGAAAATTTATTTGGCCTTTCTACTTTAGTTCTTTGCTCCCCCCCAAACCACTGCTGGTTTTTCTCGTCTGACCTCCTTGGGGGTATATGCATAGTACAAGGACCTCTGGGTCAGTTCTAACATTTTTAGTTACTTTCTTCCCAAAATTCTGAATTTCTTCCTAGAATGGTTTGGGCCAATTCACAGCTCCACCACCAGTGTATCTGTGGGCCTGTTTTTCTAAAGCTCCTCCAACACTGAAGAGTCCTTTACATTTCCTACAAATAAGGAACCCAGAGAAGGGAAGTTACTTGGCCAAGGTAGAAGGCAGAAATGGCAGAACGAGGATTCAAATTCAGTTCTCCTGACCCCAGAATTGGTACACTTTATAGCCCTCCATCCCCATCCCAGCACATCCCAGCACACCCTATCCCGGTACACACCAATCTTTCATGTTAACTAAGGGTTGTTAAATGGTCTCGGTATCAGAATGAGTTGAATATGTTACGAACTTTAGTTCACTTAGTTTTCTCAGCTTTCCAAAGAAAAACACGTTCCCCAGGCGTCGGACGACAGCTCTGTAATCTCCGACTCGGCTTCCCACCCTCCGACTCAAACTTTATGGTTCTCCACGGCTTAGTGAAAGAGTCCAGAGATCCGACAGGAAACTCCCGTTTCCCAATTGAGAAGGAACTTCGCTAAAACGATCATGGCCCGTACGGGGATCGAACCCGCGACCTTGGCGTTATTAGCACCACGCTCTAACCAACTGAGCTAACCGGCCCTGAGGGACTCGCCTCGCCCAAGTCCTTTAGAGCTGACGATCCTCGGTAATCCGCGGGCGGGGACGAGCCCGCAGCCCATTGGGCGCCGCGTGCTCGGGGGCCGGGCTGGGCTGGGGGCCCGGGCTGGGCTGGGCAGGATCCAGCCTGGCTTGCAGAGCCCGCCCCCTGGGGGGAGGGGGCCGCCCTCCCCTCCCCTCCCCTCGGCTCGGCCCAGGCTCCGCGTTCCTCTTTTGTGATCGCTTAGGTGGTTATTTAAAAACAACTTTAAAAGTTTATCCCAAACTTCGGCAGCAGAAGGGACGCTCTCCGAAAGCGAGCCTTGTACACCGTAGGCGCTTAATACACGCCTATGCCGGTGAATCTGTGTACTACTGACTGTAGCACCCCCTCGGTAGAAGGTAAGCTTCCGGAGGGCTGGACCTCTTTTTTGGGGGGGAGGGGCTTGTGTCCCCACTACCCAGTACACAGTAGTCGCTTAATAAAGGCTCGATGAATGAATGTTGTATCTCCTCTCCCCCCCCCGTGATGTAAGCTCCTTTTGAAGGGAGGGGCTTTAAAAACGAATACATTCCCAGCACGTGACATAGGGCTTGGCATGAAGTAGGTGCTTACTAAGCGCAGGTTGTCGGAACGCCAGGACTCTTTTCGGCTCTTTGCCCCGTGGGTGCGCCTCTCTCCGCGGGGTGCGGGTGGCACGGGGTCAATCACCTAGAGATCCTCTCGGGTTGCGTCATCCCCACCGTGGAATGTAGGCTCCCTGAGGGCAGGCACTGTTTCATTTTCGTCTGTGTCCTTGTGTCTCGTCTCCCTCTTCGGCCCATCAAACATTTATTAGGCACCGAATTAATAAGTCTAATGAACAGATTCTTCTACTAAGGAGTCCGGGCACAACCTGCGGTGCCCCTCCCCCATAACTTAGGGGGAAGCTCCCCGAGGGCAGGGACGGTTTGGTTTTTGCCTCTTCCTCCCCCAGCACAAGTAGAGTTTAGTAAATGTACGTTCCCTCGGACTCGAACCCATGACTACCGACGGGCCGGACCGGGCAACTCTCAGGCAATCCTGTTCCGGACGCCGAGGCTCGTGCCCTTGAACTGCAGCGCCGCCAGAGCCCGGAGCCTCGGGCTGTCCTCCGTGTTTATTTCAGGGACCTGCAGACAGTCTGCCGGCCGCGGGGCGGGGAAGGGGGAGGGGCCCGCTTCTCCCGCCCGCCCGCTCTTCCCCAGGGTTGGCTGCCTCTGGGCCCTCCTCCAACCAGCCCCGCCCCACCACGGGGAAGGGGGCGGGCACGACAACCCTGGGCATGACGTCAGTCGGCCCTGCCCCGAGGGGACCCGGAAGCGGAACCGGCGGTAGCCTCGGGGGGCGGGGCGAGGCTGTCGAGAGAGGAGGCGGAAGAGGGGGCGGTGGCGGCGGCCACAGCAGAGGAGGCCTGACGGACGAGCGGCGGGCCGGGCGCGGAAAGTGAGCCGCGGGCCCATGGTGCGAGGCCGCCGCGGGAGGAGCGCCGGGCTGAGAGCGAGCGCCGCCGGGCCGTCCGGGCCGGGCCTCGCGGGGCCCCGCGCCGGGCCATGGGCTCCCTGTTCCGCAGCGAGGCCATGTGCCTGGCGCAGCTTTTCCTGCAGTCCGGCACCGCCTACGAGTGTCTGAGCGCCCTCGGAGAGAAGGGCCTGGCCCAGTTTCGGGACGTGAGTACCGCTGGCCGGGGGACCGGAGCGGGGGGGAGGTGGCGGGGCAGGGGGAGGTGTTCCGGCGAGCGCCCCGCCCTCGGCCTCAGTTTACTCCTTCGCCAGAGGAGGCCTGGTGAGGCTGGGGTCTTCCTGGGCCTCCGGCTCCTCCTTCGTGAAGGGAGAGCTATGGCCACGGTCCCGCGACCCCCCTGCGCCTCTGGGTCTGCTTCTTCAACGTGGGGGATGGGGGTGGGAGCAAATGGGGTTGTGCCTGTGAGACTGGGACCTCCCTGGGCCTCGGTTTCCTCTTTTGTAAAGTGATATGTGGTCTTCCTGGCCTTCAGTGTCCTTCTCCGGAGAGTGAGGTTGTTGGGCTGGGCCGAGCCGGGCCGGCCTCCGAGCTCCCTTCCTGCCCCACATCCTGTGACTCGTGGACGGGGAGCCGTGGTCCGGCTTCTGCTGGCAGCTCTCCAGCGAGGGGGAGCTCACTACCTCCCAGGGCAGCCCATTTCGCTGCTGGACAGCTTCCCCCGATCTGCAGCCTAGAGGAGCCTCCGCAGCTGGGACCGATCCTGGTTATTGCCAGGAAAGCTGGGGGGCCTGGAGTCAGCAGCTCCCACCTCTGTAGTGCCCAGGTCAGCCGGGAGGACACTTGGACAGGGGCCGCACAGGTCAGGGGACCTTAGGTGCTTGCCAAGCCCCTGCCTCACTTCACCCTGTGGTGGGGGGTAGGATGCCCTTGTCATCATCATCCCCATTTTACAGGTGAATGGAACAGACTCAGAAAATGGAAAGGGCTGAGAGTTGGAAAAGGCTGTTTACAGTCACCCCGAGAGGCAGCCTGTTTCTGTTCTCACTTTACAAGTGAGGAAATTGAGGCTCAGAGGTGAGGTGACGAATTCTAAGACTTTGATGGGAAGTGTCCCTGGAACTCAGAGATCATCTCCAGTTCATTCACTTCATTTTACACATCAAGAAATAGAGACTCACAGAAAGGAGTGACCTGCTGATAAGTGATGTTCTGAGGTGGTATCTAGTGCCCAGCCATTGGTGCTGGGTGGTGTTGGGCAGTCTAGACCAGCCATCCCTTCCTTGGCCTTATGTCTTACTCAGTGATGTTTGTGGCTGCAGTGTGGATGCCCATGTTTTTTTCTGTCCTGATATTTACAAGGGTTTCCTGTGTACAGGGCACTGCACTAGATAGTTAATAGTCTGTCCAGAATCTGTCTGTAATAATAGCAGCCAGTGTTGAGATTGTGCTTTGCAGAGAGGTGGAGCAGCCCTGTGATAGCAGTGCAAATAGAGTTATCTTCGTTTTTCAAGGGAGGAACATGAGCCACAGGAAGGATGCCTGTGTAGTGGTGATAAGTTAGTTTTCTCTGAGCCTCCCTTTCCTCTTCAAGGCCACATAGCTAGTAAGTGGCAGCACCAACACTGGAACACAAGGCCTGTTTTCCCACTGTTTTCATTTTGTCTCCTAGCTGTAAAATCAGCGGCTCGGACTAAATGATGTCTGATAGCTCGTGGTCAATTCCTCCTAATGCCTTCTATGAACTTGAGTTATCTCGAAACCTTTGCTAATTAGGACAAGGGTTTTCCTGATATCAAGTAGTTAGGGACCATTTTAGACCATTTTAGGGACAAGTGTCATTAATCGACCACAATGGCCTTGGGAAACAAGATGTTTTCATAGTACTGTGTCCTGGTGGACCCACCAGGATGAGTAACCTGCAGAATGTATCCCTAGGTAATTGAATGAATTGATTTGTGGCATAGAGTTTTGTAGTGTTGTGCTTTTAAGTGTTGGAGAATTTTAGTTTTAGTTTAAAAGCTGCTGCTTATGTTCACTCGCAAGGTCTCGGTAATAAAATGACGCTTATAGTTGAACATTTTTGAATTTTGTAAATGTTTATAGAATTTATAAGATTTTATACATTTCATAAAATCAGATAGAATTTTATAAATCCTTAAGGGCTTACGTCCAATTCATCTCATTGTTTTATCAAATTATTTAAATATGTGTTAATAAGAGGTGGAGGCTGGGAGACAGCTGTTTTATATTCTTTGGAGCTAGAATTTCATTTGTCGAAAGACTGTTCCTGCTCACTCCAATTTTGGTAATAAAATGATATAGCTTTTGAAAAAGCATTACTAGCTTGAGAGCCAAACCCAAGATTATATAATTTGGGTCAGAGATCCTTCCTATCTATGAACTCAAAGGCTGAATGGACATTGGTAAATGTTGCAAAAAGGCCTGTGTGTTTAAGTGTTATCTCAGAAAACAAACATAGCAATATCAATATTAGAATAGTTGTGGTTGGTGATATGAATATTAGCTCATAGTTCTATACAAAGCTCTTTCTACAGCCTGCTTGCCTTTCATGCAAGAGATTAGACTCTGATAATTGTAATTGTCATTTGACAGAGATGAGGTGATAAAAGTCCTGTGTGACCTCTGAGGTCTCTTTCAGCCCTAAATCTGTGATCCTATAACTGAGCTCTAGTTTGTTGGAGTATTTTTTTACCAATTATTCCTTTTTATGATTTCGCATAAAATAGGAGTGATACTTTCCTGTTAAAGTCTGCTGATTTCAAGATAGGATTTGAAGATGTATAGGTTTGTCTCAGTGAAAAGCAGCATTCTGGATAGCCAACATTGACTGTATTTCCTCTATCTCTTACTCTTTTGCTTCTGGAAGAATAAGTTGTCTTAGGAATTCAGAGATTTGAAATAGTTGCCTAAACATATGTGATTTTAAGAAACAAACATGAAGCCAGGAATCATAGCAGAGGTGGAATTGAAAGTTACTTTTGAAAGTGATAAAGCACAGGACCTTGAAGTGAAATCATTTTCTGTTTGGACTTTGGTTTCTGGAAGCATTTTCTTATGGCTCTAAGACAGCACCTCTCCTCGAAGTGGTCGTCATCTAGTTAGAGGGCAGGGTGATTGGTAGAGTGGGAAGAGCACTGGTTTTGGAGTTAGAAGGTTTCGATTGAAATCCTGAGTCAAAACTTTTAATTTTGGTGTGATCTTGCAAAAATCACTTAGAATTATACGATTATGGATTCAGAGGTAGAAGGTTCTGTAAATACCATCTAGTTCAGCCTGTTTATTTTAGAGACAGCTTGGTGTCAAAGTGGACAATAGAGCTGGTCTTGTAGTTGGAAAGACCTGAGTTCCAATTTGGCCTTGGATGTTTACTAGCTGAATAACCCTGGGGAAAGTCACTCAGTTTCAAAGCTTCAGTTTCCTCATCTGCAAAATGGGCATAATAATAGCTTCTACTTCCCAGGGTTATTGTGAAAAATCAAATAAGGTAATATTTGTAAAGTATTTTGTAAACTTGCTATATAAATGCTAGCTATTATTACTATTATTATTAATGTTAGCATTCTAGATGAGACTCAGAAAGGGTTAAGTAACTTGTCCCTGAATTCCAGCATCCTCATTTGTAAAATGGAAATGAAAATAATAGGTGACATTATGTCTGGTGTACTGGGTAGAGAGCTGTCTGATGGATCTAACCCGTGTCAATGGTGTGACCCTGGCTAAGTCACTTACCTTCTCATTATGCATGAGGTGTTGATCTGATTTAACTGATGGATTTTTCCATACTTCAACCTCCTCACACTGATAAAATCAACACCCCCCCCCCCAAAAAAAACCCAAACAACCAAACAACTGTTTATAGCTCTATAAACCTTGTAAGCATTTTACATTATCTCTTTTCATTCAGTTCTTACAGTGACCCTGTGAGGCAGGTTCTGGGTGTATTATTATCTTTATCTTATGGGTGAGAAAACTGAGACTCAGAGTCTCAAGTTGTGATTGTCAGCAAAGCTGTGGAATGTGAGGGTTGGCTTATTGGTCAGATTTCTCTTGACTCTAAGCCCACTGATCATTTCACTCCATATTACCTCTTACTCTTTTTTTTTAAATAATTTTTTTTCAAATAACAGGCATTTATTCTGTTCTTCCTCCCATCCCCATCTCTACCGCTACCCCCTTCTTATTGATGGGAGGAGAGAAACCTTCTAACAAATATGCACAGGCAAGCCAGACAAATTCCCACACTGGCTGTGTCTAAACATTTGCACTCCTTTTCTTACAGATGGTTGTAAGAAACTACTTCACTAACCCTAGGGTACAGTATTAATATGAGTGGCTGCTATTACTTTTTTTTTGGATAGGCAGTGCGGTTAAGTGACTTGCCTAGGATCACACTGCTAGTTAGTGTCAAGTGCCTGAAGCTAGATTCGAACTCAGGCCCTCCTGACTCCAAGACGGGGGCTCTATCCACTGTGCCACCTAGCTGCCCCTGCTGTTACTTTTCTTAAAGGGCTTTGATGGTTTAGCACTGGAAGGATGCGTGAGCTTCCCTTCAGTCTAGGCAGTGAATAGTTATTGGTTGTTTTAATGACTTTTTTTTTCCTTCTTCCCCACAGCTCAACCAGAATGTAAGCGCCTTTCAGAGAAAATTTGTTGGGGAGGTGAAGCGGTGTGAAGAACTAGAACGAGTACTGGGTAAGTTTTCATCTCATTTAACTTCAGAGGGTTATGAAGGCAGAGACGAGAGGGAGGCTGAGGGAATGGTGCACTGGGAAGTCCGATGCCATGTGCATCTATTTGCAATTTTAAAACATCACCATCCTGACCTCATTTAGAGGGTTCTGATCATGCATTAGTGTTCATTGCCTCTGGTTCTTTGTTCAGAGAAGTTCCTGGCAGCTTTGCTGGAAGTAGCTCCTCAGCAGTGGAGCCAGAGAACCCACGATATCTACAGTGATTGCTTACACTTTCTGTTTTGACACATTCCAGCAATCACACAGACCAGGTCTCTCCTCCAAAGTACTTTCACCAGAAGACGTTAAATCTCTTGTCCCTTCCACTTGTGGTGTTTAGGGTCTGTGAACAGAAACTAGGATATCAGTTTTAACTGTAGTAGCTTGGTGCCTGCATTGTCCATTATGTTAGATGGATATGATGAGCTCGGTTCCAATGTGGGAGGTATCGATAAGCTGAAAAGTTCAGCACTTGCTGTGCTAGGGGCCAGGCAGATGAGATACGTGGGATTTGGTGTGCCCTGCCCTCACGAAACTTACAGTCTAGTGGAGAACAGTGACAAGACACAGAAAGGTCTGATGGAAGACAGTACGTGCCTTAGAAGGATACAAAACCAAGTGTGAGGTGGGAGAGGTCATTGCTGATGGGGGCTGGGGATAGCAGGGGAGGAGGGGAGAAGGGGAGAGATAGGGAATCTTCCTTGGAGAAGGTGATATTTAACTTGAACCAGACTCACCCTGTGACTGAGTACATGCTGGTATGTCTGTTAAATGCTTATTTTCTGGACTTAAAAATAGGACCAAGCTATCTGACAGGACCCTGAGAGATATTCATCCTTTGGGGATTTAGATTTTTTTACCTCAACAAAGAAGGCTCGGGTATAAAAATGTTCTGATTTGCCACTTAAATATGTGAGTATTGAATTTTGTGGATTTAAACATTGAATTTGTCTGATACTATTCCTTTGATTCCTCCAGCATATTTAGTGCAAGAAATTAAAAGAGCTGATATTCCCCTTCCTGATGGAGATACCAGTCCTCCTGCCCCACCTTTTAAACAAGTTTTGGAAATGCAGGTAATTTTTCCCAATAAGATTATTGAATTTAACTCTTAGTTTTTTATATCCCATAATAAATCACAAAACTACATTACAGTCAGTTCTTACTCATTTGCATGTATTTATCTGTTTAGTACATCAACCAAGGTAAATATTAATTACAGACCAGTTTTCCCTTTTCCACCAAGCATACTTCAACTGCTTTTCTTTTTCCTTTCAAAGTATTATCTTTTTATAAGTTCTTGAATAATATTTTATTTCCAATTACATGTAAAAACAATTTTTAACATTTGTGTTTTTTAATTTTGAGTTCCAAATTTTCTCCTTCCCTTTCCCTGAGCAATTTGATATAGGTTATACATGTGCAATCATGCAAAACATTTCTGTATTGGTCATGTTGTTAAAAAGATACTAAGCAAAGAAAAAAAGTAAAGAAAGTGAAAAAATGGTATGCTTGGTCTGCATTCAGACTTTATCAGTTCTTTCTTTGGAGGTGGATAGCATTTTTCATCATGAGTCCTTTGGAATTGTCTTGGATCATTGTATTGCCTAGAATAGCTAAGTCATTCACAGCTGATCATCGAACAATAATGCTTTTACTGTATACGGTGTTTTCTTGGTTCTATTCACTTCACTCAGCATCAGTTCTTGTAAGTCTTTCCAGGTTTTTCTCAAAGCATCCTGCTCATCATTTCTTGTAGCACAATAGTATTCCATTACTTTTTATTATTTACTTATTTGTTTATTATATACCACAGCTTGTTCAACCATTCCCTGATTGATGGACATCCCCTCAATTTCCAATTCTTTGCTACTGCAAAAAGCACTACTGTAATCTTTTTGGGATACAGATCTAGTAGTGGTATTGCTGGATCAAAGGGTAGGCACAGTTTTATAGCCCTTTGAGCATGGTTCCAAATTACTCTCCCAAATGGTGGGATCAGTTCACAACTCCACCAACAATGCATTAGTGTTCCAATTTTCCCACATCTTCTCCAACATTTATCTGTTTCCTTTTCTGTCATGTTAGCCAGTCTGATAGATGTGAGATGGTAGCTCAGAGTTGTTTTCATTTGAATTTCTCTAATCAATAGTGATTTAGAGCATTTTTTCATGTGACTGTAGATAGCTTTATTTCTTCATCTGAAAACTGCCTGTTCATATCTTTTGACTATTTATCAATTGGGGAATGACTTGTATTCTTATGAATTTGACTCAGTTCTCTTTATGTTTGAGAAATGAGGCCTTCATCAGAGACACTTGCTGTACATTTTTTCCCCCAGCTTCTGCTTTCCTTTTAATCTTGGCTATAGTGGTTTTGTTTGTGCAAAACCTTTTTAATTTAATATAATCAGAATCATCCATTGCACATCTCGTAATGCTCTCTATCTCTTGTTTGTTCCTAAATTCTTCCCTTATCCATAGATCTGACAGGTAAACTATTCCATGCTCTCCTAATTTGTTTATGGTATCATCCTTTATTTATAAATCATGTACCCCTTTTGATCTTATCTTGGTATATGTTGGTCTATACCTAGTTTCTGCTAAATTGTTTTCTAGTTCTCCCAGCTATTTTTGTCAAATAGTGAGTTCTTGGATCTTTGGGTTTATCAAACACTTGATGACTATGGTCATTTACTACTGTGTATTGTGTACCTTATCTACTTCACTTATCCACCATTCTAGTTTTTAACCAGTACCAGATTGTTTTGATGATTACCACTTTATAATACAGGTTGAGATCTAGGCCACCTTTCTTCACTTTTTTTTTTCATAATTCCCTTGATGTTCTTGACCTTTTCTTCTCCCAGATGAATTTTGTTATTATTTTTTCTAGCTCACAGTAATTTTTTGAGAGTTTCATTGGTATGACACTGAATAAATAAATTAATTTAGGTAGAATTGTCATTTTTATTACATTGGCTCAGCCTACCCATGAGCGATTAATATTTTTCCAGTTTACATCTGACTTTATTTGTGTGAAAAGTGTTTTGTGACTGTGTTCATATAGTTCCAGTATTTGTCTTGGCAGCTAGACTCTCAACTATTTTATATTATCTGCAGCTTTTTTAAGTGGAATTTCTCTTTTTGTCTCTCGCTATTGGATTTTGTTGGTAATATTTAGAAATGCTGATGATTTATGTGGGTTTATTTCATATTCTGCAACTTTGCTAAAGTCGTTCATCATCTCACCTGGTCTTTTATTTTCTTTTTTTTCTTTTCTTTTTTTTTTTCTCTTTTTAAAAAAATTTTTTTAATTAATTTATTTTGATTTATCAGTAATCACTTCCATATGCTTTTGAGTTTAAAATTTTTCTCCTCCTTCCTCCCCACCACCCTCCCCACGACAGCGCACAATCTGATATAGGCTATACATTTACATTCATATTAAACATATTTTCACATTAGTCATGTTGTAAGTAGAAATTAAAACCAATAGGAGGAACCATCCGAAAGAGGAAATAAAACTCAACAGAAGAGAAAAAAAATAACAATTCGGCTTCCATAGTTCTTTCTTTGGATGTGGATAGTATTTTCCATCATGAGGCCTCTGGGGATGTCTGATCCTTACAGTATTGTCAGGAAGGGTTAAGTTTATCAATATTAGTCATCACACAACGTGGCTGTTATTGTGTACAACATTCTCTTGGTTCTGCTCACTTCACTCAGCATCAGACCATACAAGTCTTTCCAGGTTTTTCTGAAGTCAGCCTGTTCATCATTTCTTATAGCACAATAGTATTCCATCACATTCATATACCACAACTTGCCCAGCCATTCCCCAATTGATGGGCATCCTCTCAATTTCCAATTCTTTGCCACCACAAAAAGAGCTGCTATGAATATTTTTGTACATGTAGGTCCTTTTCCCATTTGTGTGATCTCTTTGGGATATAGCCCTAGAAGTGCTATTGCTGGGTCAAAGGGTATGCCCATTTTTATAGCCCTTTGGGCATAGTTCCAAATTGCTCTCCAAAATGGTTGGATCATTTCACAACTCCACCAGCAATGCATTAGTGTTCCAATTTTCCCACATCTTCTCCAACATTTATCATTTTCCTGTTTTGTCGTTTTGGCCATTCTGATAGGTGTGATGTGGTACCTCAGAATTGTTTTGATTTGCATTTCTCTAATCAATAGTGATTTAGAGCATTTTTTCATATGACTACAGATGACTTTAATTTCTTCATCTGAGAACCGTCTGTTCATATCCTTTGACCACTTATCAATTGGGGAATGGCTTGTATTATAAATTTGACTTAATTCTCTATATATTTTAGAAATGAGGCCCTTATCAGAGAGACTGGTTGTACAAATTCTTTCCCAATCAACTGGTCTTTTAGTTGATTCTCTAAGTATGTCATCATATCATCTGCAAAGAGTCGATGGTTTTATTTCCTCATTGCCTGTTCTAATTCCTTCAATTTCTTTTTCATCTCTTATTGCTATAGCTAGCATTTCTAGTAATAATAGTGGTGATAATGGGCATCCTTATGTCAACCTGTACAAAAGCTCAGACCAACTAGGTGATCAATAAATAAAATGAGGCATTTATTCAGTGTCGAGGAATTGCGATTCAGGACAATGCACTGCCTTTTCAGGCACGGATGCCCAGAGAAGGGAGCCTTACAACAGGGGTTATACACATTCAGCAGGGGTGACTAGTTAGGTAGATGGAACAGCAGGTGTCCAGTTGTTTACTACTTTAGCCCTACTGTTGTTGAAACAGATGTAAGACTTGGGGTGTATAGCCTCCATCAAAAGGGAACAGCAGGCAGGTGCAGGGTGGTGGCATCTTTCTGGAAAAAAAAAATGTAGGACCAATTTCAGTCTCCTCTAGCCAACAGAGTGCAGGCTGCTGACCTGGCCAGGAGCTGGGGTCACCTGTAGGGTAGTAAAAAGAGGGCAGAGACAGAACTGAAGGATTACAAAAAGAAGTCAAAGAAATGTCCTTGGAACTCTTTCTGCCCAGGAGGAGGGGGAATTGGGGTGGTTAGAAACTGCTGGTCAGAGCAAGGTAGGGGCCCAGAGATACCAGGGCTCCATACTTGCTTCATTCTTGATCTTCTTGGGAAGGCTTCTAGCTTATCTCCATTACCCGGAATACGGTTTTAGATAGTTACTACTTATAATTTTCAGGAAATCTCCATTTATTCCTATGCTTTCTAGTGTTTTTAATAGGAATGGGTGTTGTATTTGGTCAGAAGCTGTTTCTTCATCTGTTGAGATAATCATGATTTCTGTTGGTTTTGTTAATTGATATGGTCAGTTGTGCTGATGGTTTTTCTAGCATTGAACCAGCTCTGCATTCCTGATATAACTCCCACCTGGTTGTAGTATGTGATCTTTGTCATATATTGCTATCTTCTTGCTAGTTCTTACTGCTTTTCCCACTTACCATCTGGTGTATACTCAGGTAGTGCCTACAGATTTTAATATTCACATGATCCGAAGAGAATTTGGCCATTACATTCTAAAATTCATGTGAGATGGTCCACACCACAGCATTCCTCCATTAGTGTAGGTAACTAAAGCAGATTCATCAGATTCACCACAAGTATTTATTAAGCACTTATTATATGCCAGGCACTGTGCTAAGTACAGAGATTTTAAAGAAAGAGCAAAAACATTGTCTGTCCTTGGGGAGCTTGGAGGAAACATGGACAGAAATATAGCTACCTACATAGGTACATACATCGCCTCAGAGGGGAGTCATGAGCAGCTGGAGGGCCTGGGAAAGGCTTCTGGCAGAGGAAGTTAACATTTTGAGCCCGCTTGGAGCCAGGGAACCTGAGAGGTGGTGAGGGGGAAGAGCTTCTCCAAGCATGGGGACCAGATAACATCCTCAGGGTCTCTGGTGTTCTTTCTTCTTTTCTCAAGTGGTTTGGAAATCACAATAGTTTTCTGGAGCCCAGGATGAGGATGATAAATGATTGTAGGTTGGAATTCAGGAGAATTCACTGTCCTTTAGTTCTGCTTAGGCTGCCTTGGAGATTCAGTGTTAAACCTGGAGGGAAGGCTGATGTCGTTCTTTATTCAGAAGCACAGTTAGCTGCTGTGTTTGTGCTCTAATTACTTTAGAATTCATTAGATTGGGAATTAGATTTCAGTTCTTTATTTGCTTGGAAATCAATTACCATTACTGCTCTATTTTATCCTGGCTACAGAAAATCACTAGAGCCCTTAGAGTATGAATGCATAAGGAGTGTCAGGCAGCGTTATGCAGAACAAAATAATAATCCTTAATAACAGGATTTGTTCTGTAAAACTTGGACTCAGTCAAAAGTCTGTATCCAAGGACCTAGAAGGCCACATGTGGCCTCAAGGCCACAGGTTCTCCACCCGTACAATAATGGAAAGAGCCTGTGATCGGCCTGATTCTGAGGCCAAACCTCTGATACAGATTACCTGTTTGACTTGGGGCGGGTCACTTTACCTCCCAGTGTCTCAATTTCCACATCTTTAACGTGAGAGAGTGGTACTAGCTGGCCTCAGAACTCCCTTCAGGCTCTAGGCCTATGGTGCTGTGACTTAGGGATTATGGGTTTTTTTTTTTTTTAATTTTTTTTATTTTATGTATTTTTTTTTTTTAGGCCATTGGGGTTAAGTGACTTGCCCAGGGTCACACAGCTAGTGTCAAGTGTTTGGTCTGAGGTTGAATTTGAACTCAGGTGCTCCTGACTTCAGGGCTGGTGCTCTATCCACTGCGCCACCTAGCTGCCCAATTTTGTATTTTATGTTATGGGCAATAGGGAGCCACTAAAGATTTTTTTTTTTTTTTTTTTTTTTTTTTTTGCGCTAGGCAATCAGGTAAGTGACTTGCCCGGGGTCACACAGCTAGTAAATGTTGTGTGTTATGTGTCTGAGACTGGATTTGAACTCAGATCCTCCTGACTCCAAGGCCAGAGCTCTAGCCACTTTGCCACCTAGCTGCCCCGGGATTATGTAATTATGTGGGAGAGTATCTTGACCAAACTTATGGGTAGGCTGATTGATGTTAGGAATAATTGAATGCTGATTACGTTTATGGAGACTTCCTGGGAACAGTCGTGTCAATAAGGGTGTGAGGTAAATTCAGGAATTTGTTTTGCAGTGTTCTTCCAGAGTTTAATGCTTAACAATTTTCAAAGGATTCTTACTATGTTTCTGAGTGCTGACAGAAATAAGCTTGTTTTTCAAAACTTGTAGTCTCCCTGGTAAAGTTTTGAGTTGAGCTATAGGCTGAGAAATATAAATAGGTTTGTCTTTGTTTTTTCTGTATTTGAAATGAAAGGAAAAGTGAAGAATTGAAAGAGGAAGCTAGCTTGTTCTAAGTTTGATAACTTGAAGCAGTAGAAAGAAAAAAAACCCACAAACGATTAGAAACCTTGAGATCAGGGCACAGCTAGTCCTGGTATTCAGAATATCAAAGAATAGCAGTCATTTAGTTGAACTGACTTCATGAGAGTAAGAAGTAGTTTCATTAATTAAGTGAATAGGAACTAAGTATTGACTCTTTGAAATATTTCCATAAATGGTCAGACAAGTCAGTCAACAAACATTGAATCAGACACCTACTATGTATGAGGCACTGTGCTAAGCACAGAGTGGAGGGGAGTAAAATATAAGAAGTTTGGAAAGGTAGGAAGGGGCCAGGTTAAGTAGGGGTGTGATGGGGTGACATGGTCAGGCCTGTGCTATTAAAAAAATCTAAGTAATTTTTGTCTTTGTTTCTAGGAACAGTTACAGAAACTGGAGGTTGAATTGAGAGAAGTCACCAAAAACAAAGAAAAACTGAGGAAAAACTTGCTTGAGCTGATTGAGTATACACACATGTTAAGAGTGACCAAAAGCTTTGTTAAAAGGAACCTAGAGGTACTGAATTCAATTCCATTTGACAAGTCTTAAGCACCTGCTGTGTGCCAGGCCCTGGGCCAGGGGATGGGATTTCAAAGACAAAGAATAAAGCAGTTTCTGCCTGCCCTCAAGGAGCTTACCTTTAGCACCAGGCACAGGTTCTACTGAATGTAGCACATGTCTTTTTAGAATACGAATTGAAAACTGTTAACAAGATTTTGCGAGAGATGGGTAGTCACTAACTAAGATAGTTATTGAGATCTTAGTAAACATTTAAATTGAAATTTGAAATGAACTTTTTTTCCCTGTTGGGATTTATTTAGTTTTCTAGTATGTACTTACTAGATCTCAAGTAGGAGCAAAATATCATTTGAGGAAATCTATTTCTAGATATTAGAAAAAATGGTACATGGCAGATATTAAATTCTTTCTTCTCAATTTTGCTAAGATGAACACCACACTGAATCCCATTTCATACCAAAAAGTTTATCTTGTTCATGTCTGTATGCTTATGGCATGTCCTTTATAGCAAATAAAAAGACCTTATTGATTAAGGGATTCAAGTATTCTAAACTAATTTAGTTTTCATTGAAGAATAGTTTGGTCACTTATGGTAAAAATAATTCCAGCATAGGTTGTTAGGACAAACTGAAATCTGATCTTTTTATTACAGTTGACCTAGTGGAGCTGACAAATAAGAGACTGGTTAATGTTTGCTTTTTTATTTTTATTTTATTTTTTTTAGGCAATTGAGGTTAAGTGACTTGCCCAGGGTTACACAGCTAGTAAGTGTCAAGTGTTTGGTCTGAGGCTGGATTTGAACTCAGGTCCTCCTGACTTCAGGGCTGGTGCTCTATCTACTGCATCATCTAGCTGCCCCTGTGTTTGCTTTTTTAGCAGACGCCTGCTGAGTTGTACCTCAAAAATGGGTTGCTACTTGCAGCTGTACCTAAAATGTTGTCTCTGATGCCCTAGAAACTTGTTTGATAGCCTGACATGAGGCAGCCTTCATGGTGAGGCAGCAGAGTAATAACAGATAGGATGCTGAGCTCCGAACCCAAGCAGACCTCAGACATGGCAATTGTGCACAAAGCTTTGAAGTGCTCCAAGCCTCAATTCCCTCATTTGCAGAATGTGGATAATACCTGTAGCACCTACTTCATAGGGTTGTTGAGAAGCCCAAATGAGCTAATGTAAGTATTTACAAGCTTTGCAGTCCTTAAAATGAAGCTGTATTAATCCTGGGTTCAAGTCCTTCCCATGACTTAATGACTGTGTGCACATGGGCAAGTCACATCATCTCTTAGGGTGAATTGGCAAACATTTTTTTTTTTTTTTTTGGCTGAGCAGTGGGGTTAAGTGGCTTCCCCAGGTTCACACCGGTAGTGAGTGTCAAGTGTCTGAGGCTGGATTCAAACTCAGGTCCTCCTGAATCCAGGGCCAGTGCTCTATCCACTGCGCCACCTAGCTGCTCCTATTGGCAAACATTTTAAGTAAGTACCTGCTATGTAGCAGGCCCTGGACTAGGTGTTGGAGATACAGAGACATAGTTGAAACAATTCTTGCCCTCAAAGGGCTTACTTTCTATCAGAGGAAGCAACATTTGCATCTGTAATATGTATAAGACATACACAAAATCCATGCAAGACAGTTTGGGGGAGAAAGGGTGGCTCCCTAAGACTATGAGTTAGCTGATGAATTGCTGATCTGCCATCAATGAAAGGAATTTTTATACGGGGAGTTTTTCATATAGTTCTTCATATCAACAAAATAAAAAAAGATCTGTTGCCCTTACCCCTTCATTACTATTTACCTAAATCATGAGTAAAATGTCTGCAAATGATATTTTTATCTGTCTTTTTGTAGTTTGAACCCAGTTATGAAGAATTTCCTTCTTTAGAAAAGGATGCTTTGTTGGACTACAACTGTATGCAGAGGCTGGGTGCAAAATTGGGGTAGGTGGCATTTGGGATCAAGTTTCTTGTAAAGCTAAAATGGGTGCCATATAATATTAAATCTTATTTAAAAGCTATGATAAATTAAACAAAGTAAATGTATTTAAGAAAACATTGCAGTATTTTATGTATTTATTTCATGTGTTGAATTGAATAATCTTTGTTGCTTTTTTTAATCATTTAATAAAGTAAATCAGAAGGTATCAGTTTCCTTACACATTTATATCCAGTCTCTATTTTGTCTCCTGTGCTTTCTTCTATTTGTTCAAATGCTAAGAGTTTTTTTCTTCCCCACAGTTGTAATGTGTCACATTCCAATGTTTGCTTATTTTTAGATGTATTTTTTTATGTTTAAATCATTGACCTATGTGGAATGTGTTTTGGTGTATGTTAGGACCTGCATCTCTGATACCATTTTTAGCCATACTGTCATCCAATTTTCCTGCCATTATTTATTGAATAACGCTTCCTTTCTTGATATTGGATTCATCAAATACCAGTTTCTTATAGGCCTTTGATTCTAATTCTGGGTGATAGAATCTGTTCTTCTGACCTTTTTACCTACTTTTCTCTTAAGTTTTGATAATTATAGTGTAATTTGAATCTAGAAATACAAATTGCCCTTCATTCTTTCCCCCCCATAATCTGTCTCACAATTCTTATAATCTTTGTTCTTTTCTGTAATTTTTTTTTATTGCTTTCGTATTCAGTGAAATATCTCATGAATATTTTATTTAGTATTACAAATATGTATAGTCTGTTACTGGACCTGTACTTGACTGCTAAGTATTGACCAAGCCATGACAAAGTTCTAAAGTAGAGCATTAGTGAAGGGTGAGCCTCAAAGTTTTCTTGAAGAGATGAGTGTGTGATTGATTCTTTATGCTAGCAAAATGGACCTGGGGCCCCTTTCATCCGTGTTCCGTAGGCGTACAACACTCAACCAGGGCTGAAGTTCCATAGTTCAGGGACATTGTCATTAGTTGTTCTGTGACCATTTGATAATGCCTGGTATTTCAGCTGTTAAGGAATTTGACTGTTCTGTTAAGTAAGAGTACTATTTTGTTTCCTAGATTTGTGTCCGGTTTAATTCACCAAGCAAAAGTTGAAGCATTTGAAAAAATGTTGTGGAGGGTGTGTAAAGGGTATACCATTGTGACCCACGCGGAGCTGGATGAGTGCCTTGAGGACCCTGAGACAGTGAGTCAATATTGTGGTTGTCATTTTTCATGACTGTAGTTTTCAGATGCAAGTATGTGAATGGCCGTATTTCTTGAGCTGAGACTTACATGAGCTGTATGTGAACAGAACATTTGCTTCTGCTTGCTTGCCTCTTTCTCTCTCTCTCCCTTAATGGTTTATTGATCTTCTGCTTTCAAAGTTGCAGCACAAGGGTTCATAGGATCAGAGATCTAGAACTCGAAGGGCCCTTAGAGGCCATTTATTTCAATCTTCTTTTATTATGATTTGTAAAATTTTTTATTCTGGACTTAAACCCTAAAAAAATAGCATCGCCTTATACGCAGTAGAGCATTAAGAGGCTTGCCTATGAAAACCTGAATTCCCACTTCATACCACTTGCTTTTTTAAAGAAAAGTATATAATTCCATATATTGCCTTCATAACTGTCCTGCCTGACTGTGTTTCCTTCTGTTCTCTGCATTTAAAAAAATGTTACCATGGCCTTCTTTTCTGGTATCACTGTTGCTAACCCCTTTCTCTACCTCAGCTTCCCTCTATCCCTAGTTTAAAACTTAGAGAAAGGAAGAGAAGAGAAAAATCATCCCTGTTACAAATAAACATAGTTAAGCCAAACAGATCTGTAGTCAAATGAACAAGCGTATATTAAGTGCCTACTCTGCCAGGTACTGTGGGAAGTGCTGGAAATACAAAGAAAGGCTAAAAACAGTCCTTGCTTGTCAGGAGTTGACAGTCTAATGGGAATGAGAGCATGCAAACAACTGTGTACAGATAAGATATAGACAGAATAAATTGGAGATAATCAACAGAGAATGGAGAAGGAAATGGCAAATCACTCCCGTATCTTTGCTGAGAAAACCCGAAATGGAGTCACAAAGAGTTGGACACAACTGAAATGACTGAACAAATCTTTAGAAGAAATCCATGGAGAGGAGTCATTAGCATTAAGGGAGATTAGGAAAGACTTCTTGTAAGTGGGTAGGATATTATCTGGGACTTGAAGGAAACAGGAAATTCAGGACAGATAAATGAGGAGGGAGAAAATTCGAGGCATGCAACATAGCCAGCGAAAAATGCAACATAGCCAGTGAAAATGCCTCGAGGCAGGGGATGGAGCTGGATGGAGCAGGGAGGCCAGTGTCACTGGGTCACAGTGTGTGTGTGGAAAGCAGTAAAGCATGTGTAAGAAGATTAGAAGGGCTAGTTTATGGAAGGCTTTCAAAGCCAAAGAGAGGATTTTGTATTTGAGAGAAACCAATAGACAGACACACACACACACAGGGTGACCACGCGTGTCTCTTGCACTTTGAGTCCATCAGTTCTCAATCAGAAGATGGGTAATATGTTTCATCATTTGTCCTCTGAGGCTATGGTTGGTCTTTACACTGCTTAGAGTTCTTAATTCTGAAGTCTTCCAAAGTTGCTTTTCATTACAGTATGTTTGTCTTTGTATAGATTGTTTTTGTTGTGTTGATTTTACTCTGTATCAGTTCATAATATTCAGGGTTCTCTGAAAAAGTTTTTTTTTTAATCATTTCTTACAGTGCGGTAACATTTCATTACATTCATATCACAGTTTGTTCAGCCATTCTCTAATTGATGGACATCCTCTTACATCATAGCTCTTTTCTTTTTTTTTAACCTTTTAGTACATTTTTCAGTATCAGGACATTTGTTTTTATTGTGACTTTCCCCTCCTTGTATTATCTTCCTTCTTAACCCCCTTCCGTTTCCCTAACTGTACCTGGTTCTCTTGTCGAGTTTGGTGTGTTTCTATACCAAATTGTGTGTGTTTAACCCTCTTTTGTCTGTTTCATGTAAGAGTGAGGCTAATTTGATGCCTGCTTCCCCTTCCCTTTCATCTATATATATTTATTTTTTGCATGTTCCCTAATTATGAAAAGTATCAGATTTCACTCCTTTCTTCCTTCTTTCTACACTAATATAATCCTTTTACTCTTCCTCCTTTTCTCCTCTTCAAACCCTCAGAACAGAACCATTTTCTTCTCTTTCCCCATTTTTCTTATTTAACTCCTTCAGTGCCCTTTGAGGACATTAGAGTTCTAGAGGGACACTTGTTTCTTCTCCCGCTATTAGAATGTTAGCACTTCATAATCTTACTTCTCCTTCTAGTTGCTTATATAAATTTCCCCTTCTAGGTTTCTCTGGACTCTTGTATTTGTATTTCAGAGTTCCTACTTAGCTCTGATATTTTCATCAGAAATGCTTGAAAATTCTCTATTCTTTGAAAGTCCTCTATTTTTTGACCCTAAGGGATGATACTCAATTTATTCTTGATTGTAAACCAGTCTTTTTTTTTTTTTTTAAACTTTTGGAATGTTGTTTTCCAAGAGCTCCTCTTGGTACTTTACATTCTTCTTTCTGGATGCTTGAAGTATTTTTTCTTTGGCATGGGAGCTCTGGATTTGGCTGAGGAATTCCTAGGGGTTTTCCTTTTGAAGTTTCTTTCTTCAGTTTGCCCTCTCATTCTAATAGATTGAGGTAGTTTTCATTCGTGATTTCTTCAAATAGAGAATCTAGGCTTTTCTTTTTGTCATGCATTTCAGTGATTTATTGCTGCATGATCTGTTTTCCAGGTCAGCTGTTTTTGATATCAGATATCTTAAATTTTCTTCTATTTTTTCAGTCTTTTGATTTTATGCTAATATTTGTCCATGGAGTCATTGATTTCTGTTTGGTCTGTTTTCATTTTCAGGGAACCCATTACTTGGCTAAGGTTATTATTTTCTTTTCTAAGCTATTATCCTTCTCATTCTTTTCTTCAGAACTTTTATTTCATTTTCTGTCTCTCATTTCATCTAGGCATTCAGGTCGTCTTTATAAAAACATCCATTTTTTTTTCTCAGAGTTGCCTGTAGTTATGGAATTTCTCCTTCCCTCTTTTGGAGGTGTCTATAGAGTCCATGATAATTTTTTATGCTGGTGAATATTTTCTTTGATTTACTCATCTTTCCAGCTTTAGTTCCTCAGCTAGGCTTCTGTGTCAGGGCCAGTCTCCATCACCTGCTTTACTTTTTTGGGTAGAGTGTTTAGCTTGCTTAGTTTCCATTGGAATCAGCTAAGTTCCTGCACTGACTGCTGCCTCTCCAGATTAATCCTCCCTTTCCCATACCCCTGATCTTGGAGTTCAAATCACTGCATCTTCAGAGTCTCTGTGGCTCCTTAAGTTAGAATGCTTGGCATCTTGGTGTTCCTATTTTGGTGGCTCCTTGGACCCTTTGGGAGATCTCTTTAGGAAATGATGAGATGATGTCATCAGAAAAGCAAACTCTTTTTTTATTTTCTTATGTTAAACACTACAACATTCTGAGAGAAACCTCACATGGAGTACAAACAGCTAAAGGCAGAGTGAAACTCCTGAATTTCTTCTGTTGGTCAAAGGCCTTTTTTTCCAAAACTTATTTCTGTTAATAGCTGCAAGAAAGTTGTAATGTTTAAACTGAGATAATCTGAGAAGTTACCATGAAAGTAGGAATAATTGTTACCTTTCTCTTTTTAGGGAGATGTCACAAAATGGTATGTGTTTTTAATATCCTTTTGGGGTGATCAGATTGGCCAAAAAGTTAAGAAGATATGTGATTGGTAAGAAAAATAATTTTTTCACATTGCTTTATTCTGCATTCAGTAACATCCACTAATTCTTTATAAAGTGTTCTTTTCATTGAAAGAGTACTGTCTCTGGTCTTTGGGTAGAAACAGTCATTGCAGTTTTGCCATATGATCTTTTTCAACATTTTAACATAAAATGAATTCTCTAGTATCTTACTGTAAGTGATTTTATGTACTAATGTTTTATTAGATAATTTTGAATAATTTATAAGTTGATAAGTAGGGACTATATCAACTATGTACCAAAGCTTATCTTTTGCTATAAAAATTGAGATTTAAGGTTATTATAGGACAGAAATAATAAATGTCATTTTGTGCTATAGTACCACGTTTATCCAAATACTACTTATTTATTGTTTTTAGGCAGATATTTTAGTCTTTTGCTAAGAACCTTGTCACTAAGAGGAATTGGCAGTATTCTTAGAGAAATTAACCAAACCCTCAATCCCCAATGGTGCTTTTTATAATTGTGGAAATCTTCAGTTCTCCTGTTGCATTGGGCAGCCAGCTGTTTCACAGGAGTCCCCAGGACAACTGCTGGAGCCAGAGCATGGGCCCAAAAGTTCTAGGTTCTGGTCTTTGCCCTGTCCTCTTTGGAGCTGGAGAGCCTCATTAGAATGCTGTTTCTGGTGTTTAATACTCAGGTGTCTGCAAAAGGGACTTGAACATCTCAGGTTATTTTCTAAATTAAAGGGGCTGCTGTGGATCTCCAAACCTTGTTCCAATTCTGAAATTCAGTTCTGATTCTCAGTGAGAGAACCATATTGGCAATTATATTGTTTGTAGTAAAAATCTAGAAAACTGATAATGGTGCCTCCTAAGGCTTCAGTATAATAAATTTGGGTTCTTTTTATTTTTATTTTATTTTTTTGGAGGCAGTTAGGGTTAAGTGACTTGCCCAGGGTCACACAGCTAGTACATGTTTGAGACCAGGTTTGAATTCAGGTCCTCTTGACTCCAGGGCCAGTGCTCTGGCCAGTGCTCTAGCCACTGTGCCACCTAGCCGCCCCTGGGTTCTTTTTAGATGGCTGGCTCTGGCAGATAGTGAAGTGTGGTGTCCTCAGGAAGAGGCTGAAGAGTGATAGGAAAAAGGAGGAACTTCATTAGTCCCCTGGGACCAGAAGCTTCTCGAGTCAAGAATTTTAGCTTCTTTCTTTTCTCAATGCAGTATCTCTGTTTATCTTATCTCATTCATTTCCAAATATATTTCCTTCCCTGACCCCCATTCTGAGCTCTCCCTTGTTACATAGATTTTAAAAAGGAGAAAAAGCAATTGAATAATACCAAACATATCACACGTTTAGAGCAATGTATGTAGCATTCCATAGCTGGAGTCCCCCACTTCTACGATGAAGAGAGGGAGGGAGCCACGTCATTCACATTACACAGTATTCAGTGGGGGTGTTCCCTTAGCTATTTTGTTTCTTATGGTAGCAGTCTTGTTTCTATTGTCACTTCCTATAGTTAAAAATGTTTTTATCGATGCTTTTTTTGTAACATCATTGTTACTTTTGAATGATCTCTCCTTCCTTCCCCGCCTCCCTCCCTAGTGAAAAATAAATACAGTTCAACAAAATAGATCAGCACTTTGCTGTGTCTGAACGTGTGTGTCTCATTCTGCACCTGTGGTGACTGTCTCCCAAGAGGTAATAGGCACACTGCATTCACTCTCCCTCCTCCGAAGTCACCGTCGTTGGTCTTGGAGCACATGGTTGGCCTGTTTTTGCTTACTCTGAGCATTCTGTCAGTTAATACAAATCTTCCCAGGTTTCTTTGAACTTATTTGTTGTGTGTGTGTTTTTTACAATGCACTCTATTTGTATGATCTTTACAGGCCACAAAGTGGTTCAGTCTTTCCCTAAGGTGGAGCATCCACTTTGTTTCTAGTTCATTGTTACAACACAAAGTGCTGTTTTAAATGTTTTTTTATATATGAGACATTTCCTTCTGCCTTTGCCCTCCTCGGAATGTATGTATCTAGCAGCGGATGCCTGCTGTAGTTCCCAATCTGTGACACCTTGGTAAAGTGACACAGTTTGAAGCCACTGAGATTGATCATGGGAATTTAGACAGGGAGGGAGGGTGGGGACTGTCTTCCTTCTTGTTTGTATCGGTATTGCCGGCATTCAGTACGGTGCCTTGCACGCAGCAAGTGCTCTTACAACATGCTCTATCCATTTATCCATCCATCTAAGAGGTGCCACCTCAGAAATTTGACAAGACCTGTATCTGTGTGGAAAAGGGATATTTACTTGCAGTTTTAGATGTTTCTTCTTCTAGCAAGTGTAAAATGTGTTTTAATTGTGTTTCCTAGTTATCACTGCCACGTTTACCCATATCCCAGTACTGTTGAAGAGCGAAAAGAAGTTCATGAGGGGCTAAATACACGAATACAGGATCTTTATACTGTGAGTAAGACAGAAGTGGTTATATTCTCTTCCTTGGGCTGTAGATCATAACAGAGTTCAGTTCTTGTTTCAAAAAAAATTTAGAAACTTTTTGGATTATCTTTGGTTTCAACATCTGTGTTTCCCATTGTATCTTTCCTCCTGTTCTCTAAAATTTTGTAAAAGAGGAAGAAAAAAAGTTTAGCAAAACTAGCAAACATATTGGCTACATATCAGAAAAATCTGATATTAGTGTTCCATACCATGGTCAAGGCAACAGGTCAGTAAGCATTTATTAAGCACTACTATGTATCAGGCTCTTGTGTTCAGCGCTGGAGATGTAAAGAAAGGCAGAAGACAGCTCCTGCCCTCAAGGAGCTCACAGGACAGTGGACTGTGGTCTCCCCCTGCTGCATTGCAGCTAAGGGGGTGTATTTTATACCACTTCTTTCACAACATTCAGTTTTGATTTGTTCTTTTTTTTTTTTTTTTTTTGCTTCTTGGTGAGGCAATCAGGGTTCAATGAGTTGCCCAGGGTCACACAGCTAGTTAGTGTCAAGTGTCTGAGGCCGGATTTGAATTTTGGTCCTCCTGACTCCAAGGCCAGAGCTCCATCCACTCTGCCACCTAGCTGCCCTGATTTGTTCTTTCTGTATACTGTGTCCTGTTTGCTTCACTTTGTATTAATTTTATATATGCTTTTTCATTCCATGCTTTTCAGTAGTCATATTAATAATCAATAGTTTTTATTATATTCCATTCTATTCATGTGCAACAACTTGTTTAACTCTTCCCTGGTCAATAGGCATCTGCTTTGCTTCCCCGTCTTTGCTATCACAAAAAGTGCTGTTTGAAATATTCTGTAGTATATAGGGCTTTTATTTTTATTATTGAACTCCTTGGGGTGTATTTCACTCAGTGGAATCTCTGAAATAGAGGGTACAGACAATGCCATCGCTTTCTTCTCCTAATTTCAAATTGCTTTCCAGAGTGGTTGAATCAATTCATAGCTCCACCAACCATTAATGCAGTGTGCCCGTCTTTTCACACAACCCCTCTAAAATTGACTATCTTTTGTCTTTGCCCATGGGCTGAGTGTCAGGTGAAATCTCAGTTGTTTTGGTTTGCATTTCAGATAACTTGATTCTTTTGTTGATACTGAAAAGGTTGGTAACAAGATAGACACCAAGATGTTTATGATGTGGGGAGAAGTGCCTTCTGTTTTTCTCTCCCTTTCATTGTCATGTGACTATGGAATCTCAATGAAAACCCAGGGAATAGTGAGTGTTATGAGCTTAAAAAAATGGATTCTTTGGCACAGCTCAGATTGGTAGGAAAGATAGGCACTCATGTGTGTAACAAGGAATATGTTTAATGTTACTTTTTCAAGTAACATTAAAATGTTTAACTAAAGCATAATTTCAATGCTTGGCAAGTCTGCCTTCCTTAGTATGTTGGTATGTATTTTGTGATAAGCCATTTTGTATGTGTTGAAGTGAAATTCAAAGCCTCTGGTGGACAGTAACATGGAGGGAGCACATTTCTTTTATGGAGGGCGTGTGGGTCATTTTCAGACCTTGACAGGGCATGGAAATATCTTGTTTCAGTCTTGATCAGTTTGATTGCAGTTTTTCATCACTAAAAGACAAACCATTCCCATTACGTGGTGGTTGTTTTTTTAAATGGCTGGTGGTGAGAGGGATGTTCCAGGTTACCTGGGTCTAATTTTATATATGACTTCATTTAAAAACTCTTTTCACCAAGGTGCTGCACAAAACTGAAGACTATTTAAGGCAGGTGTTAAGCAAAGCTGCTGAATCGGTCTGTACTCGAGTTGTCCAAGTGCAGAAGATGAAGGCCATTTATCACACACTGAACATGTGCAGCTTCGATGTCACAAACAAGTGTCTCATTGCTGAAGTCTGGTGTCCAGAGGCAGATCTGCACCACTTGCGTCAGGCTCTGGTGGAGGGATCCGTAAGTCGCCTCACAGCTAAAATATAGAAAGCTGCCTCATCATTAAAGTGGAAAGGAAAAATGAGAAGAGAGCTGAAATATTCCAAGGCAGAATGAGAGCTCCACGTCTGCTTCCCACTTTAGGAAGGAGCAGCCCATCACTGCATAAGCAGCTATTCAGGGCCTCCTAGGGATAGTGAGCCTAGAATGAGAGGGCAGCAATGCTTGGGGGTTGTCTCTGCAATGCTAAGTGATAATAATAAAAATTAAATAGCACTTTAAAGTTTGGAAAGCGCTTTATAAACTTTATCTCATGAGAGTATGGGGTAGATGCTATGTACATATCATCCCCATTATTTAGGTGAGACTACTGAGGCTCAGAGGAAGTATCCGGTGAAGGTGGTGTGCTCTAGAAGACAGGAATTCTGGATTTGTAGTTAAAGGATCTGTGCCCTTCTGTGAGCCTCCTTTAACTTATCTACAAAATGATGGGGGTGGATTGGATGGTATCTAAGGCCCCATCTAGCTGTACATGTTGGATCCCCTAACAGCTCCCAAGTCCTTTCCTCTAGGCATGTTAAACCCAGGAGCCTAGGGTGTTTGGATCAGTGGATTGACCCACACGTCCCTGGGAAGAGCTCAGCAGTGATCTAGTACAATGCTCGTTTAATTGATGAGGAAACAGGTTGGGAGGGATTAAGTGACTTACCCCAGGAAAGAAGATGGTAAAGAAAAGGAAATCTTGATAAAAAGGGTTTCATTCAGCTGCCATGTCGTTTTGCACAACTCTTATGGCACAAAGATAAAATGGCCAGTATCGAAAGACATAGAACGATCCTTGCAAACTTTTACATTGGCTCTTGAGATAATTAGTCCTAATAGCCCACATTTGCAGGGTGTGCCAAGGTTTACAGAGTACTCGCTCTGGTAACTCTCTCTGTGAAGTAGGGAGCATGAGCTGTAGTGTCCCCAATTTGCTGATGGAGAAACTGACTCAGGGTGACGTAACGATTTCATGGTAACGCTTCTAAGACTTCTAGGACAAGACTAGGATTTGGACTCCGTTCTGTACTCTCTGTGTTTTATGACAGTTGTTCAGGTGCAGGGCTGACATGCAGCTTACCTGTTTTATTTTAATTGCTTGTTAGGTTTTGACCTTCGGAATATCCAAATTCTGTGCTACGTGAAGCTTTTTTCTTGTAATGGCATCCTGCTGTGGTTTTTGCCATTGCTTTTGACCAGGAAAAAGAATTTGTGTTTATGTTTTGTGTTTGTGAGTCTATGAAAATGATTGTTCACATGATTCTTAGAGAATCATTAATGATCTTTTCTCTTTTTGTGGAAAGAGAGAAAGTGGAGTGACAATCCCTTCATTTATGAACACCATCCCAACAACTGAAACACCCCCAACTCTAATACGGACCAACAAATTCACAGAGGGATTCCAGAACATTGTAGATGCCTATGGAGTGGGGAGCTACAGAGAAGTAAATCCAGGTCAGTTATCCATGTAGAATTGCTGTTCTCCAACATGAGAGCGTAACGTGTTTTAAAAATTAAATTACTTTTTGATAATCTTTCTGACTTCCAGCCTTTAATAATTCTCTAAGTGTTTTGGAGAATGTTGAGGTCATCATATAACATTAGAGGGAGGAATTTTAGTTAATTTGACCCTATCAGCAGCAGGCGTTGTCAAACAAATAGATTTTCTTTCTTTTGCAGCTCTCTACACCATCATCACATTTCCCTTTTTATTTGCTGTGATGTTTGGAGACTTTGGGCACGGCTTTCTCATGTTCTTGTTTGCCCTTCTGTTGGTGTTGAATGAAAACCATCCCAGACTGAGGCATTCGCAAGATGAGGTAAAGAGAAAAAAAGAAGACCCTTGGGACACACATGGAGTCATTGCATTCTGCTTGTTATAAATACAAAGGAACAGGTCTTTTTTTTTTCATTCAGTTTTACATTATTTTTAGTTCCAAATTCTCTTCCTTCCTCTCCCCCACCCATTGAGAAGGCAGACCTCAAGACCCATTACAAACATGTATAGTCACGCAAAACAAATTTCCATATTAGCCATATCAGAGAGAGAGGAGGAGGAAGAGATAGAGAGAAGAAAGTATGCTTCAATCTGCATTCTTGACTCCATCAGCTTTCTTTCTGGAGGTGGGCAGCATGTTTTATTAAGAGTCCTTTGCAGTTGTGGTGAGTCATTGTGTTGATCAAAGTTACCAAGTTTTTCAAAGTTGATTGACTTTGCAATGTTGCTTTAACTGTGTAAATTGTTCTCCTGGTTCTGATCACTCCATTTTGCATCAGTTCATACAAGTCCCAGGTTTCTGAAATCATCCTCTTAGCATTTCTTGTAGTATAATAGTATTCCATCACATTCCTGTACCATAACTTGTTCAGTCACTCCCCAATAGATGGGCATTCCTTCGTTTTCCAGTTCTTTGCTATGACAAAAAGAACTGCTATAAATACTTCTGTATCTATTATATCTTTGCATCTTTTCCTCTTTCCTTGATCTCTTTGGGGTATCGACCTGCTAGTGTTATGACTTGGTCAAAGAGTATGCGCAGTTTAATAACTTCTAGTTCCAAATTGCTTTCTGGAATGATTGAGTTAGGCCCCATCTCCACTAACAGAGAGTTAGTGTACCTGTTTTCCCACATGCCCTCTAGCATGTTGTTTTGCTTCTTTGCCATCTTTTCTCAGTCTAATGTTTGTGGGGTATACCTCACAATTATTTTAATTTGCATTTTTCTAATTTTTAATGACTTAGAGCTTTTTTTCACATGGCTATTGGTAACTTGGATTTCTTTCTTTGAAAACTGCCTGTTCACTTCCTTTAAACGTTAACTTTTGGAGAAAGGCTCTTATTCTTGTCAATTTGACTCAGTTCTGTGTATGTTTTAATAATGAGATCTTTAGCAGAGAAACTCACTACAAAGATTTCCCCCCCAGTTTTCTACTTTTCTTCTAATTTTAAGCTGTATTGCTTTTACTTGTACAAGAACTTTTAAATTTTACATAATCAAAATTATCTGTTTTACTGTCTGTGAATATCTCTGTCACTTGCTTGGTCATAAACTCTTCCCCTATCTGTAGATCTGACAGGTAATTTCTTTTATGCTCCCCCCTAATTTGCTGATGGTACAACTCATTAGGGCTAAATCAACTGCCCATTTTATTTTATTTTATTTTAGTTATTTTTTTTTTGTGAGGCAATGGGGTGAAGTGACTTGCCCAGGGTCATACAGCTAGTCAGTGTCAAGTGTCTGAGGCCAGATTTGAACTCAGGTCTTCCTGAATCTAGGGCCGGTGCTCTATCCACCGTGCCATCTAGCTGCCCCTCAAGGGCCCATTTTAAACTTATCTTGGTATGTGTTAGGAGATGTTGGTCTCTGCCTCATTGCTGCCAGACTGCTTTCTCGCCCACAATTACCTAGATGCTTAAAAAGTGCTTTGCTCGCTACAGTCACTTACTGACTTGAGACAGTGAGTCGGCATCATGACTGCACCTGGAGGCTGGTAGACCTCCCTAGGTTTTCATCCTGCCTCACATACTTATTAGCTTTGTAGTGGGGAGCAAGTCACCTGACTTCTCTTAGCCTCATTTTCCTCATCTGTAAAATGGAGATAACAGCAGCACTTGACATCACAGTGTTGTTGTAAGGTTCAGATGATGCTTTGCAGACTTTAAAGTGCTACAGAAATGTTTTCTGTTATTCAGATCAGATTACTTGAGTCATTCCCAGAGCTGTGGAGGCTGGCTAGTATGTGCTGCTGCAGGGCCCACTAGAGTTTGCAGCTTTGACTTAGTGTTTGACTCTGATTTAGATCCGTCTTCTTAGGACTCAGATCTATTATATCTTTATCCCTGGTCCCAAAGTTTATGTGTTTTTTTAGGGTGTAACTTATGCCTGAGTTAGAGGCCAGATCTGATCCCTGCCATCAGGATCACAGGCTGAACCCTGTGGTAGATTCTCTGCTGTTCTCTAGATCCTGGAGTGCAGGTTGCTTCCCCTCTTCTAAAGTCTGGTAGTGCTTCCTACTGAGTCCTATACAGACTCTGTATATTTTCATCAGTGTCAGTATTCTCTTCGTGGAGATTGCAGCTCTCAGACACCTTGGTAGATCATTTCATGAGATGGTCCCAGAATTCATCACTTGTTGTCCAACTTTCTTTTATATATATATATATATATATATATAAATTAATGTATTTTTGAATTATCAACAATCACTTCCATAAGCTTTTGAGTTTAAAATTTTTCTCCACCTCCCTCCCCAAGATGGTGCGCAGTCTGGTATAGGCCATACATATACATTCCTATTAAACATATTTTCACATTAGTGATGTTGTAAGTAAGAATTAGAACCAATAGGAGGAACCACCAGAAAGAGGAAACAAAACACAACAGAAGAAAAAAAATAGCAAATAGTATGCTTCGATCTACATTCAAACTTCATAGTTCTTTCCGTCATGATTGGCCAACCTTCTTGGACAGAGTTCTGTTGCCAGGTTCCTACTCCAGTGCCTTCTAGTTTGCTAGAACCCAGCAGAGCTCATGCTTTAGAGGCATAGCCTTTGAGAACCTTAGGTTCCCCTCCAAGCCACGGTACGGGATTGCTGACAGCAGTTCAAAATTCCAACAATGGTGGACAGAGGTAATTGGAATAGATTTCCATTGCTTGGATACCGATTGCTTAATTACAATAGCTTACATTTATTAGCACTATAGGGATTACAAAACATCAGCAACCTGTTGAGCTGATAAAAGGTCATAATAATAATTGACATTTATATGGTACTTTAAGTTTCTGAAGTGACTTTTATTCATTACCTTATTTTATAGTGCAAGTATTCTTCTAAATTGAATCATAGATTAGATGATTTGACCAAGGACTTGAGATTAGGAAGTATGAAGCCCAGACTTCTAGCTGGACTTTCTGACAGCAGGCCTGGTGTTCTTTGCACTATCTCATGAAGATAAACTTATTTCCAAGAGAGCTTAGAAATTCAACCACTTGTAGAATATTTATTTTTCTTACATAAGTGACATTTCCATGCATGAGGAATTTTTGTTGTTGTTCAGTCATTTCAGTCATGTCTGACTCTTTGTGATTCCATTTGGAGTTTTCTTGGCAAAGATACTGGAGTGGTTTTGCCCTTTCCTTTTCCAGCTCGTTTTACAGATCAGGAAACTGAGGCAAACAAGGTTAAGTGACTTGCCCAGGGTCACTGAAGTGTCTGAGGCAAGATTTGAACTCAGGTCTTCCTGACTCTAGGCCCGCTGCTCTATCCACTGCACTACCTAGCTGTCCTCATGAGGAATTTGAGTCCCAAGTAACTCAAATCATGCAAGGAAACAGTAGCAATTGTATAACACATTACTCTAGGCTATAAAAATTTTGCAGTTGGTTTCTGGATCATTGTCTTACCTAAACAAATGGATGACAAATCTTCATACTACAGAGATAGACCTCAAAATATCCTGCAGAATAAACTATCAGCAAAATCACCTAGACAGAACACTGATCCATAAAAATTTGGGAGCAACATTTTAACTATCTCATCAAACAGGCGCTCATAATCACCAGGCTTCATGGATTGAAAAGCTTTCAAAGTTTAGGAACCTAAAAAAGCAAATAAAAACCATGTGGGAACAGGCACCTGGAGTTGTACTGAGTGTGCTTTGGCTGGGCCCATAGACAATGAGCTTCCATGGATTCAACGAGAAAAAGCAGGGTTTTTATCCACTGGGCAGTCGTCTGCACAGCATTCAATAGAAAAGATTAATAGTAGCATGGTGCCATTTCTATCTGAGTGCTATTCAAGTTCAAAAAGATGAGAAAAGTAGGATTCATAAGAATCACAATAATAATAATTTTGCCTTTATGCAATTTACAACTAATTTTTACCTATTTACAGATCATGAAGATGTTCTTTGATGGTCGCTATGTCATTTTGCTGATGGGATTGTTCTCAGTATACACAGGCCTCATCTACAATGATTGTTTTTCAAAATCAGTTAACCTGTTTGGCTCCGGATGGAATGTGTCGGCGATGTTTAGATCTACTCAGGATGACACCAATACTTCAGTTCATTGGGAGTAAGTGCCTTAGTTTTATTATCAAATGGCTGTTAAATTTTGAGAAACATGCAGGCTGCCTATTTCAGTTACCTCCCTCAAAACATCCTTGTTCCTTTCCCTGGGGCTGTAGCATAATTCAGACATTTCAGAATACAAGCTTTTGGCAGACTTTTATTCACCACCTGATGTGTGGTTCACAGAAGGAAGTGCACCAGGCCTAGAACAACTTTGATCCTCCTTAAGGGACGTATATAATGTTAAATACCATCCCCAAGCTACTCAGGGAGCCCCCTCTTCCTTTTCTCCACCCTTCTCCCCTTTGTCTCTGTTGACCCCACCCATTTCCAAAGTCAGATTCCTTTGCCTAGATTTATCTGCATCTTCCCATTCCAACTTCCTTCTGAGGCCTGAAGACAGAAAGATGATAAGGCCCTCTGCCTTCTGGTTTATTTTGTTTTTGTTTTTTGTTTTAAGCTTTATTGCTGTGTTTGTTTTGCTGCAGTGACAATGATATAAAGGCCAATGCATTTCTTCAGTTGGATCCAGATACTCCTGATGTGTTCCAAGGTGCTTATCCTTTTGGCATAGATCCGGTTAGTGCCTTTTCCCCCCTCTTTTTTGCACTGTATTATCCCATGGAATGGCCACCAACTTGCAATGTTAATACTGTTTTGTGTTAAATTTTAAGAATTCCTTGTAAGGTGGGGAAAATAATTTTTTTGGGGGAAAAAAAACTGTTCTTTCTGCCTCATTTTACTAAGATTTGGCATTCCTTACACTACTGAGTCAAGTGGATTTGTGGATGAAGCTGTGAATCACTTAAGCTTTCCATTTAAGTGCCATGGAATACTGTAGAATATGAAATTTTTGAGCCTTCGGGATGGTTTAGAAGAGAAAACTAGCCCCATGAGGTCAGGTTTTTTCTCACTTAATGGTCAGAAAATAACATACTTTCAGATTGGCAACAGCAAAATGTATGTTGTTTTTTTTGTTTGTTTTTGTTTTTGTTTTTAACATTTGTTTTTCTGTAGATGTGAATTACCTTCTATCCCCTAATCTTGAAAGAAATCCTAGAATTTTAGAGCAGGAAGAGACATTAGAGACCAGCGTAATGCTTATTTAGGAAGTCATTTTAGGTAGGAAAACTTTCAAAATGTTATTTTAATGGGTAGGTATAAAATGCCTCAAAGTTTTGGTTTTTTCCTTATGGAGAACTGAATCTTTTAATGGCATGGCTTCCTGGTAGAAATTGTACTCATTTAGCTAAGCATTTATTCAGTACCTACTATGTATAAAGGCTTATTCTATTACCATTCAGTCTTTTCCTAGGGAGTTAAGATTCTTAGCACCTGAGGAATGAGTTTACACTTTAAAAAGAGGGAAACAAATCAAAATAGTTACGGAGGATATGGGTGCATATAGATTAACTGAGGGAGAAAATACCCAATCTCAGTTTCTAAGCTCATCACTCATATGATATTGGGTTTTACTCAGTTTCACTTCTTAAACATTCTGTATATAATATGTATAATACAGTGTTTTAGCAAAAATTGTGACTATAATGATGAAGCTTGAAAATACTTTTTCCCTCCTTCTCCTACTAAGATATTAGCATGCTCCTGATGATAGTATTTTAGGACCTGGCGTGATTAATGATCTGTAACCTTTTTCAAGGAAAAGAATGCAGGAATTAAGGTATAAGCCCTGAACTTTCAGCTAGAAAGTTATGTGGGGTTTTTTTGTTGTTGTTTTTTTAAGCCAGACTATCCCTTTCCCCCACTTTGGTTTCACTTGTCTGCTCTTGGCAAGAAAAAGGAATGGAGTGTTTGTTTTTATCTTGGTTTCAGATTTGGAACTTGGCCACAAATCGTCTCAGTTTTTTAAACTCTTTCAAAATGAAAATGTCTGTGATTTTTGGAGTTACCCACATGACTTTTGGAGTTGTTCTTGGAATCTTTAATCACTTGTAAGTATAAAATGTAGAAGATGCATTTGGAAGTTGGGTGTCTGTGACTTGTCTTTGCTTCTCAAGGGGTGTTTTGGACAAAAGGCAGCCAGGTGTATTGTAAGCATTCTGTGCTTCCCTTAGGAATGACTTCAAAGATAAGATGATTGTCTTATAGCTTGTTTGTTCTTTTTAAAGAAAGTAATTTTAAAAATAGTTTTGTTGGTTTTCAAGAAGTTTGCATGCCAAGCAAGGTAACTTGATGAAATAGTTCTGTATCATTGGTATCAAATTCAAATAGAAATGGAGCCTGGTAGGAGGCATGTTGACTTATCACACGATGTTATCTGTGTGGTATTGAATTTTTAGTTATTTTGTTAAGTATTTCCCAATTACATTTTGATCTGGTTGGCAGTTGCTGGCAGTTTGCCGGCTGGGAGTTTGATATCTTTGCTCTAGATCCCCTGGTCCATTATTCTAACTTAACATGAGAGGATTTATCTTTTTCTTGAATCATATCTGATAGTGAAACCTCCACTGGTTCCACTCTCAGCACGAATAGCTTGTTAGTTCAGTTTGTGGTTGTACTTAAAACATTGGCACCACTGTCTGAGACACATGACATTAACCAAATGTGTTGGGCTTTTTTTTTTCCTCTCCGGCTACAAAGAATTTAAAAGACACAGACTTGATATTCTCTCTGTTGTCTTTTAGTTCGATCTTGTCTTTAGTTGGTAGTTAGTCTTGTCGTATTGGTAATTGGTGGCTCCTTTTTTTTAGGCATTTCAAGAAGAAGTTCAATATTTACTTGGTATGCCTCCCAGAACTCCTGTTCATGCTCTCCATCTTTGGATACCTGATATTCATGATTGTCTACAAGTGGCTCACTTACTCAGCGGCAAATTCTAAGCTCGCACCCAGCATTTTAATTGAATTTATCAACATGTTTTTATCCCCAGGTGGTGGGGCAGCAAGTGGACTTTATCAAGGACAGGTGGGAGACTACTCTTAGTACTTTTGGCCAGCACAGAAATTGCTCTTCTCCTCCTCAGACAGTCGCACCAGTGTTTTATGTATAACCACAGACTGAACTAATGAACTACACGCACTGAAAGTGGAACCAGCAGAGGTTTCACACTCAGACATGGTTCAAGAGAAAGATAAAACCTCTTTCTGTATAAAGTGCCATTTTGGGTACCAACGGAGGCAGACACAGATAATTAAGACATGGCCCTTCTCTTTATAGAGTTTATTGTCTAGGTGGAGGAGGGGAAAACGGTACAGTGCAGCAGTAGATAAGCTACACACACAAGTATATAGATTTAATTCAGAATAGAATGTGGTGAGAGCACAAGAGAGGAGCAAAATGCTATGTGAAGCCTGAGAAGACAGGCATGTTGGGGGTTGTGATGCTGCAGTGTGACATTTAAGAAATACTGTGCACTTGTGGAACCCAGACAGTGAGAAGCATTGGAGAGCATTAAAAATATCAGTCACCATAAGAGACTGTTGAGCAGAATCACCAGCTTTAATTCTTTGAGTTTTTAAAAAGGGAACTGATCATTGATGTTAATAAGCACAAATATTTTTTCTTGAGTTTTTTTTTTTCCCAGTTTTTTACCCATATCATACTCTCATGCCTCTTAACCTACATTGGAGTGGTCTTGGATTCTCTAAGGCTTTGCCAACAGAGCATAACCTCTGCTAGCTTAGCTCCCTTTGGCCTGGGAAGGCTTCAAGCCTAAGCCTGACAGATTGTGTGTTTATCATCTGTAGACCAACTCAAGTTGGCTAATGTGGAGAGGCTCAGTACCCAGTTACCCAGAGGGATGCATTTCTTGATCATGAAGACCATCTGCTAATGATTTGCATTCTGTATCAGGGGAGGGCATTACCTACCCTGATGAAATCACAGATCCTTGGAGGGGTAGAGTAATACTGTTTTAGCATCTAAGAATCCAGCTCCTTTTCCTTATGGTTTTCTTTTAGCCTTGAAAAGTTTTTCATTTTCTTAACTGTATAGATGTAAAATTCAATTAATATATTATCATTTGACGTCTTCCAAATGTAACGATTATATTTTTTAAAGGTCTGAGTCAATGATGCATAAGTGTTTCCTGTACCACACAGATTTTCCCCCTAAACCTTTTCTGTACATTCTTAAAGAAGTTATTTTTTAAAAAAAGTTTTATTGATGATGTAATTCTTCCTCTCTACCCTACCTCTTGCCAGAAATTACTGTTTCAAGGTCTAATTTTAATTAGAATTACATTTTTCCCAAACCCACTGCAGCATGGTATTTCATCTTGGTTACATTTTCCTTGGTCTGGTCTGATTCTGTCTTAAAGAGGAAGAAGCTTGAGATGTACAATAAGTCTTAACTCCAAGTCTCTGTAACAAAACAGGAAGAGAGATAGTTCATTAGACCAGGTGATTGTATCTAAATAATGAATATTATGAATTTTGGAAAAGAAAAAAACTAGCTCATTTGAATATATTTTGCAATGTATTGATTTTCTTGAATGTCCTGTTGAATAAGTGAATACACTGTAAGTTACTATTTCAAGTGTACAGATTAAAGGAGGAAAGTGGCTATTTTACTTACAGTTTTGCAAAACATTAATTTTTTTAGCCTGTTCTAGCCTTGTTGATTTTTTTCCCTTCACTTTACCTCTTGCCTTGATAGAGTCATGTCCAGAGGTTTTTATTAGTTGTGGCAGCAGTTTCTGTTCCTGTACTATTCTTGGGAAAACCTCTTTATCTGCTTTGGCTACACAATGGAGGTCGATTATTTGGAATGCACAAGGTATGTGGCTATTAGATTTTATCACTGCATGTGGTGCCTGCTGGCTTCCATTCAGTTTTATTGCTTAAGGTTCTGATGGATTATCCAGGTGGAGATGTCCTGGAGGAGCTCGGTGGTGTGGGTTGAGCTCAGAAGGCACTTAGGGCTGTACCTGTGAGATAGACTTGGAAGCCATCTGCATAGAGGTGGTAGTGGAAGATTAGCGTGGTCATGGCGTCCAAGGAGAAAGGTGAAACAAGAGAATGAGGCAGAAGCAGAGTCCTGGGGAGCATCGCTTTGAAGGGACTGGGATGTGTGGAGCGTAGGAGGAGAACCAGGGAGCATCATGCTTCTGAAGCCAGAGGAGACATCATGCAGGAAGGGTGGGCTGGTCAGCAGGGCCAAGAACCTCAGCTGAGTCAGGAAAGACCCAACAAAGCTACATTGATCTTCGAAATTAGGAGGTCCTACATGTTACAGCTTTAGAGTCGGACAGTCTTAGCAACCAACTGGTCCAGATGAGGGAATGGAGGCCCAGAGAGGTAAGGTGATTTGTGCACGTTTTTGGTTTTTTTGTTTTATTTTGTTCTGTTTTGTTTTTTTTTTTTTGGTTTGTTTGTTTTCTTGGCAATTGGGGTTAAGTGACTTGCCCAGGGTCACACAGCTAAGTGTCTGAGGCCAGATTTGAACTCAGGTCCTCCTGACTTCAGGGCCAGTGCTCTATCCACTGCGCCACCTAGCTGCCCCAGTGTGCACGTGTATAAGTAGCAGGGCTGGGATCAGTGTGGAGCATTGAAGAAATGCCTCTTGTGTCCCTGAGGTTTTCAATTTCCGGCCAAAGATTTCACATTCCCGACAGATGCTTTCTAGGTGAGTTCTAGCAGGGTCATTTGTCCCCATGGCAATTAATTGCACCTCCAGAAGTGAGTAGTAGTTAGCAGGATTGCCAGTGTTGCCTCTGATTGATTCACTGTCCCACTCACCATGTAAAGACCCCAAATCATTCCATCTCTCCTCAGACTTCCCATGGTACCCCCTTCCCCAACCCTCTCAGCTGACAAGCTTGTCTAGGCCGTTCCACACTATCTGCCTTTTCTCCCATAAGCGAGATGCTTTCTGCCACTCTCTTCTCCTTCACCCTTGTCTCACAGGCAGAGGTGACCCTTCTTGCTAAGGCAAAGCCTTCCACATGCACAGGGGATCATCCATCTGCTCTAGCAGATTTGCCACCTCTGTCATCCCACTCTGTCCCTTATTTCCACTTCTCCCTGTCTACTGGCTGCTTCCCTCCTGTCTACAAACATGTCCCATCTGCAAAAATCCCTCGCTGTTGTCTCATATCTCCTGCTGTTGTGGCTAAAGTCCTTGAGGGTCCTAATCAGTGGAGATAGTGAAGACATACATTTTGTAACTAACTCAGTAGACATGGTTTTGTGATTTGGGATTGAGCAGCCCTTCAGGGTCCAGCCCCACCCTGAGGGTGCAGTGGTCCTTCTTCCCTGGCTCACATTCTTCTCCCTTGATATTTGCCTCTTTGTTTTTTCCCATTGAAGCTTTTCTGTTCTTTCAGGGCATAATTAATTCCAGATAACTTGGAGATTAGGGAGGTGGCATCCCATCATTTTCGTTTTTCTCCTTCTGCTCCTAGAGAGACCAGCCTGATCTTGTGATTTTTTTTTTTATGTTATTACTTGGTGCTGAAAGAAATACAAGTATAGTGTTACTGTCACTGTTCAGTTCTTCTTGCCCTCCACATCTGACCACTGGGAGACAGAGGCTTTGTTCCCTGTTGTTATGGTTTCCAAGGAGGGGGGGGTAATGGTGGAACATTCACTGCACAAAAGGTTCGGTCGACTGAAGTCTTTACCACCTTTTCTCACATTTTGACTCTATGATGTTTACCTTAAATTCCCAGCCTATGTCTTCTCTGTTGTTAAAATTAATTATCTGAAACAGAAAACAAATCTGAAGTACAGTTTCTGAATAAGCAATGATTTAATGGTAATAGTTACCATGTTACAGTTAAGTCAGGTCAGCTAATCCCTCAGTGATTAGTGACAAAGGAGTGATTTACAGCACTTATTTTTATAACAGAGAAGAGAAATAAAAAAAAATCACAGCATCCCTAGGGAAACTTGTTTTGAACATAATTCAGTTAGACAAGGCTGGTCCGTCTGATTGGTTTGCTTCTCCCCGGCTTTCTTAACTCAAATTCATTCTGTATCTGCAAAAGTGGGATTGCCTTAGGAATCTCTGCCCTGCACCTGGAACATTTTGTTAGCAGAAATCTTTCTTTAAGGGGGAGAAAGAGGAACTTGTGGTTTGTAGGAGCAGTCACGCACTGCTCCTGCCTCCTCCCCCTTCCAGCTGTCAAAAGGGAAACACAGCATTAGGAGATTACACTACTTAATTTAGACTTACCCTCTACCTCAAGAAGACAGGGAGCTTATCTACTGAGACTGGAAAGAGGAATTTACCCTCTAGTCAACCCACCTTGGTCCAGCTGCTGAAAAGGGAAACTGAGCCTCTAAAAAGAGCCTTATACTCCTAGGATTATTTTATTCCTAGAAAGATATAGGTCTTACTCTAAATTATCTGCTACTAAATGATAAAGTCTTATCCATCTATCTATTCCCTAAATCTGTAGGTAACCTAGACTTAAGAGAATATCTCTGTGAGTTTGGCTTAGCCATCAGGGCTAACTTTTCCAAAAGAAGCGAGTTGAATCCTACAATCAGACTAAAACTAAATCAGTCACTACTGACTGATTTAAAGGGTGTTCCCTTTCACTGTAGCATTTTTATATTTCTTTCTACACCAAAAGGATATTGCCACATTAATTACCCTTTTTAAAAATCCTTATCCTTGTTGACATTTCTGGGATGTTTGAGACTCTTAATCATCCCTCCTCTTGGAAACGCTTTCCTCCCCAGGTTTTCAGGAGATTGGCCTCAGGTTTGTTGTATCTGTCTGGTCACTGTCTCAGTCTCCTTTGCTGCATCGCTGTCCGTGTCCTATCTTGGAAGGGTCCCCAAAGTGCCAGTATTCTTTCCTTCTCTCTGTGCTTTCTCTGGATGGTCTCATCACTTTCCATGAATTCACCTATCATCTCCATGTAGATTATTCCCACATTGCTCTACAGCCATTCATTCCTGAGCCCCAGTTCCACATCACCAATTAACTGCCTATTGGCCATTTTCACTAATATGTCCTGTAGACATCTTAAAACAAAATTGATTTCCTTTTCTCCAACCCTCCAGATGCTCTCCTTTTCTTAATCTCCCTATTTTTGTTGAGGGCGTTACCATCTTCCTGGGTCAAAAACCTCTGAGTCGTCCTTGACTCTTTCCTCTCTGTCACAGACCTCCCCCCCCTCCACAATCTGTTACCATGTCTTGTCAGTTGTTGACGTGATATCTCTCCTTTCCATCTCTTCTCTCCATTCACCTGGCTTCCACCCTAACTCCAGCTCCTTATCACTTCTCACTTGGATTATTGCCATGGCAAATTGTCTCCCTGGTTCCAGTCTCCCCTGTCCCCTTCAGGCCACCCTCCACACAAACTGCCAGCTTGTTATTCTTACAGTATAGGTCCTGCTCAGTAAGCTCCAGTGGTTTCCTAATCTCTCTAGGATAAAATACATGTTTCTCTTGCATTTAAAATCATTTTTGCTCCCACCTACCTTTCTAGACCCACCATTCTCATTCCAGCCAGATTGGCTCACTTTGCCCAGGTTGTACCCTGTGCCTGGACTGCCACCTCTTAGAGGTCTTCAAGGCTCAGCTCAAGGGACACAGTCTCTGAAAGGTCTCTTCGTCCAGTTGCTAGTGCCCTCACTTCCAAAATTACTTTGAATATATTTTCTATTTACTTCATTAGCTACATGTTGTTTCATCTCAGTAGAACATAAATTCCTTGAAGGTATTTGGGATTCTCATTTTTGTCTACAAAGAATCTCCAGTGCCACTTAATAAGTGCTTTTTGAATGAATGATTGGATGGATGAATGAGTGAGTGAATGAATGAATGATACAACTTCCAGACCTGGCTCCAACTTGCTTTTGGTAAGAAGTAGTATGAGGTGATGAGGTCATTGATGATGTTAGAGAGTGGAGTGTTGTTAAAATGGGAGAGAGTGGGTGATAAGGAAGTCAAAGGGCCAGATGTGGACAACTTTTCAAGTAGTTGTATAGTTAAAGGGTTGAGAGAGAGAGATGACTGGATTGGCTCAGTGAGTCAAAGGAAGGCTCTTTAGGATTTTTCAAATTGGGACATTATTTGTATGAGATTTGGGATGGTGACAGTGGCAAGAGAGAGCTTGAAGATCTGGGGGGGGGGGATGCTGGAGTGAGGCCCTGAGGGAAGTGGGAAGGAATAAGATAAATGACAGGTTGATAGAATGGTTGGGATCTCTATTCATTTCATTGAGTAATAGCAGGGGATTGTTCTTTTGTGACCTGGGAGAAGAAGAGAGAAAGGGCAGAAGGTAATGGTGAGAGGGTTTGAGGAAGGGCTGGATTAATGAATAATGAATTTGAAGGTCGTCATTTGTTTTAAGTGTAGGGGAAGGAAGGGATGATTTATTAAGCATCTACTATGTGCCAGGCACTGTGCTATGATCCTTACAATATTCCTGTGAGATAGGTTTTGCAGTTGTGATGAAACTGAGGCAACAGAGATTAAGTTATTTATTCAGGGTCACAAGGCTATTAAACTGTCTGAGGCTGGATTTGAACTCAGGTCTTCCTGACTGCAAGCCCCGGTGCTCTATTCACTGTGGGAGGGGCTGCCTTGGGTGGTAGTGGAAGTCTTCTTCAGAAGAGACTAGATAACTAATTGTTGGATATAGAAATGGTTGGACAGGAAGGGCCTCTGGGGGACCTTCTGATTCTGAAATTCTGTGATCTTTATTTTTATTCCTGTCTCTCTGTTTTGTTTTTATAATTTTTAATGACTCTTTTTAATCTACCAAGTGCCGAATTGATCCTTCAAAGGGAACATAACTTTTTCCCTGTTCTTAGGATTATAATGATACTTAAACTGGACCTTTTCCTTTTTTTCTTAGAGTGGTTATACACTGGTTCGTAAAGACAGTGAGGAAGATGTTTGTTTGCTGGGGTCTCAAAATGTGGAGGAGGGAATTAGCCACTTGGAAGGTGAAGGACGTAAAGAAGAAGAGGAGGTAATCTTTTTTAGCTAGTGTGCATAATTTGCTTTTGTAACTATATAAGATTCACAATGATGATGTTGACAAAAGTAACTATTTGGCACTCTGTAGAAGAAAGTGTATCTTTGAATACTCTTTTAATAATGTATGGTAGTCAAATCAATTTCCTAAGAATTTGATAATTTTTATTATTTTAAAACAATTTCTTCCTGTTTATTATAATGAACCTCTAGTTAAGTGTTATGCATATTTTTGGGGGGGGGGAGGTGATGAGGATCCTCTGTTCTATCAACCTCGTCTCACTGGGTCCTATATACCTGGAAAAGCTTTAATTATACCCTTGGCAATAGTCTGTCATCTAAAGAAAGAGTGGAGGCTCAGCATGAGTGGCTGGGCCAGTAGGTGATGGATTTTTTCAAGTCTAGTAGCTAATGTGGATCACCTGCTGGGGTGTAGAGGGGTTGGAATCTGTATGTGTTCTTGAATATTACAGGTTTCAGTATTAAATGGGCTCCTTGATCAATCTGTGAACACTATTTTCAGAAGATGTATTGGCCTCTGATTTTCTCAGAAATGTGATGTTATTTAATAATTGGTAAAGTCATTTCAAAGAATTCCTTTAACAATTATCCTGAAATTTATTTTTAAATTTGCTAATTCATTGAGTAAGGATTCTCTTTTACTATTTATTGGGGGGAAAAGTGAAATATTTTCAATTTAATTTTGAAAATAGCATAAACCTAGGGGTTTTTAGCCTTTTTGTATTATATATACTTTTGGCAGCTTGGAGAAGCCTTCTCAGAATAATATATAGGATGACATCAAATAAAATATATAGGATGACAGAAGAATACAGTTATGAAAATATTAAGAAAAAAGTTCAGGAACCCCATATTAAGAAGCACCAGCAAAAATTCTTGCTATGTGAAATGAGTGAGTAGTCATTTGGTGGGCTTTGATCAATTAGCCTCATGTCTCTATATGCATCATCTCTTCTAGTTTAATTTTGGAGAGCTCTTCATGGCTCAAGCAATCCATGCGATTGAATATTGTCTGGGCTGCATCTCTAACACCGCGTCATATCTGAGGCTCTGGGCGCTCAGTTTAGCTCATGCACGTAAGTCTTCTGCAGGCATCTTAGCCTTTTACTGGTGTTTCCCCCATTGCGTTGAACTTTTACTGGATCTTGAGAAACACCTGCTCATCAAAGAAGATCTGTCCCAGTCAGAACGTAAAGCAGGCTGAACACATTTTTTACTGCTTGGGGACTTTGTCTTGGTACATTTATCTCCATGGCTGACTGATTCTTTACGAGAAACCCAAGTCTACAAGCTGGCTCAGTGATCAAAACCCAAGGTAATTGTGAAAAATTATTTCTTTTTTTAGAGTTATCAGAGGTCCTGTGGGCAATGATAATGCGTGTAGGGCTCCGTGTGGACAAGACTTATGGAGTTCTGCTGCTCATTCCATTGGTAGCGTTCTTTGCTGTCTTAACAGTCTTCATTCTCTTGGTCATGGAAGGCCTTTCCGCATTTCTTCATGCTATACGGCTGCATTGGTGAGTTTTTCTATTAGGTTTGGTTGGTTTTTTTGGTCATTAGAATTTTTAGGCATATCTGATCAAAGAATCAGAAAATAATGGTGATGCTAGTCACCTTTTAGTGTTTTTTTTTTTCATAATATATATTTTGTTCAAACCTAAGTCAGATGACTTAAGTTGGTTTTTATGGTTAAACTCGAGGTTCACAACTTGGAATTAAACTAAAAGGAAAACTAGTTTTTCTCTTTTGAAAAGTGACATAGTATAGATGTAAAAATGATTGGAATGCTTTCTCCCCTGCTTCATCTTTTAGCCCTTCATTCAGCAAGCATTTTTAAGGGCCTCTAAGCACATAGGTTGGATGTTGGATGAGATGACCATGGCTAGCAGGTAGATTTGCCTTCAAGTCATGTGTACAGGGCTTTTTTAAGAGTATCAAATGACACTGTATGTTTAGGGGGTATTTAAACCCAGTGTCCAATTAGCACTCAGCAGTGTGGTAGGTGCTATAAATATGTAAACACAACTGTGCTCTTTTACCAAAACACTGGTGGTTTCTATTCCATATTAGGCAGACTGGTGGTAATTTTTATATACACGTACAAACACACATACGTATGTAAATACACACATATACATACACATACACACATATGTAGAATGAAATCTTTCCACATAGGAGCTATTATGTTTTAAAAAACATTTTATAGCTTTTTTTTTTTGATCATTGCTGTTGTTTTCCAAATACTTCTCTCTCCAAAGCGCCTGGCTGGTAAAGCTCTCTTCTCCCTAGCTGAGACACTAAGCAGGCCTGAGCAGTGTCTTTGGGTACCACCAGTCCTATGCTAATGAGGGCGTGGCTGACTCATCACCACCCCTCGAATCATTCTGAATTCTGATGCTTTCAGGGTTATTTTCCTTTATATTCTGATGTGCCGTGTTTTAAAAGTTGTGGCTTTGCTCCATACAGACGGTTTTTTCCTACTTCCTTCCCTGCCGCCTGATTAGAGGTTGTCTTCTTGAATTAATGTCTCATTTCTTTTATCTCTGCAGGGTGGAATTTCAGAACAAGTTCTACATTGGTGCAGGCACCAAATTTACTCCTTTTTCATTTAAACTACTCTCGTCACAGTGTAATAAAGATGACATGGCATAATTCAGCTGCTGTAACCATGTGCTCTCAGCATGATGGTGAATTATCATGTTATTAAATTTCACTGAAGTAGAATTTATAATAGAAACATGTTGTTCCCCTCCTCCCCATTGCCTTATATAATACAGCCAAATAATTCTGTCATTTAGATTGTTGCCTCATGTTGGATATCTTGTAAAGCTTATCAGTCTTAGAGATTTAAATTTCTTTTGACTGTTTTCATGATGATCAAATGTAAGTCATTTGTTATATTTTATGTTAATGTTTATTCTAAAAAAATAGTTGTTACTTTTTAGGCAGAGGTGGAGGGAAGTTTACTGCTTATGATTGAAGTTGTCTTAATAGTCTTTATTTCTGTTCATCTGACAAATATCCAGCACTCCCTCACTAAAGGTAACTAGTTTATATAATTTTGGAACAGCTGAAATTAAGCCTTTTAAAAAAAAATCCAACTATAATTAATGAGCAGTTCCAAAATGATTAGCACTGGTAGTGTTCAGTTTTTGCCAGTTTTGAATATGACAAAATGTTTGATCTCACAATAGCTGTGATATTACTGAGAAACCAAGCTTTTCCCTATTTATTCTTCAGTGTTTTAATTGAGGGAAAATGGGATAAAGTTGCATCCAACAGATCGTTTGTTCCATTGCTGAAAAACTGGTAAAGGATTTTGTCCTTTTCTTCTTGCATAAACTCTTGATGGTGACTGCACACTATGAAAGCTGTGGTGTGGGGCTGAGCCTTCCTGCCAAGTGTGGAATTAGAAGCTATTATGGATATGATTGGACTGTAATGACCAGCTTTTGTCTGACATTACTCAGCCAAAGTTGTTTCTATTGAGCGAAGGAAAGGTACCGAGTCGTCTTTTGTATATTTTTATAACAAAATGTATATTAAAATATTTTACCACTGATCGATACACATCTGTGCCATGGAAACATCATAATTATATTTTTTCCTTTCAGATTAATTCTGAATAAAGATCTAATTCCCACTTAGATTTAGTATTTTAAATTGATTTTTAGTCATTCTGTTTATATTTATTTAGAACTAACCCTCATGAAGCTGTTGATTGGTGATCCTTAACGTAAATCCAGCTAATTCATCCATTCGTCTTTTTAGCTTTGAATGAATGTTTCTCCCCTATCCATTGAAAATTGTGATCCTCTTCCATATGGAGTTTTTGTTTAAATTATATTCATCGTCATGCTGTTTTAATGTTCTGGATCATAACTTTTAAAATTAGCCATCTGGAATGTATACACTTTCTTAAAGTTTAGGAAGTTTTGGTTTTTGTACTAAATTCCTAAAGTCCTACTGCAGTGCCTCCTTGTGGCATGTAGATGGCCCTAGGCTTTTGGAGGTGGTGTTAAGTGGAGTACAGATTCCAAAGCCCAGGTCCTGGCACCAGACTTGTCACTTGCAGACCAGCCCCTCTGAGGACAGGGGCTGGCACTCTTCCCCCTGCCCCCCACCGTGAATGCTTTTGGCCACTGCAACTTGGTTGTAATCTGTTTCAGCAGAAGGAATACATGTGTGGATGAAATAGCAGAGCCTTGAGATTATCCAAGTGCCAGACTGTCCATACAATTGCAGTTAACAGTGAAGTTGGCACATTTGTTATTGATGCCACTTGAAGCTCCGGATTTGTGATCCAGCTTGAACAGTCTCATGTGCTAAATAAGATTATGGTATCACTGTACCCAAAAGGTTGTCAGGGAAGAGCATTCCACAGTAGTGGGCTGAGAGAGGTGGACCCTGGGACATACAGTCGTTACCCTGACTTTGACCCTTTCAAACTGGAAGAAATAATTCTGTGCTGCCATTTGATGGAAAATTACCCGATTTAAATTAGGATTTCTTTTTCATGTCTTGCCTGACATGCTACAACAACAAATGCAGAATGGTAATACAGTTGAAATTCCAGATTTTGTTATGACTGAGTTCCTCCTAGAAAGTTGCTGTTTCTGATCCTTTAATATTGAGTTTCTAAAATTATCTTTCCTAATTCATCCCTAGGAAGTCACAGTAAAACCAGTACCACTCAGTGTTGGTGGGATTTTAGTAGCTGAATGAAAAATGCGAGTGCTAGGTTCAGAGTGATAAATAAATTGCAGTATCTGCTGGAATCCATTTTTTTTTTTTTAGGCAATTGGGGTTAAGTGACTTGCCTGGGGTCACACAGCTAGTAAGTGTCAAGTGTTTGGTCTGAGGCCGAATTTGGGTCCTCCTGAATCCAGGGCCGGTGCTCTATCCGCTGCGCCACCTAACTGTCCCTGCAGTGACTTTCTAACTGCACCTCGTGGTCTCTTAAACAGCTCTCTAGAATAGGAAGTGAAAGATACCTTGTCAAATTAGAATCAAAGAGAATATCAAGGTATGCAGAATTTAATTACAGAAACAGTGATTTTTTTAGATCTCCACTTTCTTGAATGTATCTTCCCTGGAAATGTAATTGTTTCAGGGTCTTGAAGATTCCAGGAAGTTGATTTTATGACTTGACAGGTTCTTGCCATGTGGCCAGAAAGGGAGCTTTCTTTGTTATTTAAGCTATTTGATAGTCTTGTATACATTCTGAAATGTAAACTTTGTCTGCGTGATGAGAAATGTGAAAAATGATGAGCCAGTTAGATGATTTTAAATATGGATTTCTGGCATCGTCTAGACCAGTAGTGTCAAACTCAAATAGAAATGGATCCCTGCCAAATGCATATTGACTTAGAAAATCACAAATGAACATTTATCTGTATTGTATTGTATTTTTATTTTGTTAATCATTTCTCATTTACATTTTAATCTGGTTTGTACAGCACTGGATGGCTTTGCGGTTTGACATCTCAGTTGTAGACAAAACATCTCAATTTTTGATGAATGAAAACCTTAAAATGCCAAGGCATTTCTTCAGAGAAAATAATCAGAAAATAGAAATTTACTGCAATCAGCCAGAAAGCCAGACTTAGACACCGGCACTGGCAAAATTGGGTGGTTCATCCATAGGGTTAGAGGTGGGTGTAATAGGCTAAGTTGTTGGACCTCCATTTTGTGTTAATGATTGCTTCAAGTTTTAATGAATGCTGTTTGGTCTTAATTTCTAGGAGTGTTTGGAATATTACTCTAGTGTTTCCTTTTAAATTCAGTGAGCTGCAAAGGCTAAAATAAGGCATTATAAAACCAGCATATGTGTGTAGCATACATATGTGTAACTACACACGCACATGTATACACATGTATCTACACACATGTATGTATGTATGTATGTATGTCTTCGACATAGGGATAGGGACTGTACCTGTCATTTCATTGGTATAGAGGGCTTCCAGGTGAGGAAACTCCCTCTACCAGTACAGGTTGGCACCTTTTCTGCATCTTACAGTCTTAGCAAGGTGCCTGAAACACTTGACTGGTCAAGTGACTTGCCCGGAGCCAATATGCATTGGAGGTAGGACTTGAATCCAGGTCTTCCTGCCTTTAAGGCCAGCTTTCTATCCACTACACCACGCTGCCTCTCGTGTATTATAATATGAAGTTTAACTACTTAATTATTCATCATGCCTGACTTATTTTGGATCTAAAGCCGAAGTATGCATTAAACAAATACTAATTTCTCAGATTCTAGTTTATTTTAAAATAAGGAAATTTTCTAGTTTGCATGCCTTTATATTGGCATTGAGGTTAATGCTAGGAATGAGGCACACTTTCAGTGCTGAGACTAAAATAAAGCCATTCAGTAGACACATACGGGGGTCAGCCATTGGAGGTTACTCTGTGCTTAGGAATCTTTAAAGCGTTAAAAGAGGACAATAGTATTTTGACAGTAAATTCCAAAGGAAAGGCTTGAGTTTTATTGGAGACAGCTTAATGACTGGAGAAACAAAGTTGTGTGACGGGAAGAGACGGTGGAGAATTCAGCCGGAATACTCCTTAAAATGTGCAGTGATTGAGAAGTTGCATCTTCCTGTCAGTATTTGGATGTTGAATGTGATTTTATTCAGCAAAAATAAATATTTTTTAAAAATGTGGGTGTATTGCTTTGTTATATCCTGACATGTTTGGAAAGCCTGAGGGAGGCCTGGGATACCAGGAATGACAAAGGCACAGTATCCGAGAATTCAGTTTTTGACTGGGATAAGAACCAATCCTTTCAGGATTACATTACATTAAGTCCTACTTGATAGGTGCACATTGGGGTTACTTGGTGCTATACAGGATCCAAGAAGGGAAGATTGTTTCCTTCGGGGAATCATGGGAAGGGCTGTTGAGGTGGGTTTGATAGGATGAGGAGGAGCTCATTTGGGCCCAGAAGGCAATTTGGGGTTCAGAGAGGGAGCCCGCTGAGAAGCCAGATCTTAGGCTTGCTACTTCTTCCCTAGCTGATGGAGCCCCTCTTTGGTTATTAAAGTGAGTTTGGGGGAAAGGAAAGAAAGAAGAGTTTTTGGCATATAGTGGGTGAACAGTAGTTTGCTATTACAGAAGCATAGTTCCATGCATCATTCAAAATTCATTAAACCCTTGCTATGTGCCTGGCACTGCTAGGTAATGAGACTACAAAGGCATTGAAAACATTCCTGCCCACAAAGAGCTTACATTCTGTAGGGGAGACTACATGTACATGCTCTCTCTATACAAAACATGAAATAAATGCCAAGTATTTTGAGGGGGACAGACAGTGAAAAGGCATAGAGTCAGATGCAAGGCCTCGTGGGGGGAAGAATAAGGGGGCCAGGGGAGTAAAGTATGAGGTGACTAGAAGGACAGGAAAGGATGAAGTGATGAAGGACTTTTAAAAGGTAGATTTTGTATTTGACCCTGGAGGCAACAGGGACACTGCTATTTATTGAATAGAGAATAACAAGGACAGGCCTGGGACTTACAAAAATAATGGTGTGGACTGTAATATGGAGAAGATTGAGGCAGGGAGACCAACTAGTAGGCCACTGCAATAGCCCAGATAGGAGGGGATGCGGGTTCTCCCTTCCGCCGTGGTGGTGGGAGGGTCAAAGGAGAGAAGGCAGTGTTGAGAGGTGCTGCAAAGGCAGAATCGACAGGACTCAGCAACTGGATATTGGGTGGGGGGGAGGAGAGTCGAGGATGATGCCTAAGTTGAAAGCTTGGGTGACTGGGAGGATGGTCATCCTTTGAACAGATGTGACATGAGACTGGAGGTCAGGAGAGAGGTTAGGGCCGGATAAATAGATCTGAGGATGATCTGCATGTTGGTGATGGTTGAATCCACGGGAGCTAATGAGGTCATCAAGCTTATATAGGAGAAGAGAAGGTGGCCTTGGACAGAGCCACAGTTATCAGGCAGGACCAAACTGGAAGGAAAGGAACGTTAAAGGAAGAGTGAAGGATGGGCAGAGAAATAGGAGGAAAACCGGGAGAGAGCCAATGTCACTGAAAACTAGAATACCAAGGAAAAGAGGAGCAAGGTGATTAACAGTGTGAAAGGATGAAGACTGAAAAAAGGACATTGGAGTTGGCAGTTTGAGAGAGAATTGTTCACTTTGGAGAATATAGTAAAAACTTATTTCTCTTCCAGGATGGCTTAGTTCAACATTGTCCTGATGCGCTCACACTCTTCAAATCTGGACATTTAATTTCCTTTGTAGTGTCAGGTAGAGGGCGGTTGTCAGGTATTGTGGAAAGAATGATGGGTTTGTAGCCAGAAGACACAGGTTTGAATTCTGGTTCTCAGCTACCTGTGTGACGTTTTGGGTAAGTCACTCCTCCAAGCCTGTGTGTCCTCTGTTAAATGAGAGGGTCAGACTAGATGATCTCCAGGGGCCCCTCTCTCAAATCTTACAGGGCTGTCTATGCCAGTGAACATTATTAAGCACCTGTTATGTGCCCTTTGTGGCTACCCTCCTACAGAAGGCAGGCTACAATAGGGATCTCCACTTTCTCTCCTCTCACTCTCTTAACCTCCTCTGATCTGACTTCTGAGTTACCAGCGATCTCCTCATTGCCAAATCCAGTGACCTTTTCTCAATCCCCATTCTTCCCCACTTCTGCGCTGCGTCCGACACTACTGATAACCTTCTGGAGACTCTTCTCTCTAGTTTTCTGGGACGCCGCTCTTGGCTGTCCTCGCTATCTTAGTCTCCTTTGCTGGATCCAATTCAGGACATGCCCTCTAACCATATAGGACTCAGATCTATTTATCCAGCTCCTCTTCGCCCTCTAGACTATTTCCCTTAATGATCTCATGAGCTCAGGAGATTTAATCATCATCTCTCTGCTAATGATTCGCATCACGTTTCCAACTACCTATTAGACATCTTAAACTTAACGTGTTCACGACTGAACTATTGTCTTCTCCCCTAAACTCTCCCCTCTTCCTAATTTCCCTTATTACTGTCCCCCAGGCTTGCTGCCTAGGTGGTTTTACCATTGTAATACCTCTCAAATTTACCTCCTCTCCTCTGACTGTGCCATCCCTCTGGTGCAGGCCCTCATTCCTCACACCTGGATGTAGTAATAGCTGTTGGTGGGGGGGAGGGGGAGGTCTGCCTGCCTCAAGTCCCCGCCCCCCATCCATCCTCCATTCAGCCACTTAGGTGATCTAGGAATCATCACTTAGGCGATGCAGGAAATCCTCCTCTCTGTAAACTTCAGTGGCTCCCTCTCACCTCCAGGGGTCAAATACAAAAATTTCTGGCGTTCAAAGCCCTTCGTAACCCCCACCCCTCACCCTTCCAGTATTAGACCTTTCTCCCCTCCATGTACTCAAGCCATGATGCAGGCCTCCTGGCTGTTCCACTCTCTCCACTCCAGGCATTTGTACTGGCTGTCTCCCCATGCCTGGAGTGTTTTCCCTCCTCAGCTCTGCCTACTGACCTCCTTGGCTTCCCAGAAGGAAGTCCCAACTAAAATCCCTCCTCCTATAGGAAGCCTTCCCCAATCCTCTTAATTCTGGTGCCTTCCCTCTGTTTATGATTTCCTAGTTTTCCTGGCTGTAGCTGGTTTGCACATATTTGTTTCGTTTGTTGTCTCCCCCATTAGACTGGGAGCTCTTTGAGAGCAGGAACTGGTTTTGGCCCGTTCTTGTGTCCCAGCGCTTAGCACAGTGCCTGGCACATAGCAAACGCTGAATTACGTACTGCCTTCATGACCAGCACTGTGCCTTTACGCACTGATGTAAGGGGATGCCAGAACATCACTGCAGGCTGGAGGGACATACAGGTAGTATAAGCTGTCCCTCGTGGTCCAGAATGGCAAGCCTGGACTTGGGCAACTTTGGAGAGGCCTCAAACATGACCAGGCAATGACGCCTTCCTCAACAGCCCCGTCCGAGGGGAGGGACTCTTCCTTTAATGCTGAGGCATCGTGGATCTCCTCCCTCTCCGAACAGAGACCCGCTTGGAGAAGTAGGTCCGGCGGCCTCAGCGTCTGCCGGCGCGGAGGCGGCGGTTGCCAGGGGCGGAGGGGGGCGGTTGTCAGGACGCCACGGCCTCTGTCGGCGCTGGGGCCGAGACTGCCTGGGAAGGTGTGGAGGTGAGGCTGGCGGCGACATGGACGACCTGCGGGTGGAATGGATGCGGGACCGGGTGTACGTCGCCTTTCAGATCACCGACCCGGAGTATTTCCTCGAGCTGATGAACCGGAACGACGGCGAGGCCGAGGACGGGATTCTGCACTTCTTGAACCAGAGCACAGACGAAGAGGGCGCCGCGTCGATCTTCTTCTACCGCCTCTTGGTGCCCGAGGAGGTGGAAGTGGAGATAGGTGAGGGCCGGACCCTCGCCTGCCCCCAGCCCCCTGCCCCCTGCCCTGCCTCTGCACGGCCATCCTACGCGTGCAAGTCAATGGGCATTTCCAGGCACTGAACTAGGCGATGAGGCTTCAAGGAAACGAAACGAACAGTCCCAGGCTCTCGCCTCAAGAACCTTATATTCTCGTAAGGAGATACAGCATGTGTCCGGAAAAGAAAATACAAAGTGTCTGCCAAGTGATACAAAGTAATTTTAAGAAGAAGGGAGTTTTAAGGGTATCAGGAAAGGCTGCCTGGGCCTGGGCGTGCTTTGCAGGAAGCTGTGGATGCTAGGGGACAGGAGGACACTTAGAATAGGGAGTGTATGTATGCAGGGGAGTGGTGTAAATGTAGGTAGGAGCCAGATCGCTGGGGGCTCTTGGAGTTTATCACAGAGGAAATTGGTCCTCAGCAGTACGTACCCTCATGCTTTATGCCCTTTTGAGTCTCCATACATATGCATGAACCCTGTGCCCGCGTTTATTCCTCCCGGGCCCCTTTTCTATTTGTGTCTCCCGTGACCGTGCACCGTCTGCTACTGGTCCTTACTCTGTGGGGCCCGGGTGTTTCCTCTTTCACTTTTGTCTCCTGTGGCCAATGGAGTCAATCACTTAATCAACAAATATTCATTAAATGCTTATTATGTGCCTCACACTGTTCTAGGTAAAGGGTTTACAAAGGCAACAGTAAAAGGCTTTGTGTCTATGCAGGCAAAATAGATGCTATATGACTTGGGTGGGGGTGGGGGTGGGAAGACCAGCCACCCCGGGGAATGTAGAAAGGCTTCACGTGGAAGGTGGTGTTTGAGCTGGATCTTGATACAAACTAGGGATTCTAAAATAGATGAAAAGGGAGTGTGCTGAGATAGCTCATGCAAGTGTGGGAGATGGCCAGTAAGAGAGCCCTTGGAGAATGCAGGAAGGGGTGAAATGGGTAATAAGGCAGGAAAGGTAGATTGGGGCCAGGAGCTTGTGTTGTATCCTAGAGGTCCAACATTGTGTTATTCCTTTATTCATCAATATAGATAGTATAGAGAGGCAGCTAGGTGGAGCAGTGGATAGAGCACCTGCCCTGGAGTCAGGAGGACCTGAGTTCAAATTTGACCTCAGACACTTGACACTTACCAGCTGTGTGACCCTGGGCAAGTCACTTAGCCCCATTGCCTAGCAAAAATAAAAAATAAATAAATAGTATATGTAAGGCACTTAGCAAACCTAAAAGCATAAAAATCAATAAATGGTTAGCTGTTATTGTTATTATTATCCGTGCTCTGTCATCCAGAGGAAGACACCTTCAGCACCCTGGATAGTAGGTTCCCTGTGCAGGATTTACATGTATAAGATCTGCCCAGAACGAGAAAGCACGGGCACTGCCTGTGCCACCTAGCTGCTCTGACTATATTATGCATATACTTGTATAATGGGAGCAGCTAGGTGGCAGAGTGGATGGACTGTGGGTCCTGGAGTCAGGAAGACTCATCTTCCTGAGTTTAAAACTGGCCTCAGACACAACTATCTGTGTGACCCTGAGCAAGTCACTTCACCTTGTGTGCCTCAGTTTCCTCATCTGTAAAATGAGCTGAAGAAGGAAATGGTCAGATTGCTCCAGTGTCTTTGCCAAGAAAACTTCAAGCTGAACTCATGAAGAGTCAGGCATGAGTAAACAACAACAAATAATATACTCAGAATGAATACAAGGGAGTTTGAGGAGGGAAGGCACTAGCAACTGGGGGTTATCAGGAAAGGCCTCAAGTAGAAAGTAATGCTTGAGCTGAATCTTGAAGGAAACACTGAAAGAGAGAGTGAGACAGAGAGAGAGAGAGAGAGAGAGAGAGAGAAGAAGAAGAAGAAGAGAGACAGAGAGACAGAGACAGAGAGAGAAGAGAGAGATAAAGAGAGATGGGGACAGGAAGTATTACAAGCATAATTCTATGATAGCGAGGCACAGCTTCTTAACCTGGGGTCTGTGAACAACTTGGTTTTAAAAAATTTTTATAACTGTATTTCAATATAATTGGTTTCCTTTGTAATCCTACGTATTATATTTTATATCCATTATTCTAAGAATAATCCCTGTTCCTTCCTCAAACTTCCCATGGCTCCCTCCGACCCTGTGCTCTCAGTTTAGAACCTTTTCTCATATATCACTGAAAAAGCTGAGACCATTCACCAAGAGCTCCCTTTTTTCTCATCATTCACATCACTTGCGTGCCCACCCCCCACCATTTCCTCCTTTGTCCCTGTCTCACAGGAAGAGGGGACCCTTCATCTTGCCAAAGTAAACACCTCCACATGCTTAAGTGATCCCATTCCATCCCATCTTCTCCAGAAGATAGCTCCCTCCCTCATCCCCACTCTCACTGATCTTCAATATTTTCCTGTCTACCGACTGCTTTCCTGCTGCCTACAAACATGCCCACGTCTTCTCTATCCTTAAAAAAAAAAAAATCACTTAATGTTCCACTAGTTATCATCCTACATATTTCCTCTTCTTCTTGGATAGACTTCTTGAGAAAGCTGTCTTCCACTTTCTTTCCTCTCACTTTTTCCTTAACTTTTTGCAATTTCGCTGCTAATCTCATCATTCAATGGAAATTACTCTCTCCACAGTTACCGAGGTTCTCTTAATCATCAAATCTACTGGCCTTTTTTCAATTCTCATTCTTCTTGACCTCTCCACAGCTTTTGAGACTGTAAGTCGCCATCTTCTCCGTGATACTCTCTAGGTTTTGGGGACACCAGTCTCTCCTGGTTCTCCTCATACCCGTCTGCCTCAGTCTTCTTTGCTAGATTTTCCTCCAGATCGTGGCTGCTAACTTGGAGTGGCCCCCAGGTCTCTTTTCTCTTTTCCCTCAAGACTTTTTCACTTGGTGATCTCATCAGTCCTCTTGGATTCATCTGTCATCTGTAGGCAGATGATTCTCACATCTATTTAATCTTGTCCTAACCGTTCTCCCGACCTTATGCCTCCAAGTGTCTATTTAGCATCTCAAACTGGATGTCCTAGAGACATCTTAAACTCAACATGTCCCAAACTGACCCCGTTATCTTGCCTCCCAAACCTCCCCTTTTCTCAACTTCCCTGTGGCTGTCCAGGGTAACACCATCCTCCCAGTTCCTCAGACTTGACGTCTAGGTACCACACTCAACTCCTCACTGTCTCTCACCCCCATATCCAATTTATTGCCGAGTCCTGTGCATTCCGCCTTTATAACATCTCTCCTCTGACCCTGCCATCACTCTAGTACAGGTTCCTTAGTACCTCATGTTTGAACTATTGCCGTAGTCTCCTGGTTGGTCTTCCTGTCTCAGATCTGTCCCCATTCTGGTCCATTTACCATTAACCAACGTTATTCTTCTCAAGGTGAAGGTCTAACCATCCCCCTCCCTGACCTGATAAACTCCAGTGGCTCCATGGTACTACCTCCAGGATCAAACATAAAATCCTTGGTTTGGCTTTTAAAGCTCTTTAGAACTTAGTCCCTCCTACCTTTCCACTCATCTTATACCTTACTCCCTTCCATGTCCTCTGTGATCTAGTAACACTGGCCTTCTGCACGTCTCCAGACTTCATACACTTTTACATGCCTGGAATGCTCACCCTTCTCACCTCTCCTTCCTGGCTTCCTTCAAGACTCAGCTCAAATCCCACCTTCTGCAAGAAGCCTTTCCTGGGCCCCCTTAATTCTAGAGCTTTCCCTTGGAGATTGTTGCTGATTTACACATCACCCAACATAGGGGTTGAACCCATGACTCTGGGATCAAGAGTCCCATGCTCTACCCGCTGAGTCAGTGGGCAGCTAGTGGTGCAGTGGACAGAGAGCCTGGCTTGAAGTCAGGAAAACCTGAGTTCAAATCTAGCCTCGGACACTTACTAGCTGTGTGACCCTGGGCAAGTCACTTAACCTTATTTGCCTTTGCCTCAGTCGCTAATTTACCCATCTAGATCTTGTTTGTACATAGTTGTGTTTGTATTGTCTCTCCCTGTGAGCTTTCTGAGGGCAGGGCCTGTTGTGAGGTCTCTTTGCATCCTTAATACTTAGCACAGTTCCTTGTGCATGGTGAGTACTTCATATATTCTTGCTGACTGAGTGAATGTCTGAGCAGTTGTCCCTAGGCCTCAGGAGACTGCCACAAAGGGTTCATAACATGAGAGGGGTAAGAAAAAACTCCTGCGCTAAGGAAAGGAACAGTTTTAGGCATTCCATGCTGTGTGACATTGTTTTAAAATATTTCTTCTCTTTTCATTTGGGCCACGAAGATGTTCCAGAAGTTTCATCATGGGAAGATGAGGAAGAGGAGGAAGAGTTAGGCAGCCAGACTTCCAGAATAACATCAGCGGACAGAAGTACAGGTACAGTGCCCTAGGAATAAATAAATAAATAGCAAGATTTGAATGTATGGACCGTTCTCTGGGAATCCCTGTTCGGTTCTGATTTATAAACATTCCAAACCGAAGCATTTTTATACCAAGTGACCTTGCTTTTCTCTCTTTTCCTTTTTAAATCACTCTGCCATGGAAATGCTAGATGTATTGAAAAAGGGATGTGATATAGGGGCATTCTAACACAGGAAAGGGGAAATTTTATCTAGAGGTTGGGATGTAGTGTTAGATTTGTAGTTCAGAGAACCTGACTTCAAATCCTGCTCCAGGCACTTACTAGTTATGTGACCCTGGGCAAATTATTTAACCTCTCTGAGTCTCTGCCACCTCATCTGTAAAATGGGGATAATAGTAACACCCATCTCCCAGGGTTGTTGTGAGGATTAAATGAGATAACACACGTAAAGTGTTCTGCAAACCTTAGGAAAGGGGAGATAGAGAAATCCTAAATGAAGAAACTCTACCTATTCAGGTCAGCATCTTTTCTACAATATAAAGTCTTGTTTTGTTTTTTTTTTAAGATTCCATCTTTTTTAAATAGTATTTTCCCCTGATTACATGTAAAGCCAATTTTTAGCATTCATTTTTACAGAATTTTGAGTTCCAAATTTTTCTCCCTCTCTCCCTCCCCTCCCGTCTTCCTAAAATGGTAGGCAATTTGATACAACGTATAATCTTAGAGAGTTGCCTTGGGTACTGAGACATCAGATCATTGTTCAATCACCTGGAGGTTTCTTTTCATCTAGAGAATTTCCTAGGAGGGGTTTTAATTCAGTAATGATACTGATACTTGCATTCATATGAGCTTTCTCCTGAAAGAGCACCGACTTGACCCCTTTCTGCCCAGCAACTCCACGTCCACGCTACCATTAATAACTCACTGTGGGGGCCCTCTCCAGTTGTCCTGATCCATATCTAGCCTCTGGACCCAGATGGCTCCAGAGGAGAAAGTGAGGCTGGTGACCCTGCACCGCCCTCCCTCACTTAAATCCAGTTCTCTTGCATGTCATGGCATCACCTCCCTGACGTCACGGTCCTCCTCGAGAATGAAGGACAAACGGCGGCAACAGGAACTCACTGACATAGGCAGGTGCCAGATGTGGAATTCCATTGATCTAGGGAACTCCCAGGTGAGGAAACTCCTTCTTCCAATGCTTGTTGACAACTTCTTAACTACACAGAGCGCTAGGGATCTACCTGGGGCACTGGGGGCCGAGGTCACTTGGCCAGGATGAGTCAGAAGGAAGACTTGAACTCAGATCTTCCTGACTCAAGAGGTCAGTTCTCTATCAACTATACCATGCTACCTCTCAATTCTTATTTATGCCTTTTCAAAAACACAAGAATCATTTCCCAGTGTAGCATCTGTCCCTGTAACAAAGAATGATTGGAGCAAGACTCAACCGGTAAACATTATTAAGCTTCTACTGTGTGCAGAGCATTGTACTAGGCTCTGTGGGAGACATGAAAGTTAGATAAAATGTGTGGACTGTCCTTAAGGATATTTCAGTCTGTTAAGACGATACGACACATGGGACAGATAACTGTAATTTTAAACAAAATGTATTAGAGTGTATTATGAGGAGAGGGGAGGGAAGGTTGTTATTGACTGAGAGAAATCAGGGAAGGCTTCCAGGAGGAGAGGGTATTTGAATTGGGATTTAGAGCATAAATAAGAGCTCCCCAGGTAGAGGATAGGAGGGGAAAGCCTTCCATGAATATGGGGCAGGTCGAGTAGAAGAACGGAGGGAAATGCAGGGAAGGTGAGTTCTGGGGACAGAGAGCAGTTCAGTTTGGCTAGATTAAAGCATAGTGTCCAGGACAAGGGGAGCGATCCTTAGGTCATCTTCTGTGCTGGTCAGAGCATGTCTGCAGCCTCATATTCAATCTTCGACGCCCTATTTTAGGCAAGGTATTTCCAAGCTGGAATGTGTTCAGATGCAAACAATCGGGCTGCTGAGGGGCTTGGATATCATGTTTCACAAGGATTAATTAAGGAACCTGGGATGTGCAATTCAAAGAACAGAAGATTTGGGGTTCAGGTACATGATAGTCTTTTTAAGGACTGTTTGCGTTTTTGAAGGAGGAATACAGAATCTGTTCATCTTCAGAACACAGAACTAAGTGGGAAGTTCAAAGAGCTGTCCCAAGGTGGAATGGAAGGTCCCCGTCAGTGGGCGTCTGACAGCCACTCATCACAGACGTTTTAGAAGGATCTGTCTTCTTCACATATAGATTATATCAGGTGGTGCCTGAGGTTCCACCTTGCTCTGAAATTGGGTGAACTTTGCCCCGCAGGCACAAGAGAGCCGCTGAAGGATTTTGGGAAGAAAAGGGACATGGATAGATCTGTGCCACAGAATGAGGCTAGTATGGTAGCCATAGAAAGGATAGGCTGGAGAGGTACCTAGCAGGGGCAAAAAGAACTGTTCGGAGTCTATCCCACTAATGTCGGTGGATGGTGAAGAGGGCCTGATGGCGAGAGACACTGCCCAAGTAGAATGAGTAGGACTTGGTAACCAGATGAACACGGGAAGAGAAGGAGAGGGGGCTTAGAAGGCAGAGCTTAGGTCTGTATCCTGCTACTTGTCTATGTTGTGCAATGGGGATGGAGAAAAGAAGATGCCGCAGTGTTGGAAGAGACATGGTGGCTACATTCAAATATGTGACGGATTGTCGTGGGGAAGACAGCCATCTGTTTGGCTCCAAGAGAAGAACCAGGTGGAAGTTGTAAAAAGTCAAATTTGGGCTTGATGTTGGGTAGACATCTTGACCAACAATGGGAGAGATCCTAAGTGGAATGAGGTCTTGAGAAGGTCATAGATTTAGAGCTGGAAGACACCTTCAAGGCCCTCAGGGCCAGATGGACAAACTGAGGCACAGAGAGATGTTATGGAAGGGATTCCTTTTGTGCTTTGGATTGGTGTACATGGAATGTTCCCTCCACCTTTCAGGTTCTGTGATGGTTCCGTGCTCACGTAGGCATGCAGTTAAGCAATTAGACTTAGAACATTTCAAGGGGAACTTAGAGATCATTCTCATTTTATAGAAGAGGAAATTCAGGCCCAGAGAGATGGAGTGATTTTTCTGAAGTCACACAGGTGGAAATTAGCAGGACCTTGATCGGCACCCAGATCTAGTCTTCTTTCTGTTTCAACACACCACCTCATGGGGAATCCTTTATTCTACAGCATAGAATTTTCAAGCTGGAAGGAAGCCTATCAGTCATCTCCCATTTCCTCATTCAGCAGATGAGGACACTGAGGCACAGAATGGAAAATGATGAGATGATGACTACTTTGGTCCCATATTGCAGAATTAGGCGCAAGGCAGGCAGAAAAGGCAAGGAAGCAGATTTTAGCTCTGTGGAAGGACTTCCCTAACAGGGAGAATCCTCCCAAAGTGTAATGGGCTGCCTTGAAAGGTGTTAAGTTCTCCCTCACTGGAGCATCTCAGGGAGAGGCTCTATGATTATCTGTCAGATATTGAGGAGAGGGCATTCTTTGTTAGGTGGGAGTTGGACCAAATGAGCTCCAGGACCCCTTCCAGTTTGGTGATCTGTGAATAGTCATATATAACACCAGGGCTCCAACCAGACAATTAATGGTAGTTCTGCTGATATGAAGCCAGGAGGGGGAACAGATTTTGGGGGAAATACTGTATAATAAGCTCATTTTTAGACATTGAATTGTTAGTGCTGGTGGAGCATCTAGATGGGGATGTTTGACTGGCAATTGAAGCTGTATTCATGGATCCTGGGAGAGAGCTCAGGGCTGGAGAGCTAGATTTAGATGAAGGTTTGGGGGTCATTCAAAGAAGAGAAGACTTGAGGTTTGGGTGCATGTAGTGTTTTCAGAGACGGCTTCAGTCACGAGTTTGCTTCAGTTCAGCAAGCATTTATCCAAGGCTCCTTAGATGACAGGCATTGTGCTAGGCAATGAAGATTTGAAGTAAAATTCCCTGTCCTTGAGAAGCTTACATTCTACTGGGGCCAAAGCAGCATATACACAGGGAAACCTGCAGTAGCTAGGGTGGGATAGGAGGAGGCCATAGTATCACAGGGTCACAAATCCAGAGCCTGCATCTTCTCATTCAAACAAAGCCCAGAAAGACTGCCCAAGGTCATTCAAGTCGAAGTTCAGTAAATGTCAGGGGTAGGTTTCGAAGGAGCCAATTCCAAAGCCTCTTTCTGCTTCAACCCGTCCAGGAGATTGAGACTGAAAAAGTCATTAAATTAGGTGATTAGAAGGATGCTGATGACCTTTGGGAGAGAATTTCCATAGGTCCTGCCAGATTACACGCTGTTGAGAGAATTGAAGAAAGATGAAGTAGAGACATCAGGCGTAGACAGCTCTTCCCAAAAGTTTGGCAGCAAATGGTGGGAGAGATGGAAAAATAGTCAGACAGGTTGGGGATGGTCAAGGGAAGAGTTTTTTTGGGGGGGATTGGGGAGTCCTTGGCGTGTTTGCAGTCAGATGGGAAGGTAAAAACTAAAGCTCAGAGTCCCTGAGGAAGCAGGAAAGGATGCGATCATAATCAACATCTCATATTTAAAATGCGCAGAGGACATGATATAGGTAGTGCAAGTAGGGCTCGCCTCGTTTTACAAATGAGGAAACCGAGGCTCAGAGAGGCCTAAGTAGCTTGTAAATAGCAGCATGTCAAGGGCAGAGGGAGGGAGGGATTAGCCATAGCCAGGAAGAGAGGATAACTTTCCTTTGATTCAAGAGGAGAAGCGAGAGAGGGTGGGTGATGGGGCTGAGCTGTTTCTCTAGAAATAGTGGTGGAGCTGTCAAATGGATGTGGTGCATTTGGAGTTGTCTAGGTCTGTTCTTTTGTCCAGTTCCTTTGTACTGGGGGTGGCTAGTTGGGATTAGAATTGTATTAGATTGGGGCAGCTAGGTGGCACAGTGGATAGAGCACTGGCCCTGAAGTCAAGAGTACCTGAGTTCAAATCTGGCCTCAGGCAAAACACTTGACACTTACTAGCTGTGTGACCCTGGGTAAGTCATTTAACCACAGTTGCCTTAAAAAAAAAAAAAGAATTGTATTAGATGTAGCCCTACTGGGATGGATTAGCTTTGTAGCTCTTGTTTCTTCATTTATCCAGTCCCAACCCATTTAGCTGCTTTGGAGAGGGAAGGAAAGAGCATCCTCAGCCTTAGTAGATTCTGGTACCTAACTAGCTGAGCCTAGTGGCCTTAGATGGCTCTAGGCAGTCTAAGATTCTGGTAACCATTTCAGAGGCAGAAGTTATGGATTATATGCCCATCATGAAAAGAAGAGGAGCTTAGGGCCATGATTTTTCTCATCTTTATGTTTTTAAAAAAATGTTTCTGTTTCCAAAGTGAGGTGTCACCTGTACCTCCCAGGCTCTGATGACAGGACCCAGGGATATGAATAAAAACATGTACTTTTCTGAGCTGGATTCAGAGGACAAAACTGGCTGCTGTTGTCAGCATCCACATTCCTAGCTCAAAAGGTGCCTGGGATCTTTTATCATGTCCCTCAGATGAAGATGAAGAGATGAGCAAGAAAAGAATGGCTATCGCTTTATTCTGCTCCCTAGAGTAGAAGCACCCCCCCCCAACTAATTTAAAACATCCTTCTGCAAATCCTCAGCTTTTGGAGGAGCTGCTAAACTTGCCTCCCCCAAACTGAGTGGCAGGAGTGTGGAGCTAGAAAAATAGCTTCCCTGAAGTCCAAACCAATCCAATTCAACATGGCGGTTGGGTTGTGCTTACTATGTGCAGAGGGATGTACAAGCAAGGCATTGGGGATACTAAGACAAAATGGAAAAAACAGCCCTCACCCTCAGGGAGCCTGAATTCTCTTGGGGGAAGGGGACCCATAACAGGTAAACAGATTAGGATATATAGGGTTTATTTGAGGAGACAGGGTATATTAACTAGAGAATGTCCAACTCTGAAACTTATAAGTCACCTCAAAAATGTTTAAGTTCTTTAAAAACAGGTGGCTAGAGTACTGGACTTAGAGTCAGGAAGACAGGAGTTCAGATTTGACTTCAGACACTTATCAGTTGTGTGTGACCCTGGGCAAGTCATTTAACTTCCCTCTGCCTCAGTTTCTTCACCTGTAAAATGGAGATAATAACCTCCCAAGATTATCATGAGGCTAAAATGAGATAATATTTATAAAGTACTTTGCAAATCTTAAAGTGCTATGTGAATATTTTTGGAAAAAAAATCAATGTCACAATCAGTCAGGAGTCCAAAGAAACAGTAAAAGGAAGATTTAGGAGTGAAAATTAATGCGAGATTTAGGCAATAAATACAGCAAAGAGGCCAATGTATTAGTTCTGTGCCTGATAGGTGACTGCGAAGATGAGAAATGAAAGGAAACTTTTGTCTCGTTGCTGAAGTATTCTATAATGAATAACAACACCATCTGGATGAGCTTTGGCAGCTCGTGAAACTGGATAACTGGAAAGAAGATGGTGTCCAGAACAAAAAGGGCAGGTCCCATGACTTCTGAAGCCGTAGGAGGAAGGGGGATTGGTGGTGGAGGAAGAGAATGTGGAGTAAAGAAAAGAGCACCAAGGATGGAGCCAGAGGGAAAAGCCTTTAGAAGGGAAGCCTGTTTCCCATTGCCTGATTGTCCTGTTTTAGGAAAGCCTGCTATAAGGGAACCAACCATGCATTTGAAGCAGATTGATTTGAGGGTGACTTGAGGGGTAGCTAGGTGGTGCAGTGGATAGAGCACTGGGCCTGGAATCAAGAAGACCTGAGTTCAAATCCAGCTCAGACACGTACTAGCTGGGTGACCCTGGGCAAGTCACTTCACCCTGCTTGCATCAGTTTCTTCATCCATCAAATGAGCTGGAGAAGAAAATGGCAAACTATTCCAGTATCTTTGCCAAGAAAATCCCAAATCAGGTCACAAAGACTCAGACATGACTGAAGTAACTGAACTCTTGATTTATAATATAAAATAAAAGGATTCATTTCTTTGTAAGAGAATTCTCCCAAAGGTTTTTTGATAGAACCTCTGATTGTACAGTAGTATTTTATGGAACATAGGAAATAACTAAGGAGAGCTAAGCAAATCCAGCTTTAGATACTAGTTGTGTGACCCTGTCTCAATTTTCTTGTCTTTAAAATAGGTACAGTGATATCTATAGTGCCTACATCACAGGGTTATAGAAGCATAGCTATGATCACAGATTTCGAGTTACAAGGGATTTTAAAGATCATCTTAGTCCAAACCCCTCTTTTTATAGATGAGGAATATTTGGCCTAGAGAGCTTAAGTGAAGTTAGCACAATATCTCCATGACCACACAGGTAGTAAGGGAGAGTTGAACCCAAGTCCGATGATTACAAAGCCAGTATTGTGTTCACAGCACCACTCAGTCTGCCTTGTGAGGTCCAAATATATATACAAAGTACTTTGCAAGACTTAAAGAGCTTCCCAGCAGCATACAGAGAGAGAAATCTCATTTAAAATAACTGCAGACCATATAAAATATTTGGGAGTTTACCTGCCAAGACAGATCCAGGAACTATATGAACCCAATTATGAAACTCTTTTCACACAAATAAAGTCAAATCTAAATAGCTGGAAAAATATCAACTGCTCATGGATAGGCTGAGCCAATATAATAAAAATGACAATTCTACCTAAATTAATTTACTTATTCAGTGCCATACTAATCAAGCTATCAAAACATTATTTTATAAAGCTAGAAGACATAATAACGAAATTCGTCTGGAAGAACAAAAAGTCAAGAATATCAAGGAAATTAATGCAAAAAAAAATGCAAAGGAAGGTGACTTAGCCGTACTAAATCTAAAACTATATTATAAAACAACAGTCATCAAAACTATTTGGTGTACTGGCTAAGAAATAGAGTGGTGGATCAGTGGAATAGGTCAGGTACACAAGACATAGTAGTCAATGACTATAGTATTCTACTGTTTGATAAACTCAAAGACTTCAGCTTCTTGAATAAGAACTCACTATTTGACAAAAACTGCTGGGAAAACTGGAAAATAGTATTTCTGAAACTAGGTATAGACCAACATCTCACACCGTATAGCAAAATAAGGTAAAAATGAGTACATGATTTAGAAACAAAGGGTGATACCATAAGCAAATTAGGAGAGCAAGGAATAGTTTACCTGTCAGATCTATGGAGAAGGGAAGAATTTATGACCAAAAAGGAGATAGAGAATTTTATGAAATGCAAAATGGATAATTCTGATTACATTAAATTAAAAAGTTTTTACACAAACTGAGCCAATGCAACCAAAATTAGAAGGGAAGCCGAAAACTGGGAAACAATTTTTACAGTCAGTGTTTCTAATAAGAGCCTCATTTCTAAAATATATAGAGAACTGGGTCAAATGTATAAGAATGTAAGTCATCCCCCATTTGATAAATGGTCAAAGGATATGAACAGGCAGTTATCAGATGAAGAAATCAAAGGTATCTAGAGTCATATGAAAAAATGCTCTAAATCACTATTGATTAGAGAAATGCAAATCAAAACAACTCTGAGGTACCACATCACACCTATCAGATTGGCTAATATGACAGAAAAGAAAAATTATAAATGTTGGAGAAGGTATGGGAAAATTGGAACACTAACGCATTGTTGGTGGAGTTGTGAAATGATCCAACCATTTTGGAGAACAATTTGGAACTATGCCCGAAGGGCTATAAAAATGTGCATACCCTTTGACCCAGCAATAGCACTTCTAGGGCTGTATCCCAAAGAGATCATACAAATGGGAAAAGGACTCACATGTACCAAAATACTTATAGCAGCTCTTTTTATGGTGGCAAAGAATTGGAAATTGAAGGGATTCCCATCAATTGAGCAATGACTGAATAAGTTGTGGTATGTGAATGTAATGGAATACTATTGTGCTATAAGAAATAGTGAGCAGGCAGATTTCAGAAAAATTTGGAAAGACTTGTATGGTCTGATGTTGAGTGAAGTGAGCAGAACCAAGAGGACATTGTACACAGTAACAGCAACACTGTGATATGATCAACTTTGATAGACTTAGCCCTTCTCAGCAGTGCAAGGATCTAAGACATCTCGAAGACTCATGATGGAAAAAGCTGTCCACATCCAGAGAAAGAACTATGGAGTCTGAATGCAGATTGAAGTATACTTCGATCCCATCTCCTATTAACAACCAATATTACAAGATGATCTAATATTAATAATCTGAATAATGTCATTGATAATATATGATGATGATGATAGCAACGATAGTGAGAGACTAACCAGAGGGAATCCAAGGCCCAGGTGGGAGGTACCAGCTCTTTCTGCTGAAGATCCCTCAGAAATGAAGGAAAAGCAGTCTTCAATTACAATGTAAATCAACGAGAAAAGTAGGATTCATTTCCTTTCAAAATTGCCTTATGAGAAAAACAAACAAAATTGCCTTATGCACAACTTTTACCAGATAAAATGTCCCAGTGTAGGGGCAGCTAGGTGGTGTAGTGGATAGAGCACCAGCCCTGAAATCAAGAGGACCTGAGTTCAAATTCAGCCTCAGACCAAACACTTGATACTTACTAGCTGTGTGACCTTGGGCAAGTCACTTAACCCCAATTGCCTAAAAAAAAAAAAATCCCAGTGTAATTATTGTGGAAAAACAACCTTCTTGTGACCCAATCTCCTTTTCAATGATGTTTTTCCAGCCCAGCAGTCTATCCCTAGGAGTGAATTGACTCTTCAGACGACTTCAAATACAGAGCAAGAAGTAGCGGAGAAGCCCCCGGTCAAGGTGGGTGCCCCCTTCCCTCTTTTCCTGCCCCTGTGTGGGTGTATCAGCCGATGGGTGGGGACCCTCTGAGGCCCAACGTTGCTGCAGCCGTGTCTGGAGGAGGGAGGATTCCCTGGGGTGGGGACTCTCTTCCCTGGTCATAGTCTCTGATTCCTCTAGAACTTGGCCTTGGAGGATTGCCATGGAGGCGCCAGCGGTTGCCTTATAGACAGTTTAGTGATGCCTGAGTTGAGCTGCGCCCTGCCTCCTGTGACAGATGAACAGTTTATCTCTAGGTGTGTACTTGGTCCCCTGGTAGGGCCTGCTAGAACTTGCCTAGGCTGGAGTCTCTGAGAACCCTCCACAATGCTGGGTGGAAGGAGGACTTCAGTGGAGGGGGAGGGAGGGGACTAGAACAGAAATTCATGATAGTGTATATCCACTCTGTATGAAGTTTCATGAAAATGCAATAATTATACTAATAAAGATAAGAATAGTCAATAAATAGTCATTAAACATTTATTTAGCACCTACTATATGCCAAATGGCACAGAGGCGGCTGGATGGCTCAGTGGGTAGAGCATGGAGTCGGGAAGACCTGAGTTCAAATCCAACCTCAGATATTTACTAGCTGTGTGTCCTTGGGCAAGTCACTTAACCTCTGTTTGCCTTAATCCACTGGATAAGGAAATAGCAAACCACTCCAGGATCTTTGCCAAGAAAACCCCATGGACAGTATGGTCCATGGGATCACAAAGAGCTGGACACAACTGAACAAAAATAATATGACAAACCCTGGTCTAAGCACTGGGTATATGGTGAAAGGCAAAAAACAGTGCCTGCCCTTGAGGAGCTTATAGTCTAGTATGAGAACAAGATAATAATAATAATTTGCTTTTGTTTACTAGACCTGTGATTTCATTGGTATAGGGAACTCCTGAAGAAAAAAGATCCCACCACCATTTCAGCCTCTCTGCAACTTAGAGTCTTAGTTTATCTGTGGCACTGAGAGGTTATGTGAATTGCCCAAGGTCACACAGCAGGATGGGTCAGGTCAGGGGCCAGGGGTGGAACTTGAACCCAGGTCTCCCTCTCTCCAAGGATGAGCCTTTATCTTTTTTTTTTTTTGGTTAGGCAGTTGGGGTTAAGTGACTTGCCCAGGGTCACTCAGATAGTAAGTGTTATGTGTCTGAGGTCAGATTTGAATTCAGGTCCTCCTGACTCCAGGGCTAGTACTCTATCCACTGCAGCCACCTAGCTGCCCCAAGCCTTTATCTTGTATCCCATGCTGCCTCTCTAATAATAATAGGGGGATATTTAAACAGTACCTAAAGGTCTCTAGAGCATTTACATATGCTGGTTAGCTTTTTAGAGTAGCTCAGTTATCAATACATCCCCATAGCTAATAATAGCTTTGTATAGTATGTATATAGGGCTTTAAATTTGTAAACCAAACCAGAAATCCAAGCATGCAGTGCTTGCATAGGCCTCCTCTTGGCAGGAGAACTTGAGGAAGGCTCCCAGCATTTTTGGGAGACCCTCTGTGGTGAATGTGTAGGAGTCAGTGTGATGAGAATTGATTGAGGGCCGATCTTGGAGTCAGAAGACCTAGGTTCAAATCCTGCCTTTCGCCCTTGCATTCTGTGTGACTTTGGGTAAGGTTCTGGTATGTAAATCAATGGTGGGAAAAATAGTATTCATCCATTTAAAAAAAAATTATTTATGCCCAACTGAGCTTCAGTTCCCTCATCTTGTAAAAGGAGGGAGTTGGGCCAGATGGGCTCTGAGGGCCCTTGAAGATCTAGGAACGTGTGGTCCCATGACACAGGCAAGATTGGCCCAGGATGGGTGGACACCTGCCCCATCCCAGAGGGCAGAGTTGGCCTATTGGTATCCCATCCCAAAGGCCAGGAAAGTTTTCCCTCTCAGAAGGCAACCAGGACATGTTTATGCCAATCAGCTGAAATGTGGATGGCTCTCAGCAAATTAACAGGGAGATAAAGGTTAGAATTCACAGCCAAATTTATAGCTTTCTCCTCTAAGGAATCTTGTTACAGCACTACTCTGGTCGCTGGGCTTTGGGGACCAGAAAATAACTCTAGTGTCTTCGAAGTTGCCTGACTTTTTTTTTTCCTTTGGAGGAAGGAAACAAGAAATATACATATTTCTGTGTGAAAGCCATTTGTTTCCTGTGTTTCAGAAAATCACCAAGCAGATAGTTGAAAGACTGTACCTTCAGGTGTGTTATGATTCTATTCCCGAAGAATTTCTGAATCAAAATATCGTTTTCTTTCTCAGAAATACAAAAGGTATGCATATTTCAGTTCATTTCCTACATTGCTACAACGTGGAACATGCTTGCAAAATTGAAAGCAAGTTCTATTCATTAGGAGCATTCTTGGGTGTAATTTTACCTCTCTGCATTCCTGCAAACTTCCCCATGTTGGTGGAGATCCTGCACTGATCCTTTTATTAATTTTATTCTCTCTCCTTAGTCTCCCAGTTCCTTGTCCCTTCTTGACCCATTGTGATCTGGTTTCCATTCCCACCACTTCCCTGAAGCTGTTGTTTCATAGGTTTCTGTCCCCGTCCAAATTCAACAATATTTTGTCATCTTTATCCTCCTTAACCCGTCTGCAGCCTTTGACAACCCGTCTGTCCCTTGAAACTCACCTCCTTTGCCCTCTGGGAGAATGTAGTTTCTTAGTTCTTTTACAGTGATGTGCTGGGAAATCTGTAACAAAAAATTCTCAGAAAAAAATTTTAAATTATAATTATACACACACACACATACGTAACTTTGTTATGCATTTTACTGACATAAAGGATCTGCAGCACCCAATTTACAAATAGCAATGAATTATTCAATACTCTTTGTTGTAAATTCTATCTAACCAATTGATTCCTGAAGAATGCTTTTGTTGGTTTTTGCCAAACCCTTCTATCCATAGCCAACCTACGATTGTGATTCAGTCATGATTTGACAAATGGAGTTGCCTCCCAATCCCCTAATTCTTTTCCCAATAAATGTATTGTCATTACGTTTTATGTGTGATCTACTGTTAAAGTATTTCTCACTCTTATGCAAATTATGTTAATTAAACTGAAAACTCGTTCAGCCTTCAGCTGATTGTGATGGCGTTAACCATCTTTTAGGTTTTTGTATAGTTGGAGAGATTAGAGCATGCTCTGATTCTACATATTATATCAAATCCCCAAAAACACTCAAATCAATTTCACATTTAAAATTTTCACTTGTATGATATGCTTCCCTCCCCCCACCCCAAGAGCTATCTATGGTGGGTAGTTCTTAATAAGGTCAAGTAAATTGTTCTAATAAATCAAAATAATTAAAAATGCTTTCATTGTTGTTTCTGCCCAAGAAAAGATATACATTTGTGGGCCAAATTATATTTTCTAGTAACATTACTAGGTGTAAGGTCCAGAATTCCCCTACCTAGGGAACCCTGTTATCTCCCTCATAACCGTGGGATGTTCATTTTATAGCAAAGGAAGAGTCCAAAGAGCTCCAGATTGATTATAGGTAGTAGTTTAATCAATTTGGGTTACTTAAATGTGGGGCAATATGATGGATCTCTGCCAAGGTATCATCCTTTGTCTGGGGCAGCAACCAGACCAGTCGGTGAAGCCCCGCCGAAGGACCCCCAAAATCCCTGTGGTAATTATAAAAAACAGAAAAAGGCAGGAGGAACTAGAGAGAGTGCCTCACTACTGATTGGTGGATATTTTTCATTTTCTGCTTAGTAATGAGCTTGGGAATTAAGCCAATGTTATGCCCAAACATAAGTTTGCATATCGATTATGTCCCAATCACATATATATCATGATATCCTTGTTTGGGCTTTCATAGGTGATAGTATCTTAAGTTTTGACTCAATATCTAAAATATAATTCAGTATCTAAATGGACTTCCACTTTTCACAGAGTTTACGTTTTTATGCCTTTTCACTTATTACTGCCTTTTATGGCTTTTTCCCAACTGGGACTCCACTCTAGGAAGAGCATTAAATTCATCATTTTTTATAAAATGGAATGTCTTTAAACTTAGCTGACTTAATCGAGTCATCAGCTTGAGATTCATGTTTTCTAATACCAGTCTTTAAATTTTCCGAAGCTCATTTGGTGTGTTTGATTAAGTTTTGCAATCTTGTCTCAAGGAGCTCACAGCCTAATGGAAGAGACAACACGTAAACAACTATGTACACACAAGCTACATACAGGATAAATTGGAGATAATCAACAGAGGGAAAACACTAGTGTTGAGGGGAATTGGGAAAGGCTTCCTGTAGAAGGTGGGGTTTTAGCTGTGTCTGTTTCTATATCTTTTACAATATGTAGGATGGTACCAGGCTCATAGTAGTTGCTGAGTTAACACTCTCTGATAAAATGAAGTTCAATAAACGCGGGAGTTCACAGAACTCGTTCACAGATCTCCAGGGTCTCAGAAGGTTCCAACCCGAGCCTAAAAAAGATGCTACCCCTTTTATCCAGCCCTGATGGGGTGGTCCAGCTTTGGCATGAAGCCCTCTGGAGAAGTGCCCACCGCCTCCCAAGGCTGCCCATGCCACTTTGGGGGAGCTCTCATTGTTGGAATTTTTTCCCTATGGGAAAGTCAAATTTCACCCTTTGCATATCTACCCACTGCTCCTCTCTCTGCCTTTGGAAGACAGTAAGCAACATAAGTGCTTTCTCTCCTTTGGATGAAGGCCCCACTTGGAGACATCTCTATCGTAGTCCCCAGATGTTCCATTCTCCAGGATAGACATCCTCAAATGCTTTCTCTGTGCTCTTCATAGGACATGAATTTGAGGCAGCTAGGTGGGGAGGGCCCTGGACCTAGAGTCAGGAGGAGCTGAGTTCAGATCCTTCCCTAGACTCGAGCTTTGTCCCTGGGCAAGTCACTTAACCTTTGTCTGCCTCAGTTTTCTTATCTGCAAAATGGGAACACTAGTAGCACTTAACTCCCAGGGTACTTGTGAGGACCAAATGAGATAATATTTGAAAACAGTGCCTGGCACATAGTAGGTGTTTGATAAATGCTTGTTCCCTTCCCCTTCCCTGTAGCATCCTGGTTATCCTTTTGTGGGCTCTTTCTTTCCATCCTTCCTGAAGTCTGGCTCCCAGAAATACACGCAGTCCTCCAGATGCGGTTTGACCAAGGGGTGTCTTGTGGGACCATCACCTCCCTGGTCCTGGACCTCTCTTACTGTTGGCAGATTTTTTTTACTAGTTCTGAGATTTAATTGATTTAGGGACCCCCCCCCTGCCATGCTCCTGCCTAAGGTCACATGACCATTAAGTACCTACTAATGTGTGGGGCATGGAGCTAGGGGCTGAGAATACAAAACCAAAAGTGAAATAGCTCCTGCCCTCAAGCAGCTTATGTTTTGTTGGTGGGAAACAATATATGTCCATATATATAAGTAGATTGAAATACATACAAAGGAAATATAAAGCAAATTTCGGGGTGAGACCACTGGCAAGTGGGAGGACCAGAGTAAACCTCATGTAGGAGCTGCCTGCCACTTGAAGTGGGCCTCAGAGAAAGCTTTGGGCATCTACCGGGCAGCAGGGAGGAGGGAGTTCATGCCAAATGTGGCCTAAGAGTGGGCCCTCCATTCCTTGAAAGGGCAAAGGCCTCGATTTGAGATGACAGTTCACTGGTGAATCATGACGAGGAGGCCGTTTTGGCTTCAGCATAGACTACATGAATCTGTTTATCAAAGAGTGGCCTGGGAGGTTCAGTGGTAAGAGAAGAGGCTTTGGAAGCAAAGGATCTGGCTTCAGATCCTGGTCCTGTGACCTTTGTGACCTCCTGGGCCACAGTTCTTCACTGGTAAAATGAGCGTGTTGAACTAGATGACCTAAGGTTTCTTCAGGCTTTAATATTTTATGAACCAAATGAACAAACATTTATTGAATACCTACTATGTGCCATGAGTTCTCCCTGGCACTGGGGATACAAATACGAAAGCAGATAGTTTTTGCCCTCTAGGAGCTTACACATACATTCAACTGGAGATAAACAGAAAAAAAGTCTTCACTTTTTATTTGTTTATTTTTTTGGTCGAGGAAATTGGGGTTAAGTGACTTGCCCAGGGTCACACAGCTAGTGTCAAGTGTCTGGTCTGAGACTGAATTCGAACTCAGGTCCTTCTGACTCCAGGGCCAGTGCTCTATCCACTGCAAGTCTTTACTTTTCAAAAATCAATTTTACTGGCCTCAGGCACCTGATACTTAGTAGTTAGTTATATGACCCTGGGCAAGTCACTTAACCACAATTGCCTCACCAAGAAGCAGTAAAAAAAATCAAATTTAATTTAATTAAAAATTTATTTTCAGTTCTGAATTCTCTCCTTCCTCCATCTATTGAGAAGGCAAGGAATATGATACGCACCATACAGGTGAAGTCATTCAGAACGTAAAGTTGTAAGAGATTAGGGGAACATTTAGAAAAGTGGCAGATGAGTTTCTTTGTGGGCAGGTGTGAGGGAGTGTATTTCCAGAAAAGGAGAGTAATATTTAATAAGCCTGGAGAAGTAGGCTAGAACCAGATGGTGAAAGACTTTAAATGCCAAACAGGAGTTTGCATTTTAACCTGGAGTTAATAGTTTCTTGAAGGGGGCCCGACATGGCCAGATCTGCACTTTTGGAGTATCATTTTGACTCTGTGGAGGAGCTAGGCTGTTACAGTAGTCCAAGGGAGAGATGCTGAAGGTCTGAGTTAGGGCAGTGGTCTTGTGAGTGGAGAGGAGGGTATGGATGAGAGAGATGGGATGGAGGTGCAGTCAACAAGACAGTGCTAATTAGATTAGAGGGTGAGAGAAAGAGAGTAGCTGAGGATGACTCTGAAGGGGTGAACGTTGGAGGTGGGGAAGTGCCCTCAGCACAAATAGGGGAGCTAGCAAAAAGGGAATGCTTCGGGAGAAAGACAATTGGTTCTGTTTTGGCTGTGGTGAGTTACAGGTGCCAATGGAACGTCTGATTGAAAATGTCTGATAGACATTTGGTGATAGGGGCCTGGAGCTTAAGAGGAGAGGCTAAGGGGATATATGTGTGTGTGTATGTATGTGTGTGCATATATACACACATGTATGTATTTGTGTATGTATATATGTACATATGTATATGTATATATATGAGTCATCTGTTTGGAAATCATTATTGGACCCTTGAAACTTATGAGATCACCATGAAAGTGAGTGCAGAGAGAAGAAAAGAGGGCCCAGGACAGAGCCTTGACTCCCTGACCCACGGTCAGGGAGTAAGAGGAAAGCAGATCTACTGACGAGACTGAGAAGGAAGGGTCAGATAGGAGGAGGACCGGGGAACACGGGGGCTTAGAGAACCCAGAATGGAGACAGGTTCCAGGAGGAGAGGGGAGTTAATGGTGTCTGATGCTCTGCAGTGGTCAAGAAGGATGAGGTCTTCAATTTGACAGTTCAGAGAAGCTTGAGAGCAGCCAGATTTTGAGGGGTTGAGTATCAGGATGAGAGTTGTCTAAGTGGAGAGGCAATGAAGGTAGGACTTCAGCTGTAAAGGGAAGAAAGATGAAGGACCTGAATCCCAGAATTTTGTGTTCACAGACTTCAAAGTTCAAAGAGACCTCAGTAACCATCTAGTCTAATCCTTAACCCTTCCCCAGCACACCTGATGATTATCCAGCCTTTGCTTGAACACTTCTAACGAGGGGGAGCTCACTATGTCCTGAGAAAGCCCATGTAGGTCAACTTTTAGATATACCTCTGTTAACTTGCCTCCATCGTTCCTGGTTCTGCCTTTTGAAGCTGAACAGAACAAGCCCAACCCATTTTCCGTAAAACAGCCTTGAAGTCAAAGTTCATATCCCCTCACCCAACTTACCCTCAGTCCCCTGAGAGGGTCTCTTCCTTTGGGTACACAACCTCCGCTGATTCTCATCCCAGTTATCTTTCTCCTGTCCTGCTCCAGCTTATCAGCAACCTTAAACCACGGTGCCCAGAGCTCAGCCCGTCAGCTGTGGCCTGATCCCAGTAGGGTCCAGAGGAAATATCACCTTCTTCATTCCCAGAAGTGGCCCTCCCAAGATCCCATTACCGTTTCTGGCTGCCCTGTCCACAGTGCGGACTCACATCGGGCTTTCAGGCACGTTACAACCATCAGATCTATTTCAGGAAAACTGCTACCTAGCCCTCATCTTTTACTTGTAAAGTCAATTTTTGGAACCAAGTTAAAAAAAATCTCTATTAAATTTCACCTTATTTAATTCAACCCAGTATTCTGACCTATTAAAACTTTTTTTCAGATCTTGATGCCCATTCATTGTAAGCTGTCCAGGCCAGCTTTGTGTCATATACAAATTTGATAAGGATACCTTTATGCCTTTATTCAAGTCTTTGATAAAAGTGTTAAACAGTGTAGAGTCAGTCACCGATTCTTGGAGCACTCTCCTGGAGGCCTTTAAATTGGCTTTCGGCCATCAGTGACTTCTCTTTGGGTCTGGCCATTCAACCTTGTTTGAATCCACCTGTAATCTAGCCTACATCTCTCCACCTTTTCCACAAGAATAGCCTGAGACTTTACATTAAGCACTTTGCTGAAATCTAAGTATATTGTATCTACTGCATTCCCCAGTCTGACCCTTTAATTATCCTGTCAAAAAAAAGAAGAAAGAAAGAAAAAAAGGAAACACCGTTAGTCTGACTAGGTCTGCTGATGATTGAGCTTTGCTGGGGTTTTGGGGACAACCGCTTCCTTTTTCTTCATCAAATGGCGTAACGTGGATATAATACTTTGTAATCCTTAAGTGTCATCTTAATGTGAATTGTTGGCATTTTTTTAGCAGACTTTGGAGCTCCCAGTAGGAAATGTCCTCTCTCAATGACTATTGGCTCCTGTTCTGCAACCTAAAATATTCGAGATGCCTAGGGACACTCCAAGTGACCTGCCCAGGGTCATATAGCAATGGATTTGGAGGCAAGATTTGAACTCAGGATTTTTCTAATGACAAGACCGGCCCTCTATCTATTACACCATGGTGCCTCTCTACATAATTGTTGTTGTCGTCGTTAAAAGTTCATCAGTCATCCCTTTAATAACCTGCTCTAGAATTTCTCCAGGAATCAAACAGACACAAATTACTTAATATACTTGCCGAGAAAAAAAAATGGAACCACAGATGTTATTTCAATGATGAATTTGGCCCCAAAGCTAGGCATTCATCAAACTGTTCTTGACGCTCCTGGAGGATTCCTGCCCCTGTTTTTTCAGTTCATTTGCATTCACCCCAAGCCCTTATGGTGGATAATTATGTATCACTCTGCCTCTTTTGCTTGTGTGTGAACTCGCTAACTAGTAGCAGAACCAGGGTTTCCTTGTCCAAGCCTGAGTTGTTAGTGTATTCAGAAAATACTGACCCCATGATTTTATTTGTTAATTTTACTTTTTAAGGTTATTATGAAGCTGTTTGGGAAGGAGAAAAAGAAAACCACGATTGTGGAAATGTTAGTTATTAGTCATTCTTTTCAACTATCTCTTATTTTTTTTATCTGTCCCATTTAGAGACCATTAATGAAGCTAATGATATGAAAGAAGCTGTGGAGTTGATGCCAGAAAGATTGGAGTATGGCGTCCTTAATGGGCACATTCTACATATGCTTAAGGATCTTTTGCTTCATGTAAGTGTGGATGAAGATTCTCTCATTGCCGCTTTCCAAGTTTTTTTTTTTTAATGGTGTGATATTGTAATGGTATAAATTTTTTTTAGACAATCAGGGTTAAGTGACTAGCCCAGGATCACACAGTTAATAAGTGACTGAGGTCACATTTCAGCTCAGATCCTTCTGACTCCAAGGCCACCTGTGTGTCACCTGGTTGGCCCCTCTATATAATTTTTTTTTTTTACAAATTTTTTTAGAAGGACCCATCACTATTGAATCTTCTACCATACCCCAGGCATTGCTGCTATCTGGGACCTTAGCTGAGGTTAGTCATTTCCTTTCCCACTCATCCTTATGGAAATGCCTTCACTGATGGGTGTCTCAAGATCATGCACCTGGAAGAAAGACTGTCCGGGATCTCTCTCTCTCTCTTTTTTTTTCCCTTTCTAGGCAATTGGGGTTAAGTGACTTGCCCAGGGTCACACAGCTAATAAGTGTTAAGTGTTTGGTCTGAGGCCAGATTCGAACTCAGGTCCTCCTGACTTCAGGGCCTGTGCTCTATCCACTGTGCTACCTAGCTACCCCTGAAAGACTGTCTGCAAGGTCCTTTTGGGATCATTGACTTGCAACTCATAGGCTGACATCCCATCCTTAGCCAGTTCCAGCCTTTTAAAACCTCTTAGAACAGATTCCCAGCACTTAGCACAGTGCCTGGCATGTCCAGGACTCACCAGGAGCTCCCATGCTAATGGAGAGATAATGTACCTTTTAGAGTCTATGTATCTAGTCTAAATGGAAGCAACCACAGAGGGGGAGGTGCTAGCAGCTTAGGAAACTGGGCAAAGTCTGCTGCAGAAGGTGGGAGGTGAGCTGAGGTTTGAAGGAAGCCTGGAGATAGAACACCTGGCATGGGAGAAAGGCTGTACAAAGGCTGAGAGGTGGGAGATGGAGGGTCCTTTGAGAGGACCAGCAAGTAGATCGTAAAGTGCCTGGAGATGGGGAATTACGTATAGGAAGGGTGAGAAGTTAGGAAGAGCCCAGGTTACGAAGAGCTTTAAATACCCCCAGAGAGGTTATACTTGATCTGAAAGGTAATAGGGAGCCATTGAGGTTTGTTGAGTAGCAGAGGGTGACATTTTGGCAGCTATATGGAGGATGAATTAAAATGGAGGGAAACTTGAGGCAGAAAGATGAGCTAGAAGACTACAGCGCTGTGTATAGAGTTTTGCACACTCAGGAGGTGTGCACTCCATGCCTAAAGAGTGTTGGAGTCACAGGAACTCAGTTCAAATCTCATTACCTACATGAGTCACTTTACTGCTCTATGCCTCATTTTCTTCATCTGTAAAATGAAGAGGTTGGATTCAATGATCGGTAGCCTGTGGGAGAACTGTACTTCTGAGGGTGGTGTGATCCATTTTTGTTAAAATTCTTAATCACAGCCTAATTTCTTTCCACTCTGGTCGATATTCTTTCATTCCTGCCTGGTGCTAATTTGAGGTAATTAATTTGTAGTTGTGTTTTCACTTAATATTCATAAGATCATAGATTTAGACTTGGAAAGGATTGTAGAGAAATCCTAGCGCTCTCCCTTTACAGGTGAGGAAACTGAGGCTGATAGGTGAAGTGACCTTCCCAAGCCCCAAGCGTTCAGCAGGACTTGAACTCGGGTCCTTCTGACTTGAAACTTGCTCTGTCTTCCCTGTGCCACAAAAGCTTCCTACTTAATGGAAGAATTTAAAACAGGATCTTAAAATTTCAGATCTGAAATAGCTGAGAACGATACCGTGAAATATGCTTCATCCACTGACATTTCAGGTGTTTACACCAGCGCTCTCCTTCAATCAACACAAGGCAGAACCTCCAGTACCACTTGTCCCTCCAGGAGATCTGACACCTCCTGAAAGCTCCACCGTTGAGAAACTCTCAGGGGAGGCCATCGAATACCACAGTGTCCAACTAATACGGGATGAGTTCCTCATGAACATGCAGAAATTCACCAACAATATTCAGAGAACTATACAGCAACTAGAAGGTGAAGGGTGTGTGTGTCTGTGTGTCTGTGTGTCTCTGTGTGTGTGTGTGTGTGTGCATGTGTGTGTTTGTGTGTCTGTGTGTCTGTGTGTGTATGTGTGTGTGTGTGTGCGCGCGCGTGCGCATTTCCTCACTGGTTACAAAGGAACGAATGGTCTGTGACAAATTAGTTCGGGAGTGCTCACAGTTAGGTCTTTGGGAATCATTCCTCTTCCTTTAAAACGTTTTTTGGTCGCATTTTTCTAGATCTCTTTGTTTTTACATTACATTCATTTCAGAATATATTCTTCCCCACTTCCTTGACCAGCCACTCTTTCCTTGTAACAAAGATTAAAAAAGAAAAGAACAAAACAGTTGAGCCAAACTAAAAAAACATATTGATCGTCTCTGGAAGGGTATGCAACCTTCCCAAAAGTCTTCCGTTTCAGCTGTGAAGGGAAGGAGGCACTTTTTCTTGGTTCTTCTCCAGGACCAGGTTAGGTCATTATAATTACACATTGTAGAGTTTTTTTTTCTTTTTCTTTTTTTTCCCTTTCCAATTATATTACTCTAGTCATAGTGTCTATTTTGTTTTGTTTTTCCCCCCTTGGTCTGCCTTCTTTGCTTTTGCACCAGCTCATATAGATCTTCCCCTATTGGGATGAATTCCTCATATTCATCCTTTTTTTTTCTTTTTTTGGCAAGGCAACCAGGGTTAAGTGACTTGCCCAGGGTCACACAGCTAGTGAGTGTTATGTGTCTGAGGCCAGATTTGAACTCAGGTCCTCCTGACTCCAAGGCGGGCACTCTATCCACTGCCCCCACCTAGCTGCCCCCCATATTCATCCTTTGTTTTGGCATGGTAATATTCCATTGAATTCCATTCACGTACCATATTTTGCTTAGGCTCACTTTCCAATTGACAGACATCTATTTTGTTTGAAGATCTTTGCTACCACAAAAAAAGTACTGCTAGGAATATTTTGGAACGTTTGGGACCTTTTCTTTCTATCTTTGTTCTCCTTGATGTATATACCTAGTAAGGAGATCTCTGGATCAAAAGGTAGGGACATTTAAGTCACTTTTTTGGAGGGCACAATTTTAAATTGCTTTCCAGAATGGCTGGACCAATTCGTAGCCCTATCCACAGTGTACTAATGTGTCTGTGTTTGGTTAGGAATTCTCCCTTACCCCTATATGTGAACAAGACCTCATCTCATTCTCTTCTGATTTTTATGGTGGGACCTTTTATGTTCAGGTTGCTCATTCCTTTTGGCCTTTCTGTAGTAAATGGTGTTTGTATAACCTAATTTCTGCCAAACTGCTCTCCAGTTTTCCTGTTAATTCTCATCAGATTGGGAGTCCTTGCCCAAGTGGCTTACCTCTTCTGAACACAATATTCATTCATTCATTCAGTCAAACATTTATTAAATGCCTCCCATTACAAGGCACCGCTGGGCTCTGGGGACACTCCTGCCCTCAGGGAGGTTATGTTCTACCAAGAGGAAACAACACGTGTACAGAGGAGTCCATACAAACGTACACATGGTAATTTTGATTGGGGTTAAGGCAAAGCACTCACTAACAACTGATGGGATCAGGAAAGGCCTTATGGCGGTAAACTTAAAATTTAAAAATAAAAAATATTAATTAATTAAAATTAATTAATTTAATTTAAAAGTAAAAGTCAAGTGCCTCCTATGAGCCAGGCATTGTGCTAAACCCCAAGAATATAAGTAAGAAAAAGAGAGTCTCTGCCCTTAAGGAGCTTACAGTCTGAGAGGGAAAGACAGCACCCAAAAGGAAGCTGAAAAGGGGTAGGGGCAGTGGGGAAGGCGCCTCTGTAGGATGGCAGGTTACTGAGGATTTGCAAGTCTGCATCAGTGGAGAGAGTGTCCATGCCAGGAGTTCCTTACACTGATGAAATCGTAGATCCGGACCAAATGAAAAATATAAGATGTATTATAGTGTGTACTATAAAAAAAAAGGGGGGGACCCAATGTTACTAAGGTTCAGAGGAAGGAGACATGTCGTCTGGTTGGGGTGGGATTAGGAATGCTTCCTGGAGGGGTTGGCATTTGAATTGGGCCCCCCAGGAAAGATTTCTATAGGCAGAGTTGGAGGAAAGGGCATGCTGAGTGGAGCCAAGAGCACAGGCTGCATGGAGGTCAGAAAGTGCTCAGGGAAAAGGGAGTAATCCAAATTGATCAGATTATAGGATATACAGAGTTGTAGTTCAGTCTTTTCAGTTGGGTCCAACTCCTTCTGACCCCATTTGGGGTTTTCTTGGCAGAGATACTGGAGCGGGTTGTCCTTTCCTTCCCAGCTCTTTTTACAGATGAGAAAATTGAGGCAAGCAGGGTTAAATGACTTGCCCCGGGTGACACAGTTAGTGTCTGAGGCTGGATTTGAACTCAGAAAGATGGGTCTTTCTGACTCCAGGCCTGGCACTCTATCCACCGTAGCGCCACCTGGCTGACCACGTGTGTAGAGTAGTAAGAGATAAGGCTGAAGAGATCGTGGGAGAGCAGATCATGGGAGGCCTTGACTTCCAGCCTGAATTTTCCCTGGACTAGGGAAGAAACGGCACTGTTAGTAGTTTTGAATTGAGGAGTGAATGGTGTCCAAGTTGTCCCTTTGAAAGATCAATCTGCCCTCATTTGTAGGGAAGGTGGGGTGGAGGAAGAGATAAATAGTCTGCCTGGAGGCTTTGGTAATGTTGGGGGGCTGAATGGGGAGGAGGGCAAGAAGTCATGGCGGAAGAATTGTTACAGCACACTTTGACTACATTTGTTTCTACTTCAGAAGATTATGGTTTTTTCCTCCTGAAAGAACGGTGACGCTCATTGTTTGCGTCTCTGTATCTTTTCCCTGAGTTATCTCTGTCACTCCTGAAGTGTTTTTTTTTGGTTTGTCTTTTTTTTTAAGCATTTAAATGTCAAGTGTTTGGGGACACATTTGAACTCAGATGCTCCTGACTCCAAGGCCGGAGATCTATCCACTGCGCCACCTAGCCACCCCCTTAAGCATTTATTAAGCACCTACCATGCGCCAGGCACCGTGCTAAGTAAGCACTTTACAAATATTGTCTCATTTGATCCTCATAACAGTCTTGAGAGGTAGATGGTATTATTATTATTCCCACTTTGCAGATGGGGAAACGGAGGCATTTAGAGGTTAAAGTGATTTGCCCAGAGTCACACAGCTAGTAAGGGTCTGAGGCTGGATTTGAACTCAGATCTCCCTTACTCCCAGCCAAAAGTGTGACCTAGCTGCCTCTGTAAACCAATGCCTAGTCTTGTTTGACCTCACACTTGGCCCGGGCTCTCTGCCTCCCTTTGAAAACAGGCTTGAGCGCTCTTAAAGGAAAGAAAAGAGGCAAGGAGCAAGCAGTCATCACGATATGCCATGTACTGTGCTAACTGCTTTACAAAAGTCTCATTTAATACAGTAACCCTGTGAGGTAGGTGCTATTGTTATCCTCATTTTGTGGTTGAGGAAACTGAGGCAGACGATGAAAAAATCAAAACAGAACTCTTGTTACAAATATTCATAGTCAAATAAAATTAATTCTTGGGGGGTCTTTATGATGCTGTTGGTTCAAGCCCCATTTTATCAATCACCAGTTCCAGTTAATTTCTCTCTGATAACATGATACCACTGATTAGTGCCTTGGCATTATTTAACATCAGTGAGCTTTTACAAGAGGATGTTTACTGAGAAGATATGGCAGGAATAGAAGTATAAGCACATATCCACCAGGGCACATTTCCCCTTATTCCACCCTCAGTCCCGGGGGACAGTAGGCCACTGGCACTTTTCTCACCTGAATACTCACAGCAGTTATATGACCTCCAGATATCTGCAGGTGACCTTCCTGTAAGCCACTGCAATGTAAGACTTTATATCCTTGGACCCGAGCTGATCTTTGCTTAGGCCTGCCTGGCTCACCAATTCAGTCCCTTGACTGCCGTGACAGATTTTATCTCCCCAGCTCTTGCATCCTTCACTTTCCATCCATACAACCAACACCCCTAGCTCAGGCCACATTACCAGTGTCCTAAATGAACTCTTGGCCAGTAGTGCCTTTCTTATCTGATCCACCCCTTATATAGACCCGCCATGCTGCCCTCTGGCCAACTTCCTACCGCACCACCACACCTATTCCCCTGCCTCCTAATCTTTACTCTAAGACTGACAGTCAAGCCAACACTATTACTCCTGGAAAGGCCGAATGTTGATCAATTACCCCATACCACTATCTCTTTGACTTCACAGACCAAAACACCCCTCCCTTACCATCTATGCGTGTAGTTTTCCTTTATTAGAATGTGAACACCTTGAGGGCAGGGATTAGCTTTTCTTGCCTTTTGTATCAATATCCCCACCACTTAGGAGAGTGCTTGGCACATAGTAAGTCGTTAATGATTTTCCCTCCCTTCCTTCCTTCTTTCCCTCCCTCCCTCTCTCCTCTCCCTTCTTCCTCCCTCCCTCCCTCCCTTCCTTCCTTCTTCCTTTCCTTCTTCCCTTCCTTCTTCCCTTTCCTTTCCTTTCCTTTCTTCCTTCCCACTATAATCTTCCCGTTGTTCAGAAAACTTCAGTGGTTTCCCCTTGCCTTTAAGATAAAATACAAATTCCTTAACTTGACATTTCAAGCCCTCCAACATCTGGTTTCGACCTATTTGTCTAGCCTTATCTCATAGTATTCCCTTTCATGTATTCTGTGTTCCAGTCTAACAGGACTACTAGCTCTTATTGGGCCCCTGTGCCATCTTCTCTCTCCTGTGTATTTGCAAAAGCTGTCCCATACACTTGGAACATACACCCTCTTTATCTCTACCTCTCTGAGACTTCTTGTTTTTCTGTAAGGCTCACACGTCATCTTTGTTCATCCTGACCACCTCCACCTCCCCAATTATTTAATATACACATACATATACATATGTACATGTATACATATATATGTTTATGTATATATGTATACACAATACATATATGTATATATTTGTATTTTTTTTTATCTCAGATCTATTTCCCCACCTGTCCTTTCACCTTCTCTTTCCAGAGAGCCATCCATTAGGCAGCACTAAGATCCTGGGCTTCTAGCCCCGGTGGGGCTGGATGAAGGAATCATGCAGATCCCATCCCAGAGTTCACCACTTGGTGACATTTTTTGAGCTTGGCTTTCTGGGATTGTATGTGTCAGAGAATTCTGGGAGGGAGAAGAAGGAAAAGGAGAGTTCCTTTTCCACCACGATTGTGCCATGTGGGCGGGCAGGGTTGAGGAACACATCTTGTGTGCATAGCTGTTCCTCTGCTCCCTCCTGCTGACCCTTGGGTAGCTGCTGGATGGAGCAATCAGAGCCATGGAGACTGTTGTCAAGACCTGAGCAGGACCCTGGGGAAGACTGCAAACACTAAACTGGAACATCTCTCCTTCCCCCCGTCCCTGTTCCATTTGGAGTAACAGCTCCCCATTAACTGCCAAACTCATTTGACTTCTGTCTCTCCTCCCTTCCCATGGAGGGTAGGTGCTAGAGCGAGCAGAAGCTCATTCTGCCTCGGAGGCTAGCTATGGGAACACCAGCCTCTCCCCTGGCATTGCCATCATCTTATTCCCCTTTATATAAAAGAACATCTGGGGCTGTTAGATCTTTGTCTGGGGTGATTCGTGCTGCACAGGCGGAGACTGGGGGAGAGGTTCGGATCTCCCCAGACGCATCCGTGCTTCAGCGCAGATGAGGCTTACGGGGACAATAAATCAACACTTCATTGGGAAGTTGCCAACTCTACCAAGGCAGGTTGAAATCATGCCCCTACACAGTCACACACTTCTATACACGGACCCCACAAACAGAGAGAGAGAGAGAGAATACGACATAATACAAGATGATCTGATACCATACCGTAATATGTAACGTAATGTAATGTGACATCACATCATAAACATAAACACTACAGAGGGATCCATGACAGTTTTTTGAAGTTAAGAATCGCTGGTCTAGGGGTAAGCATGAATTTATATATAATTTAATTTATATACATTACATGTTACAGATATAAATCTTATATATATGTATATAATGTTACATCATAAAATTCCATGTACACATGCCCCTAGAGCAGAGATTCTTAATCTTTTTTGTGTCATGATACCCTCTGGCAATCTGGTAGACTCCTTTTCAGAATAAAATTTTTTTTTTTTGGTCTAAGCAATGGGGTTAAGTGACTTGCCCAGGGTCACACAGCTAGTAAGTGTTATGTGTCTGAGACTGGATTTGAACTCAGGTCCTCCTGAATCCAGGGCCAGTACTCTATCCACCAGAATAAAAATTTTAAATGCATAAAGTAAAATATGTTAGTATTACAAAAGGAACCAATTGTCACTGAAATACAATTATCAAAATATCTTTAAAAAAATTATCAAAATATCTTTAAAAAAAAATAAAAGGACCCCAGGTTAAGAACCTCGGAGAAACTTGGCCAAGGTCAGGAAGCAGCTGATCATGTTCCCTGTGGGGAAGGAAGCTGTCACTGGGCAGAGGTAGGACCTGGGGTCCTTGGGTGGGAGGGAGCTTACATTGGGCTGCAGCAGTTTTCTGTTTTGGGACACTGGGATCACTCCTGTATCCTTTACCAAGAGCATTCATTCAGGGCAGCTAGGTGGCCCAGTGGATAGAGCACTGGCTCTGAAGTTAGGAGGACCTGAGTTCAAATCCGGCCTCAGACCAAACACTTGATGCTTACTAGCTGTGGGACCCTGGGTAAGTCACTTAACCCCAATTGCCTATAAAAAAAAGAGAGAGAGAGAGAGAGAGAGAGAAAGAGCATTCATTCCCTGTGAAATGGCTCATTTGTAAGGAAAAAATAAAAAAGAGAAAACCCCTTGACATTTCTGAGAAATTAACCAACACATTTACCGAGTTTGATAGCATATGCAACCCTCCATACAAACCTATAACCCCTCACCTCTGCAAAGATGGGAGGGAGATGCATTTTCATACTTCTTCTTTAGGGCCAAGCTGGAGTATTGTAATTTTAACAATACTCGCTTTTTTTTTCTTTTGAGGCAATTGGGATTAAGTGACTTGCCCAGAGTCACACAGCTAGTAAGTGTTATGTGTGTGAGGTCACATTTGAACTCAGGTCCTCCTGACTCCTCTATCCACTCTATCCACTGCACCATCTAGCTGCCCTTACAGTATTCAGTTTTTAAAAATTGTTTTTTTTCCATTTACATTGCTATGATAGGTAAGCGCAGTACAGAGCGTTGCACCTGAAGTCAGGAAGACTCATCTCTCTGAGTTCAAATCTGGCCTCAGACACTTACTAGCTCTGACCTGGCGCAAGTCACCTAGTGCTGTTTGCCTCAGTTTCCTCATCTGTCAAATGAGCCAGAGAAGGAAATGGCAAACCACCCCAGGGTCCTTGCCAAGAAAACCCCAAATGGGGTCACAAAGAGTCAGACACGACTCAACAACAACAATAAAATCATTGTATATGTTATTTTCTAGGTTCGACTTATTTTAGTTTTTCTTCGTTTTCCTGCTTCTCTGTATTGTTCATATGCATCCTGTCTTACAGCACAGTAATATATCATTACTTTTCTATATCCCGGCATTTTTAGCCATTCCCCAAATGATGGAGTTTTACTTGATTTCTAGGTCTCAGCTGTTAACAACCGCTCCTTTTCTCTTCCCCACCTGTTAATAGGCCTGCTCAGATTTTTAAGCTTGCCTCTTCTTTGCCACATTCACTCCCCACACTGTATTCTATTTATCTGTGTACCTTTTCTGTCCCTCCCAGGAGAATATGACCTGTTGGAGGGCGGGCACCATTTCCTTTTTTATCTTTGATCCCAGACCCAGCACTTAGCCTAATGCTTAATTAATGCTTATTGGATGGAATTGAAACCCCCAGCTGATTTAACTCACAGGTGAGACCATGGACTTTTAAATGCAAATCATTTTGTGGTTAACTCAGAAACACTTTAAATAACAAATTCATTTTTTATCCCGAAGGAAAACACACAAATCCACAGAAGGACTTTTCTTCTTTCTCAGTCTGTCCTTGTCTTTTTTTTTTTTTCAGCCAAAAGCAAGATTTTTTAAAGATCCGCCATATTAGCCAGACTTTTAAGGAATCTGAGCATCTGTGAGCTATTGGCTAGATTGTAAAAATCTGAGCAGTGGTTAGATTATGAGAATCAGAGCCTCCGTCTGTCCTAGTCTTGCTTGTGTATGGGTAGTAGCAGGAGTACCCTGGTGGTGTTTAAGGACTGGCTCTCCTGGGGCAGCTAGGTGGTGCAGTGGATAAAGCACCGGCCCTGAAGTCAGGAGGACCTGAGTTCAAATATGACTTCAGACACTTGACACTTACTTAGTTATGTGACCCTGGGCAAGTCACTTAACCCCAATTGCCTCACCAAAAATACAGGAGGCGCTGAAAACAAAATCTACTAGCTGTGTGACCCTGGGTGAGTCACTTAACCCCAATTGCCAAAAAACAAACAAACAAAAAAAAACGACCGGCTCTCCTAATTCTGGGACACACTTTTAATTCTTCATCATTCGAATTTTTCTCATCACTTTCTTAAGTCTAGAGCGACAGTTAACAAAACAATAGTCAAGTCCTGATTTATATTTTCTGACGTTTAAATGCTCACACTGAAAATTTAACAATTGGCTCTGAACCTTTTCTAGCTGGCTTCAGAATATAGAAGAAGGTTCCTCGATTTAGAGCAGGAAAGAGCCTGAGGGGCTATTTAGTGTAACCCCTTTATTTTACTGATGGGGAAACGGAGGCACTGAGAATTAAGTGACTTTCGCAGGGTCACATAGCTAACAAATATCTAAGGTGGGGCGGGTGAGGCAGGGGGAGATTGGGAACCCAGGTATTCATGCCTCTGAGGCTAACCCCTTATCCACCACTCAGTTAACTCTCAGTCAATCAGTTGCTATTCTCTTTTTTCCTAATGCCCTGTTGGCCCTGATTTCTTTTTCCCCATCAGGAGAGATCAAGTTGGAGATGCCAGTGATCAGTATGGACAGGGAAGTGTGGGAGATGGCTGCTGACTCAGATGCGGTGGATAGCTTGGAGCAATGTGTGATCAACTGGCTAAGTCAGATCTCCTCTGCCATAGAGGGACAGTTGAAAAAGACGCCTCAGGTAACGTACTGAATGTTTTCTGAGGCGCCTGGTCCTCGTTTCCCTATTTCACACTGCCTCTTGAATTTAGGATTAGATCTGCCTTTGTTGCTGTTATGGTAATGAGAAAGGTGGTGCTGGTGGATGGAGACCCGAGTTCAAATCCTGCTTCAGGCCCTTTCTAACTGTGACCCTGGGCAAGTCTCTTAACCTTTGTTTGCCTCAGTTTCCTCCTCTATAAAATAGAAATAACGACTATGCCTCCCAGGCTGGTTGTTGTTGTGAGGGTTAAATGAGATAATGCTCGATACTTAGCCGAAGCCTGGCACCTCATAGGTGCTAGATAAATGCTTGTTTTCTTCCCTGAGAGAGTGGATCCCTCCAGCCATCTGAATGCCATCCTTTGATATTTATTTTCTGTCTGGCATTAGCACTTTGGGAGTGTAGCCACCATGATAACTCTGGATGGTGGGATTCTTCTTTTGTTTTCTCATTCTTTCCGCCAGCTTCCTGCATTCAGCCTTGACTTTAAGGCTGGACTCTGCTGCACTTCTGGGGGGGCGGGATCTGGGGGGGTCGTCCTTTGCTGCCTTCTTGTGATATTTTGTGTTGTGCTGTTTCAGGATCTCAGGGACAGCTTTTAGTGCCTCTGATCTGGGGCATGGTCTGATTACTTCTCCTCCCCCCATCCGAGGCTGAGCTCTATGAGTTCCTAACCGGGTTTGGGTCTGGGCAACGGGACGCTGCATTCAGCCCCCATCAGCCAGCCGGGGAGCTCTGTGGTTTCAGAGCAACAGAATTGTGAAGCTCCCCTGGGCGCTGGGGGCAGACTGAGGAAGGGAAGGGTTTGGCCACAGGCCCTTGGTGGTGTCTCGGAGAGAGGAGGAGGGTCAGAAGCAAGCAGCCGTGGCATGGTTCAGACTCCAGGAGCAGAGTGGGGTCTCCGGTCCAGCTTCTGCCCCAGACTGAAGCCTAGAGAGGAATAACCAGGGCGGAAACCCCAGACAGGTGGCTCCTCCTTTTCAGCCTTTAGCGATTTATTTCTGTGGTCATTTTTAGGAATTTGTTCCTGAGAGCTTGCCCTTTCCACACCCTCCCCAGAGCGTCCCCCTCTGATGGGCCGGAGGAGGTTGTTTTTTTTTTAGCCTTCACCTCTGCTCTTGTCCTTAGGGTAAAGGCCCATTGGCAGAAATAGAATTCTGGAGGGAAAGAACAGCGACCTTCAGCGCTCTCCACGAGCAGACCAGGCTGCCCATAGTGAAAAAAGTCATCGAGGTCATCAAAGAGGCCGACTCCATGCTCCTGGCCAACCTGCAGCCCGTCTTGAACGAGCTGTACAAGTTTCACGTCGAGGCTTCAGACAACGTTCGCTTCCTCTCCACCGTGGAGCGCCATTTCAAGGTACTGCCTGAAGCTACTACTACGACCACCCCCATCAGGGTCAAAGGGCTTTGATACCACCTCCTCTGCTGCTATTAACAATAGCCACGGTGAAGAGTGTTATCTCATTTGGGGCAGCGGGGTGGGCAGTGGATGGATTGCTGATCTCGAAGTCAGGAAGATGTACTTTCTGCATGCATGACCCCGGGTGAGTCACTTAACCACTGCCTGCCTCAGTTTCCTCATATGTAAAATGGGGATAATTGTAACACCTACCTTACAGGTTTGTTGTGAGGATCAAATGGTACAATACATGTAAACTGTAAACCTTAAAGCTATCTATAAATGCTATGAGAGATATTACATATTGATATAATAATAATTTAATATATAACACACACAATAATTAATATACAATATACACATACTAATATGTCAATAATTAATATATAACATAGATATTTTAATATAAAACAAAAACTATTAATATATATTAGATATATAGAAATGCTGGTTACCACTTGAGCCTCATAGCCACCTTCTAAGGTAGGAATTGCAGGTATCAATTGTTTTGACTACTTTGCTGCTGAATGCATATAGTGATCTGTCTAGGGTCACACACCTGTCCCAGGCAGAAGTTGAGTCCTGGTGTTTTTGATTTCCTGCCCAGCGCTCTGGGTCAGTGTTTTTTTTTTTTTACAGGGACTGGATTTCCTCTTTGGAAATTTTACCCTTCACGTCTATGGAGGCTTGTCACAAGGATAGGGATCACTCTTTATATTGGGCACAAGCAATGCCATGAGGTTGGTGAGCATTTCTGAGGGGGTGGAGGACAGTACATAGAGCAGACAGGACCACTAAGGAACTCAGAAGGATGTGCTAACCCCAGGTACTTAAAAAACCATTCATGATTTTTGTTGACATTATACCACCTTAGTTTATGAATATATGCCCTCCTCCTCCAAGGTGCTTTTAGGCCCTCGGGATCCTAAATCCAGAACTGGAAGAAACCTTAGAAGTCACCTAAACCATTCCCCTCATTTTACAGATAAAGCAACTGAGGCCCAGAGAACAGGCTTGACTGAGGTTGCCCAAGGAGCACATAGCAGTGTCACTGTATGGCATAAGAGGGTCAGTGTGATAGAACAGGAACAACAGATAAACGGGTCAGGAGACCCAGAGATCTCCGTGGGTTGCTTGAGGTCTCAGGGTGGGCACCTCGATTTATCCTCTGGTAATGATGAATAGGGCACGTGCTCAGCTTCATTTTGGCTGACCATGGGTGCTAGCTCGGGGCCTGGGTGTTTGGGGGTGATGAGCCCCAGCACATGACTCTGCCCTAAAGAGCTGCTGCTTGGGATAATGAAGTGACCCCTCTGTTGGCCTTGGCAGACCTTGAAAACGGGAGTGGGTTCAATGTCCGAGCTCCTGTCCTTAGCAGTAGTCACTGTTGTTGGATTTGGGGGTTCATCCAGAAATATAGTTTTGGGTAACCCTTCTTTATCCCCTGGTTACACTTCTTTGGCCTCATTTTCCCAATCTGTAAAATGAGAGTTTTGGACTAATTTTAACGTGAAGTGCATTTATTGAGTGTCTAAGATGGGCAACGACCCATGTTAGGTATTGAGGGGATTCAAAGATGAGTAAGGCACGGAATCACTGATGACTTTCTGCGAGTACACCTTTTGTTACTAAGAAAGAACAATGAAGCTTGACCATTCACTGTCCCATTTGAACTTTTTAAATTCTAAAATGGAAAGATTTAGTCCCTAGAATCCCACACATGTTTCAATCTTTCATAAATGTTTATCTGTGCAGAATTTAACCCACGGAGTTGGATTTAACATCATTCTGGAAACACTTCCTTCCATGATGAGTGCTCTGAGAATGGTGTGGATCATCTCCAGGCACTATAATAAAGACGAGCGGATGATCCCTCTCATGGAGAGGATAGCCTGGGAGATTGCAGAGAGGGTGTGCCGAGTTGTGAATTTAAGGACTTTGTTCAAGTAAGCGCTTACCGAAGTGGTCACCCGAGGGTACGGGAGGGATGTCACCCACGCCCTTTAGTTTGCCTTCAAAGTGAGGGAAAGGATGGAATTGTGGTGCATGCTGAATTTTAAAAATTTGATTTCAGAAGTCTGTAGGAGAGAAGACCAAATGCCTCAGCCTCTCTCTTTTGAAGTATTTGGATCTATCTTTTTTGATCTCTCTTTTGAATGCTGCTGTCCACCATTTTTACTTACTTTTTAAGATAAAAATTTTTAAAAATACAGTTGTAATTAATTTGACCAGAGCAGGCATCTTCCAGTGTAGAAATTCCTTTCTCTGATGCAGATTATTAATTCCTGGTGCAGTGGGAGATTAAGTGACTTCTCTAAGGTCACACAGCTAGTATGTGTCAGAGAACTTGAACCCAGATCTTCCTGGGTATAAAGGGGGCCCTCTATTCCCTAGTCTATGCTGCCTCTCAATTCTAGAGTCTATTGACTTTCTCAGGGTGTGGGCTGGGGTTCAAACTTGTGATTCCATTTATGGAAGGAGCTCTTTACTTAGAAAACTCTCTTTACCATTACTGCCTATGAGCTCTTGTTCTGCAACTTATATATTGTTTTAGAGAGTTCCCTGGGGCCCCAAGAGGTAAGGTGACTTGCCCAGGGTCACACAACCCATCGTGTAGCCAAAGTGGGAGTTGCAGTCCCAGCCTTCTTGACTTGGAGACTGGCCTACTACCCACTATGTTATTCTGCCTCCTTAATAAATACTATAATTACATCATTTCTGGTGCTTTGATAACACTCACTATCTAAGTATATAAAAATACCTCATGACTAAGAATTAAAATGCAGTAGGATTTCTGTGAGTGAGACTCTTACTGTATTCATGATAAATTGAGCCTTGGCTTAATTAAGCCTAACTTTAATGAGCTTCCACAAGAATTTATGAAGCCCTTTCTATGGCCAAAGCGTGGTGCTAGGTTCTGGAAATGCAAAGAAAAGCAAGTCCCCACCATGCTGAGGACAGGCAGAGTGCAGCCTAGTATGTGAAGAAACAAGCCATGATGCTGTTTTTTTTCCCCACCTCTCAGTGGGGGGTTCTGTGCAACTGCCTAGTCAAGCACAGGAGGGCTCCTGGGATTGAAGCATTTAGGATTGGCATTCCTGTTAGTTTATGGGTGCCCCAACAAGGGGGCATTTGTTTCCGGCCCCTTGACCTCAGTCTGGCTCCAAAATGGAGGTTAATGCTATCTGCAGATGATTCTGAGCCAAGGATGCACCCTGTTAAAAATTACTTTAGAAGAGATTAAAGACAAATGAATGCTTAATTAGCAATTAGGGTTTTCTCTATACTATCATTTGAATAATGGAAAGATCACTAAAAAGGGAAAGCTTGCTTAAGAAGGTGGGCAGCTGACTAGTATGTTGCAATAGGAAAAATACTTCAAGATTTATCTTTTTTTGGTGTGTGACTGTTTCTAGAATGTGTGCCCCATGTATAGCAAAGAGTATCCCAAAATAGCATTTTTGCAAAAATATTCTTGTCTGTTTAAAAGACAGCATATCTAAGACTATTCATTTTGCCCAGGTAGAAACAAGAATGTGTCAAAGAATGTGACATTTGTCTCTTCAGTTCAACATCTCCTTACCTCTAATTGATTCCATCTGCATATTGGCTTCTTGGTGCTTTATCTCAGGTGTTACCTGTGGCCCAAGACCCCCTAAAATCTCTGGGCTCAAATGGATTGGGTCTAATCTTGGGGGCCCAGACCGAAAGGGGTCAGTTTCCTTCTTTGACTAATTGCCCCCACCTGGAACTACTTCAGGAAATCTTCCAACGTAGATATAGTGTGGGTCTAAGTTCTCCAAATGTTGATAAATAGGATCTCAAGCTCCTGTACAAATGCTCAAGGTACCTAATGCATATCAGGTACAGGACATACTTTATTGTACCCCACAGAAAAGGCAAGAGATGCCAAAGATTCGCAGGAGCTATGAACAGATGCAGAAACACATAGGTCATTCAAATTACACATCAGCTCCCCCCAGAAGTGAAATAAAATTGGGGTTGCCAGTAGTGCAACACCCTGACATTCAGGTAAAGTCTTTCTCTTCCATCTGAATAAATATGTAGTCTGTCAAAGACTCATTGGGCCACCAAATGGTTTGGAATCCTCCCAGAATCTTAGCTCACTTTCCAGGCTGCTGAAGAAGTGGTCTGCTTCCCAGGGTGCTTGCACCTTCTGAGCTATTCATTGGCTTTGCCCTCCAAAGAGAACTCTGTGCTGGGACTAGATGGATTATTCTATCTTTTCCCTCTAGGGAGCACACCTCGTCAGGAGATCCTGTCCTCTCTAGAATGGACCCAAACTTTCCAATTTGGGATTCTCCATGACTGCCGGGGGTCACCCAGCTGTGAGCATCTGAGAGTGGATTTGAACTCAGGTCCTCCAGACTCCAGGCCCAGTGCTCTGTCCACCGAGCATCTAGTTGCCCCAGCTTTAAGGTTTACAAAGCACTTTTCTTTCAATAATCCTGTGAGCTAGGGGTGAGCTAGGATATGAGTATTATTATCCTTATTTTACAGATGAGGAGAATGAGTCTCATAGAAGTTGTGACTTGCTCACTATCAAATAATAACTGACAGAAGCAAGATTTTAATCCAGGACTCAGTTTCCTCTTCTATACAAAGAGGGTTTGGACTAGTTGTCCTCTGAGATCCCTCTCTGCCATATTGCTCTGAACTGAATAACTACAAACTTCACCATCAGCATCCTTATCTTGAGTCATTGGAAAACATTGTTAATTGTAACCTGATTTTTTTTTTTTAATTAACAGAGAGAGTCGAGCATCGGCACAAACCAAGGTGGCTGAGGCTAAGAGCACTCTTCTGTTGTGGAAAAAATCTTATTTTGATGTCCGAGCCAAAATCGAAGCGTCTGGAAGAGAACCACGTTGGGAATTTGATAGGAAACGTTTATTTGAAAGAACAGATTACATGGCTACAATCTGTCAGGATCTGTATGATGTTTTACAGGTAGAGAGGCCTGGGTTTAATTTCTTTAATGTGTGTTAATAAGGTTAAAGAGCAAGAATGACCGATCAAGCTCTTTTTAAGACTGCTTTCACGTTTTTTTAAAGGAAAATATTTTGTTAGTTGGTACCTTTCATTTGTTATATGACAGTTATTTTTGGATATACACACCAACCCTTCCCTTTTTATATCAAAGAAAAAATGTTAAGAAAAACCAGTTGACACGATGACATTACCTGATAGCGTATACACCATTCTGTACCTGTGGTCCTCCCTGTGCATCTTAAGAGGAGGAAGGTACACTTCATTATTTCTTCTCCAGGGCCAAGATTAATCCTCACTGTTACTCAGAGTTCAGTGTCCCTCTGGTGCTCTTTTTTGTTTATGGGGTTCTAGTCATTGTGTATATTACAGACTCGTAATATCGTAGCTGGCTGGAAATGACCTCCAAGGCCATCTTGTCCAGTCCCCTCTTTTCCCAGGTGAGGAGATTTGAGGCCAGGCTAGTTAAGTGACTTGATCACCCAGCTAGTAAACATCAGAGGTGGGATTTGAATCCAGTTACTGGTTCTGCAAAGAATAGTTTACTTTTTACAATGCTCTTAGAATAATTAAGTCTTAGGGCCTTCCCAGTTAGATGTTAGGAGTCAGAAATAGGTTGTTATGGGACATCTTTGTGACCGTGGCTCTGAATGTAAGAGCATGGACAATGTCCTTACAATATCCGTAGTTAATATTTACCTAATTTTTGGTAACTTTCTTCCCTTTTCAAAAATGTCACAAGGGTATGGATGGATTCCATCCTAGTCAAAGAAGATAATCCAGAAGAGGTTGTGAAGTCCAAGATGATTCAGCCCCTGAGATCAGAAGGCACATTGTATAAATACTTAGCATGGTGCTAATGGTCCCTGACTGTACTCTTTACCTCTAGATTTAGAGCGAGGATGGGCTGAGTACATGACAAGATACTCTATGTAAATTCCCTCTCCCTGTGTGACCCTGGGCAAGTCACTTAACCCCATTGTCTAGCCAAAAAAAAAAAATCCAAAAAGAAATTCCCTCTGCTATGGGAATCCCTTTTGGTTCTCTCAGCTGTGGGTGCTTTCTTGTTCCTTCCTCAAGTAACCGCCTCTCATACTTACTTGTTGACATGTTGCATCCTCCCAGTAGAATATACACTCCTTGAGGGCAGGGATTGCTCTACATTTTGCCTTTGTGTCCCCAGAGCTTGCTCATGGTAGGTGTTTAATAAACATGTGCTGGATCGAATTAGATTGGATTCTGTCATTGTCAAATTATTTTCTGCTTAGTTCTTTCCAAGAAATCCTTGGAAGGGAAAAAGGAGAGGGTTTGTGAGTGTGGAAGATGGGTTTTCTTAGTAGTGGACAGGGAGCTGGACTTGGATTTAAGAAGACCCAGGTTCAGATCCCACCATAGACACTCGCTGTGTGAACCTTTCTGTGCCTCAGTTTCCTCCTCTGTAAAATGAACAGTTTGGATCTGAAAGCCATTAGGATCCTTTCCAGTTCTGCATCTTGCATCCTATGAACCCACTCCAACCTCTTATAACTGGGATCAATTGGGGAGATGATGCTGGGGTAAGGAAGGACTTTTGAAAAGGTCAGTACAGAATACTGAGAAGCAGGTTGGTCTGCAAACCATTGCTAGTTAGAGATGAGGTGTATTAGATTGAGGTAGCCGGATAGAATACTGGCCATGGAGTCAGGAAGACCTGAGTTGTAATCTTGCCTGAGATACTGGTCCTGGGCAAATTACTTAAACTCACTGAGCCTCGGTTTCCTCATCCGTTAAATGAGTTAGACTCAGCCTCTGAGATCCCTCTGGTTCTAAATATATGGTCCCATGAAGTGTGCATGTATGATTTTGGTTATTGGGTTTGGGGGGAAAAAAGGAAAATTGGCACATCTGTTAGATTTTGCTTTAGCAGGAAAAAAATCTCAGTAACTCAGAATTTGAAAGAACAATTTATTTACTGATAAGGTTGAGTTAGAAAAGTTTTAATGCATTTTTTTTTTTTTTTGCTTTTTGTTAGGCAACTGGGGTTAAGTGACTTGCCCAGGGTCACACAGCTAGTAAGTGTCATGTGTTGTGTGTCTGAGACCGGATTTGAATTCAGGTCCTCTTGATTCCAAGGCCGGTGCTCTATCCACTGCACCACCTAGCTGCCCCAATCATCTGCATTTTTCAATAGTAGACTGGACTGCCTGCTAATAAAGTACTGCAAATAAAAGCCCTCCCTGGCGTGCTTCAATGAGCAGAAAAGACTGATTTGTAATTAGCACATAAAGAACTAGGGCACATAATCTAGAGATGGCATATTTGTGAAATGGCAGGATGACTAAAATGTGACTTTCTCATGCCGTTGGATCTAACAGGTTATTGAGGAATTTTACAACATATTTGGTCCAGAACTGAAAGCAGTGACCGGGGATCCGAAGCGTATTGATGATGTCCTGTGTAGGGTTGATGGGCTTGTCAGTCCCATGGAAGTACTAACCTTTGACCCCTTTAGCATCAAGTGTTCCCACTTCTGGAAGTATGTTATGGAAGATTTCAAGATTGAAGTCCTGGTAAGTAACCAATCTAAGCATTTTATTTTACTAAAATATATTTTAGCTTAAAAAAAAAGACCTATTCTCATGTATTAGTTTAAAATTTGACTTCACACGAATGGAAATGCCCTTATAGCCTAGAATATAGTAGTAGTAGTGGGGGTGGGTTTAAATCTGGGCTCTTTACTTTATTATTGCTGTAAGAGAAAGTATTATTCATAGCAAGGTGATGTAGTGGATAGCACAAAGGAATTCTTACCATTATCCTTCCTATTGCCTGAGACAAAGATACAGTTACAATGTAGCACTTGGCTCTTCCAGGAGGTACAATTAAAAAGCAGAAATAATTGTTTTTCAATGAACAGAAATAGATTATCTCTCCCGCACATTCTTTTCCCCTTGTAAAAAGAGAAAAGGAAAAGGAAAGGAAAAGTCTTATTAAAAAAACAAAACAAAACATGGAGAGCCAAACAAAACAAATTCCCCAATCACTATGTCCAAAAAAATGGTTCTCAATCCTCAATCTGAGTTCCCCACCTCTTTGTTAACAGATGGGTAGTGTATTTCATCATGAGTCCTCTGGAAACTATGGTTGCTCATTGTGCTGATCAGAGTTCTAAAGGCTTCCGAAGTTGTTTGTTTTAACAATACCGTTGTTTTTGTAGAAACTGTTCCCCTGGTTTTGCTCATCACTCTGCATCAGTACATGCAAATCTCACTAATAGCACTTAGGGTATTCCATTACATTCTTGTACCATAATTTGTTCAGCCATTCCCCAATTGGCAGACACCCCGTTAGTTTCCTGTTCTTTTGCACTACAAAATGAGCTATCAGTATTTTTGTATATATGAATCCATTTCTTCTTTTTTTGGTCTCTCTAGGTGTATCTGCCTAGTAGTGGTATTGTAGGGTCAAAGGATATACAGAATTTATACAGAGTTTAGTTAGTTTGGCATTCAAAGCCTTTCATAACCTAGACCCCACTCCGATTTTTCCAGTCTTCTTGCACCTTAATCCTCTACCATGTTCTCTTCAATCCAGTGACACTGGCCTTCCTGTTGTTCTCTAAGAAGTCTCCACCTCTTGGCTCCAGACATTTTCTCTGGCTCTCCCCCATATCTGCAGTGCTCTCCCTCCTCATCGCTGCTCCCTGGCTTCCTTCAAGTCCCAGCTAAAATCCCACCTTCTACAGGAAGCTTTTCCTAATCCTTCTTGATCCTAATGCCTTCCCTCTGTTGATTATTTCCTATTTATCCAGTATTTAACTTGTTTGTACATATTTGTTTGTATATTTTCTCCTCCCCTCCCCTGTTAGATTGTAAGCTCTTCAATGGCAGGGATGGTCTTCAGCCCTTCTTTGTATCCCCAGTCCTTAGCACAGTGCCTGGCACATAGTTGGTGCTTAATAAATGCTTATTGACATACTCAATAAAGTTCCAAATTGTTTTCCTATGGCTTTTGCACAGGTCCACCACAAGCATGAATGTATAAGTTTTCCTGCAGCCCCTCCGACATTTGACGTTTTCTTTACTTTCTTTCTTTCTCTTTCTTTCTTTCTTTCTTTCTTTCTTTCTTTCTTTCTTTCTTTCTTTCTTTCTTTCTTTCTTTCTTTCTTTCTTTCTTTCTTTCT